TTGTCTTTCAGTCTATGAATTTATTTTTGAGTTAAATGTGTTTCTGGTCTATAGCACATTGCTGGATTTTGTTTCTTCATTCATTCTGCCAATTTGTTTCTTTTGATTGATGAATTGAGGCCATTTCCACTGAGGGTTATAACTGATATGTACTGGTTTATCGTCATAATGTTACTTTCCACTGTGGGTTCCCTGCTTTTTTCCTTCTGTTCAATTGCTTGCCCTTCCTAGTGGTTTCTTTCTGTTGTTGTTCTTGGAATTGTGATCATTTTTATCTGTGTCTAGAATATCTTTCAGCATTCTTTGTAAGGTTGGTTTGGTGGTCATGAATTTTTTCAATTGTTCTTTGCCATGGAAGTCTTAGGTCTCCATCAATTTTGAAAGGTAAGTTTTTCAGGGTACATCAATCTGGGTAGGAAGCTGTTTTCTTTCAGGACTTGAAATACTTCACTGCAAGCTCTTCTTGACTTCATGGTTTATGTTGAGAAGTCTGCCATGATTCTGATGGGCTTTCATTTATAGGCAATCTGTTTCTTTTCTCTAACAGATTTTAATATTGTGTTCTTAAATAGAAATTATATGCTATTACTTTGGCAAATAATCTTTTCATGTCCTTTGTGTTGACTCCTGCTTTGCCACTGACACTTACCAGCCTTATATTGTTTTTCTTTGTATAATCTTGTAGCTGTTGAATTGTTATTTCTTGATTGCTTGTTATTTTAAAGATATCTTTCCTTTTGTGGTCACTAGTCACAATCCTATCTTAAAGGTCTGAAAATCTATTCTCAGTTTCATTCAAGAAGTTTTACCAGCTTCCAAAGGAAGTTTTAATTATCTGGATATCTGTTTGATGGACTCTATTTCTTACTTATATTGATCTTTCACAGTTTCTTTAATTTTCTTTCATTTTTTAAAATTGGTACCAGGGATCGAACTCACGACTGCCTACTTGCAAGGGAGGTGCTTATGCCACTGAGCTAAATCCCCAGCGCCTCTTTAATTTTCTTATCATCCTCTTTTTAAAAAATCTATCTCAACTGTAGATTTACTGAGCATCTACTTTACGATTATTGCCATTTCTTTTCTTTTTTTGCCTGAGAGGTTATTTCTGAACTGATTTCCCCTAAAGCCTCAAGGATTTGTTTCTTTACTTCAGTAGCTATCATTTCTGAAATTTCAGATGTTTCTTGAACTTCTTTTGGTGAACTGAATGTCTGAGAGTACATCTTGCTTCTGCATCTTGTCACTTTCTATTTCAAAAATTTTTATTTTGTTTTCTATATTGATCCTTGTAAGTTTTTGTAGTAGGTAACTATATCACTAGTATCAAGGCTTCTCTAAGAAAAGTTTGTTCCTCAGGGATGTCTTCTGTGTGGAGGAGGTTCTTGGCTTGTATGTTTCAAGATTCTACTTTCCCAATTAATTAAGAGTTAGATGTTGGGGGCTGAGGATTTAGCTCAGCAGCATAAGCACCTGCCTTGCAAGCAGGCGGTCGTGAGTTCGATCGCTGGTACAAATAAAAAGCTAAAAAGTTAAAAAAAAAAAAAAGAGTGAGATGTTGGTATCTGTTTGGTTCAGTCCCCAGTTGTTTGGTGCTGGACTGTGGTGAGGTTATTATCCCAGGACTTCCCAGTATTGTTACAGAAGGGAAAACAACTGATTACAACAAAAATGACATCTAGCTAAAGTAATATAATTAGCAATAGCAACAGCATTAAGAACAGTTTAGAAACCACAATCTGTAGTAGCTATTAATTTTGTACCTTAAACCTTGGGAGCAAAATCTACAATCATAACAGAATTAATTTTAAATTGGGAACTTTTTAAAAAAGTGTTTCCCCCAGGGACAGTGGTTTTACCTTGTGGTGAGGAGACTTCAGAAGGATAGTGATAAAGATAACTGAAAATAAAATAGAAGCAGGGCTGGAGGACAAAGACGATCATGCAAACATGGGGAAACTAGAGAAGGGGGCAGAAAAGAAAAAGAGTGAGGGATTAGCTGAAGCTGGTCTCTGTGTCTGGGGATGGGGTTAGTTTTCTGTGGCTGGAGCTGTCCCAGCCATTTAGGAAAAAGATAAGAAAAGTAAAAAAGAGAAGGGGGAGAGAGAGAGAGAGAGAGAGAGAGAGAGAGAGAGAGAGAGAGAGAGAGAATGGGGTGGCCCCATCTGCCTGCTTCTATTCAGTGTGTCTTTGTCCCAAACACAGTGCTGGTTCACCTAACTTACCACCTGTTAGTTCACATTGTTATTGTTGCTACGGGCTTCTCCAGACTGCTAGTTATGCCTGTCTATCCTGTGCATGTCAGGCTGTGTCACTGGCATTCCCTCTGGTCTCCGGGCCTTCTCCCATGGTTCACCTCGGTTGAGGCAGAGGCAGGGAAGGGGCTGTTTGCTGGGCTTCCCATGCTGTTTACCAGGGTCACAGCAGCAGGAGGGGAGGGGTGACACCTGATCTTGACAAAGGAGACCAACACCTTCACTGGAAGAAAGACAGCCTCTTTAATAAATGGTGCTAGAAGAATTGGCTTTTCTTATGCTGAAGATTAAAACCAGGCCTATATCTGTCACTATCCATTAAACTAAAATCAAAGTGGATCAAAGATCTAAGTATTAAGACAGAAACACTTGATTTGCTGGAAGATAAAATAGGTTGAACTCTTGAGGATGTAGGTATAGGCAAAGAATTTATGAACAAAACACCAGTTGTGCAGGAAATATTATAAAGAATCAACAACTGGAATCACATCAGATTAAAAAGCTTTTGCACAGCAAAAGAAACCACCAACAGATTAAAGATACAACCCACAGAGTGGAAAAATTTTTACCACCTGTTTCTCAGACAAACTAACTAATATCTAGAATATATAAAGAACTAAAAAAAAAAAAAACCCTCCTCCCAAATTTAAAGACCCAGTCCAAAAATGGGCATCTGAAATGGATAGACAGTTCTCAGATGAAGTAGAAATCAGAAGTAAATATATGAAAAAAATATTCAACATCACTTGTCATTCAAGAGATACAAATTCAAACAACACTGAGATTCCATCTCACTCCCGAAAGGATGGCTATTATCAAGAAATTAACCAATAACAAATGTTGGCAGGGTTGTGGGGAAAAAGGAACCCTTGTCTATGGTTGGTGGAAGTGTAGACTGATGCAACCATGGTAGATATCAGTGTGGAGATTCCTTAATAAACCAAAACTAGAGGTTCAACTTGACCCCACTATTCGCCTGCTTGATGTCTTCCCAAAAGAATTAAGAGCGTCATACCACTGCAATATATGCAGACCCATGATTATAGCAGCACAATGTGCGATAACTGAATCTTGGAAACAGCCCAGATGCCCACAATAGATGAATGGATAAAGAATATGTGAGGTGTTTTTAAATATACAGTGGAACACTACTGTCACAAAAAAAGGATAAATGCAAGACATTTTTAGGTAACAGGATACACCTTGAGACTCTATTTTAAATAAATTGGACACACATGTGTAACTATCATGTTTCTCTGGTGTGAGAAACCAAAAGCATAAAGACCAAAATGTATAATAGAGAGTGGGAAATATGTAGGGAATGTTCAATGGGAAGGGGGACAAAGGAGGAGGGAGGGGAAAGGAAGGGGCGGAAAGGACAAAAAGGGAATAGAAGGAAAAATGGAAACCAAGCTTTTGAAATTGGTGAGAGGAAGAGGGCTTGAAGGGAGGAGAGGAGGACAGGGAAAAGGCCAGGAAGAGATCATCACGGACACAAATTCCTGCTGATGAATGTGAGCCTTGTGTTTATGTACCAATCATGTCCCAATAAAACTAAATTTAAATTACTCAGCTATAAAGAAGGATGATCTTGAGGCTTTTATAGGTAACTGGAGGCAGCTTGAGACTATCCTTAGAAGTGAAATAAATCAGACTCACATTTGTAAATATTGTATTCTCTCTAGTATAAAAATAATAAAAAACTGAAGAGTAATAAGATTCCAAATGTATAGAAGATATTATGATAATGAAAGGGAAAGAAAGTGCTTTAAAGGGTACACCTGTGAGTATGTTTAAGTGTGCTAGGTAGATAACCTACTACTTAGTTTTCTTTAGTTCATCAAACAGAATGGTTTGTACTGTCGGTTGTCTACTTTTTATGCTTTGATTTTGTGACTTGAGCAACTACTTTTAAGATAACAATATGTAATTTATCAACTAGTGATTTCTTACTTTTTTTTTGAAATTCTGTATTTCTACCCTTTTTTCTTTAAATAAAAACAAAGCTAAGTTTAAAAAATGAAAGAAAAAACTACTAAGAGGAAAAAGGTGAATTAGGAAATTGTCCCCCAATAAAGGACAAACTGCTTTGGGGTAAATAATCCTGTATTAGGGGGAAAAAAACAAAACAGTGACAACAGTTACCCAGCATCGTTCTGCCATGTGTGATAACTTTACAAATTCAACAGGGCAGATTTTTTTTCTTTTTCTTTTTTTTCTTTGACAAAAGCCACAGACTGAGCGATGTTCAGAGATTTCTGCAGCTTAGATATCTCGGTTGGGCCAAATGAACTTGGAATATCTCTTTGTTCACTTCAAGTCCAGTCTTCTCTTCCCTGGAAAGTGGGAGCCGTAGCAGGCTGTGGAAAAGCTCTACATCTAGGGCGTTAAACTGTGTTCCTCTGGACTTTGTAAACAGAGGCCAGAGGCCAACTCCAGGAGGAAACGGACATTCTTGGGGAGGCCTGGAAGGAAGCTTAGGTAGGACAGTCAGGCAGCCATCAGTCACCCTGTAAATACAGGAGCCCAAGAACCTGGCCTTTGTCATGGCGTGGACCTCAGGGAGCAGCTTTTCTTGGAGCATACCCATGCAGAGTACAATTAAAGTGCCATAAAGGTTTTGACTCATCAAGTGTTGATTGCCCCAGCATAGGAACTCAGGGGCGATAGTACATCCAGGCCTCTGCTCGGGCTGTCTTAGACTGGATCAGAGAATTGGGCTGTTTGTGTATTTCCTGCCTTCTTTCTACTTGAGTGTACCGAGTCAGGCTCCGTAGGACAGCGAAGTGCTGGGAGTTGCCACAGGGATTATAGATGCGTGTCCGCGTGGGCATTTTCTTGTTTTCCTGGTGTGGCAGCACTGGCAGCACCTGGGACTTGTTAGATATGCAAATTCTCGGGCTCCCTCAGATGTTCTAAACTAGATGGACGGACCCCAGCAATTTGTGCTTTAACAAGGTATCCGGGTGATGCCGAGGACTGCTGCTGTAGGAGGGGCTCAGGGGGAAGAAAGCGGAGAAAGTGGAGCTGGGGCCTCTTTGGGCTGCAGGAGGACTCTGAGAAGGTTGGCAAGCCGTGTCCTGGTTTATCTGGATTGCTGGCTTGAAGGGCCTCTGAGGCATCCTCCCATCGAATTCTGCTTCCTGGAAGGGGAATCCCATCAGCAGGAGGAGCCTTGGGCAGCAAGGGGTGAGGTAGGGAGATTGCAGGGGTTCCTGGGGAGAGGGTTGTCCAGAGAGCTGTCTGGCCTGGAAGGCCCAGGGAGACCACCAGTGCCTAACTTGCAGGCTAGGCCAGGACTGACCTCAGGGTGTGGCCAGCTTTCTCTCATGCTCTTGGGTACAGATTCCAGGCTGTTTGGTTGTCTTTGAGGTATTGATTTCTGCCATGTTACCAGGTAAAGCCCTTCACAGCTGACTTGCATGCACAGACATCCTCAATGAATAATATGCCTTCTGCATAACTGTTCACAGTGTGCTGAGCCTGTTTCCTGCTTTTCCCTACCTGTCTCCTTCCAGAGACTTTTTAGGTCCCGCCAGTGGGGTGCAGTAGGAAATGATGTTCCAGGCACTTGACTGAGCTTTCAGGCTTTTTTTTTTTTCCATAGCTATTTTGGCAACAGGAAGATGAGTGTGTTATCATCAGTAAGGCTTGAGGTAGGAGATGCCTGAGATGCCTGAGTTGGGCACGTCCATTTAGTCAGTAAGTCATAAAAAGTTACTGATTAGAAATCATTTAATGAAAAGTTATTGGTTAGAAATCATGAATCATCTCAGTGCAATGATTAAATTCCAGAACTCAAGTTTTACAACCAGGCGGGGAAAGTTCTGTTCTACACGTCTGGTTTGCACATTTATGTTGAATAACTCACTCGTCCTCTGCATGCATGGTGTGTTGGCCATGGTGGTCGGCACATGCAAGCAGGCCCAGTTAGGCTGGGCTGGAAGGATCTTGGCAGCCAAGGTGAGGATGGGGTTAGACACAGGATCAAGAGGCAGGCACCGGATGCAAGAGGCAGACTCACTGTGGAGTTGGACGTGAAGGAGTTGGCCAAAGAAAATCACTATGTCTGTATCAGCTTGAAAAATGGTGTGGGATTTTTGAGTCCCAGTGTGCCACATGGAAAGGGCCACCTGTTGCTGTTAGTGGGAAGTGTGGCTGGGTGGGCATCCACCTCAAAGTCCATTAGATCTGGAGCTGGGTAAGGTTGTGTGAGGCTTTGTTTAGGGGACCAGCCAAACAGGCTCCAAGCATAGAGAAAAGGCTTCCTAGGAACTAGGGTGGTGGAGCACTGGTGCCTGTTGCAACCGATGTAGGGCTGGAAAGGCAAGTCCAACACCCATGCCCGGCTACACAGTCTGGGATTGGCTCCGGACCAGGAAAGGTGTTCAGACCTGTAGGAGGCAGGCGTCGGTGCCTGAGCTCAGTTCTACCACCAGCAAACACGCGGGTTGAATTCTCAGAGTTTCCAAGGATGTCATGGGTTTTCCAAGCTTTAATTACAGCCTACCTTCTACATCTTTGAGTTGATTCCAGCCTGCCCGGGGCAGGGCGTTCTGGAGCTTTGTTGGCCTCTTGAACTCAACAGGTTACAGAGGAAATCAGAATCAGGCCAAATAGGTTCTGAATCCTGGCTCTCTGCACTTAGATGTTTGATGAGCCTGTCTCTTGGCTCTGCTGAGCCTGTTTTCTTATCTCTGAAAGGGGCTCTGCCTTGTGAAGATTAAATTGGTACAGGGAGGGAAGGGTGAGTCATCTTGCATCATGGAGAAAGCTGGAAATCAATGTGAGTTCCCTTATCTTTTCTCCCTGCCCTGACCCGAGGCTACACTTCTTACTGAGGCTGCAGCCCCTGTCTTGTTTGGAAAACTCAGATGTGTTGTGGGGAACACACATGAACCTGTCTATGTCAGTTGGGTTGTAGACACTGGCTTGGAAGCATAGTATCCAGGTCAGCTTCTTTCACTTGGGGAGCCAGAGGCAATTTTCTTTCTTTCCTATTAGTGAGAATCTATGTCAGATATTCTATCCTAGAGATCAAGTTCAGTCCTCTGGGCATGGAGTCTGCTCTTTGGATATCCATTGCAATTACAGGAAAGGCTGGGATCTGGCCTCACTCACAACACTGATCATGGACAAAGAGTCTGGCTCTGGTTTCATGTCAGGGAGACCACTGTGGGGTGTGAGCGTGGGCACTCTGGCAGCCTTTCTCCTGTGTACCACCAGTTCGGGACAACACCATGCTGTATTCCCCTCTGTAGGAATACATTTCTAATATTCCTGTCACATAACCAGGACATGAATTTTGATTGCACCACTTTAAACCCCCTGCTTATTTCCATATTCCTGTCTCCACTACAGTCTGAGCTGTGTACACTGCTGTAAGTAGAATCTGCCAGAGGAAGGGAAGGGCCCTTGACCTTCAAAATGTAATCCAGCTGCAGGGCTGCCTGGCACAGCAGAGAATCGCAGCTGTATTTAATCTTCTCAGAGCAGAGTGGCTGGAGGTCTCCCAGCATCCTGGCGCCGTGAGGGGAGGCTGGATTTGCCCCAATTATGCATTTGAGCAGAAAAGTGCTCAAAAGAGAGAGTCAAGGTCACAGCGCTGCGGCTGCTTCTAAGTCTTGTGTGTAAGCAGTGTGTGATGTGCCTGTTGTCCTGGCTTAAACAGAAACACCTGAGAGCCTTTGGGTCCCCAGTGGTTTTTGCTACACCAACCGGTAAAGTGCACATGGAGATTTCAGGAAGAAAGGAAGGAAGGATCATGGTTGCAAAGTATGCAGGAGGCCTCCTTTTGCGGTAGGACAGTTCTGGAGGAGGTGGGGAGGGAAGATGAAGAGGAGGGAAGGCGGAGGGGCATGAGAGGAAGGCAGCTGGAAGACTGGCAGTTGGCCACAGCCGAGCTGTTCAGCTCTGCACTCACGGAGCCCCTGCTGTGTGCTGGGGGTAAACTCAGCTTTTAGCACACTTCAGCACCCAGTCTTACTGCTCCACTGCAGTCGACTACTAGAAAGCAAAATAAAGGGTCTTTTGGAGAAGTCACTGTGAGTTTCTGTTGCTTGGGGCATCTCCCCGAATGCAGCTGGGGAAGTGTCTGCCTTGGCAAACTGGCTGTGGCCACGGCTCCTTTCTAAGACGTCAGCGTAAGTCCTGAGGAGCTGGACTGTGTTGATGTTAGCTCTGCCTCAGCTCTGTGGTATAGGGGAGTGTCTAGTAAATATCTGTTGAGTGCACAGGAAGGGAGATTCAATTAACTATTAGGACAAATTACCCCAGAGACTGAGGGATTTCTACCCAGACCTAGCCCATGATACCAGGATCTTTTAAATTTTAATGTGCATATTACTTTCCCAAGGATCTTGTTAAAATCTCACATGGGCCTTACTTCTCAGAGTCATTAGAAAGACTGATGGCTGCCTTACCAGTGGTAGAAGATTGTAGTTTGGAATCCAGAAACTGAGGTTCGCTATCCTGTCTGCAGCTTGCTGAGCTCTGTGGCCCAGGACTGGACAGGATTGCCCTTCACTACTGATCCCGAGAACATTGTTCAGCAGAGTCATATGGTGCGCTCTCCCCTGAATGTCCCTTGTGACCAGGCCTTCCTAAGTGCAGCAGGACCTCATGGGTGTGTGAGGCCAAGGGCTGCCTTTTATGATCTTTAAGGTCCAAAGTTTTCTGTCTTGAGTATTATTTCTGGACAGCTCCAACTAATCTCTGGAATCCAACCCCAGTCATTCACTACCTACATGAGATCTCCACCAGCGTTTTAGCACTGCTGTCCCTACCTTTTCTGTCATAGCCTTTCTGACACCAGTACCTCTGGGTTACCTCTACCACCCCGGCTTGTAGTAGCCCTTTTTTAGTTGCTTTTATTGTGTTGCCATACCGATCTAAAGTATAGGTATCGTGAGTTCCATTTGAAAGAACTGTAAGGACCAGAGAAGTGAAGTCCTTTGTCTGTGGTCTCACAGTAAGTGACAGTGTGGCTCAAACCCATTGCCTCCGACTCCAGGACAAGTGCTGTTATCTGCAGACTTGACATCTGCTCCAAGAAGTCCGACTCCATGGTGCACTGTGGTCTCCTTCCTGGCTTGTATTTTGATGGAAAGGCTTGCTCTGGGCAGAGGGCAGATCCCTTTTATATGGGTACTATGTTCTGCTGAGCCAGAGAAAACTCAGACTTTCTCAGTTTATAGGTAAATTTTGGTGCCAGATCAGAATACTGAGGAGTCACTTGACTCGATGGGATGGATAGGGGTTGGCTGGGGATGTCACTGTCACTTCATAACTTAATTTGTAGGGTAAGCCTTTGGAAGACATTGATTTGTGTTTCTAAATGAATAAAGCCTCCGTCCTGAGCCTTTGATGTGGGTAGAAAGACTCTTAGTCACAAAGGTCTGATAATAAGCGCCTCACAATGTAATAATGAAGTACAGTTTCAAAGAGCCTATTTTATTTCATCTTGGTCCTCTCCATGGCTTTTAAGAGCCAGGACTGGTATTATTATTCCAGGACTGGTATTATTATTCTGCCTTTCTAGATGGATGGGAAACTGAGACTCAGATTCAGGACTTGCCCAAGGCCACAAATCTAGGTCCCCTATGGAGTTAGTCTCAGTGATGATGTTCTTTAGAGTGTATGGGGCACACTGGTTGCTTCTCTTGGGCACCGTGCCACCATCCACTGAAAGATTTATTACCGGCAATTTGCTTATTCTCACAAAAGTTCAAGCCTTTAGAAAGCATGTGAAAATTACCAAACAGAGCAGTCGGAGCTAAGTTGGTTTTCAAAGCGAGAACAGGAGATGGTCCCCCTACTGGGGGGTGGGGGAATGCTTTTAGATATGAGGGGACAGGGAAGACACCAGTCCCGAAACCTAGCAGTAGGCAATGGTAGGCAGAGGGGTGCTGGCCAATAGGCTGGGGTCAAGTCTGGAGGATGCGGAAGAGGCTGGTTACTTCCAGAGTCTTAGTTTTAAGACCTGAGGGCCAGAATTCTGGAGGAAAAATTGTCAGGGAACAATTTCTGGCAATAGTATTGGGACCATCCCTCCCCCCCACAAAAGGTGTGTGTGTGTGCAGATCAGGAGCCAAGAATAGAGCCTCATATTAACTAAGGATTGCTTTTAGATTAGATCCTGGAGAGAACTGGGTTTAAGTATTTAGGTTGGCCGAGTCCACTTGGGTAGGGCAGAGGTCAAAGTGGGGAAAGGGCACAGTAGTCCCTACCGTGAGTTTTGTAGACCTCTGTGGTTTCTCAACCTGACATTCTGCTCTTTAGGGTGCTTCCGAGTGTGTTAGGATGGCTCTGTGCTAATCACGGTGGGAATCCTGGGTCAAGCGAAATGCAGCAGGTGTTTTTAACACACGCTACCTCAGCACTTCAAATAAGCACGTATGCAATGTGAAAGCTTTTTGAAAGCACAATTTGCAAAACTTTTGGTTTTGGCCTAGAGGATAGCATCTCACGGGAAACTGTCCAAGTCTTCCTCCGCGGAGTCGGTGGTGATACTTTTTGTTTCCTGTACCTGGCCCCTGTGATTTTCCTCCTGAGCACACGGGCAGAAGTGTAGCCGCCTGAATAAGGCAGCACAGTGATTTTAGGTCGTTTCATCTGTGACTTGATGTCTTTTCTTTCGGTCTTTTCTTCCATGCCTTGTTAAAACTTGGCTGTTATCACATACTAATATAACTTTTTCTGACTTGGGGGATCGGACTCAGGGCCTTTGCATTAAGCTATACCCGTAGACCTTTTTATTTTACTTTCTTTTGAGAGAGGCTCTCTCTAAGTTTCCCAGGCTGTGCCTCCGCCTCCCCACATCCTGGGTGAGGAATGCACCATTACACCTCACTAATACATTTTAAAGAAGTCTGTGGTGTTTTATACATTGGAATTGGTAGCCTTTCCAACCAACGTTCAAACTATACTGACATTAAGAATAAAAGATCAACATCGTCAAGAGGTGCTCGCCATTTTCTAACTCCCAGGACATATACCACTCTTCTGTTGTCCCAAATAAGTGACATGGAGCATTGGCAGCCAGGCTCTGCTGTGTCTGTGGATCTGTTATCATCCTGTGGGTGACCATTGCCATCTGGCTGCACCTGACAACAGTCCCAAGTTTCTGTTTGGGCTCTGCTCCCTTCCTGTTGCTCCCTCTGACCTGAGTGTCTCCACAACCCCATGTTGGAAAGGTCTGCAAGGGCCTGAGGTACTGTGGTCGACTCCTGTTTCACAAGTTTGGGTGCCCAATGGAATTACCTAGAAGGCTTTGAAAAGCAGATTGCTGGGCCCCACCCTAGGAGTTTCTAATTGAATGAAGGAGTAGGGTTTGGGATGGAGCCTGAGAGTGCCACCAGGGTTACCGGTCAGCAGATTGTCCTTTGAAAATTGCCAATCTGCAATGTCCAAGCCTGGGTCAGTTGGGAAGCTTAGTAAAATGGGTGGTGTGGGGAGTCACTTCGATTGCTTCAAAGCCCGAGGCATTTGAGGACCGGTAAGGACATGACCCCACTGTCTGGCACATGCACACCACAGAAACACAAGCATGACTTAGCAGAGACAACCACACATGCATCACAGGGCTATGACACAAGAATGTGATGCTTGATAACAAACAAAGCTGCTTGCTAGCTTTCGTTGCTATCTGTTCTGCATGCTTGCTTTTCCTTGGGAATTTCACCCCAAAAATAACCCTTCAGCTCCCCGACTCTGACAAACTGCATAGTCGGGGATGAGGTGAGTGTCCCCTCGGTGTTGGTGGAAACTGTGCCTGACAGCGAGGGAGAGTCCCAGGGTGTTGATGGCATGCTTTCCCTGGCCTTGCCCTGGTTACCTGTAGCTACCTCGGGAAGGTCCCCATGGAGCCATCTGAGACGTGGTGAAGGTTTTAGAAGTGATAGACGTGCAAATCCCTCCCCACCACTGTAAGCTTGCAGGGCAGATGGCTTGGTTATTTTTTACTCTTCCACCACGTGGAGCAAGAGGCAGAAGGCCACCTCCAGCAGGAGGGCCAGCCACAATAGACTGAAGGGTGGATACCACGTGGCCTGTGTAACTGTTACTGATAAATGATCCAAACTCTTGGTGAGACAGCCACAAGCTCATCAGCATGGTGCCCTCCAGTGGGCCCATTGTTAAAGTCTTATGGGTCTGTGATGCTGTGGGCTGGCTGTCCCTGCTTGCACACTGAACAGGTCACTGCAGCTGAGAAGTCTCATACATTAAGGGCACCAGCAGACCCACCATCACAGACACCCCACAACTGGAATGCTGTGTACCACAGGCACCTTTATACTCAACAGGTGGCCTTGATGCCAGGGACAGGGACCACAGACCTAGCCCTTGATGTTGAAGTCCTTGCTCAGCATATGACCCAGGCCCCAAATGTCACACACCAGGCTTTGATGTTCTCGTGGATGCAACTTCTCAAATGAGAAAGGGGGTTTTGCAAAACCGAATGGCTTTCAGTCTGGTAACCTCCGTGTGAGGAGGTACTTGCGCCTGCATGCATATAGAATGTTGCATTTATTTCCCTGACCACCAGATACCACTATGAGAAGACTTACAAGAAATGGATGAGGAGGCATCCACCATCCAGGCCTTGCAGCAAGACCCACTCACCCAATGGTAGGAATCCTTGGGATCCATTTGATGCTCAGTAGCAATAAATTGCACTATGGTGGCAAGGAGGTTAGTGGTATGCTTCCCTTTACTGTTGTTGTGGTCTTTGTGTGCATTTGTAAGAAGTGCTGTTTCCCCAAACTCTGAAGGGGCAGGATGTGGGGAACTACTTCAGATTGCTTCAAAGCCCGAGGCATTTGAGGACCTGCAAGGATATAACCCCACTGTTTGGCACATGCACACAACAAGATACACTTACTTATACAGGCATGACTTAGCATAGACAATCACACATGCATCACAGGGCTATGACACAAGAATATGATGCTTGGTAACGGCAAATATATATGCACCAAACAAAAAAGGTGCTTGCTTGCCATCCTTGCTTACGTTGGCTCTGCATGCTTTGTTTTCCTTGGGAACCTCGCGTGCAAAAAATAATCCTTCAGCCCTGCCAACAGGTAGGTTCCTGGTGTCCATCTCAGCCCTACCAAATCAAAACGCTAGAGCCAGTGCTCTGTCTGCCTTTCCCTGGGCAGACTCTGCAGTCCTCTGCCCTCTCCTTTGCCAAATAAGAGTGCTGGGATGCAGACTCCTCCTCCTCAAATGATGGTTGCTATGGAAACCCCATCACCTCCAGTTGGGCTGGGAAAGGTCAGAAAGATTTATATTTGCCATTTGGTTAGTTTGAAGAAGATCTCTATCTGGGTCAATTCTTTTTCCCTTTAACAGAAGTAAAAAAAAATCATTTTTATAACATTGTTTATCACATATTGCTTTCAATGATATCCTATGGTGTATCATTAGCTCCAATTTATGCATTTTCATGCTATGGCTCATAAAGTTTACTAGCGACTCAGAGTCCCATGATTTTCCCATTCTTCAGCACTTGAAGATCACATTGCAGGTGAGTGTAGATACCTTAACTTAAAGGTTAGGCTCCTCCCCTCTTATTGGAGCCAGGCAGGCAGAGCTAATGGTTCCACCTGATCCAGGTATCACTATAGGAATCCCCTGGGCATCAGCCTATACCTCATTTTAGGTAATTTTTTTAAATACAGAAAAATCTCTTATATTACAACTTTCAACAAAGAATTGAGACTAAATATGGATAATGTAAGTGTAGTTAGGTATGCTGAAAAATTAAGTTGAACACAGAGCTTTTGATCTTGCTTGACATAAAATTCCATTGCATGAAACTGGGACTCACTAAAATGAGAAAAAATATTCATTTTAGTATATGTAGTGCTCAAGAAAGCACAGAACAAACCAGTTGTGATTAGGATTTAGTGAAGAGCAGAACTAGAATTTTAAGTCTGTCTATGAAACCTGTGCATCTTGAGACTAGAAAGACTATCAAAATACCATGCCCTAGTAAGGGGCAGGAGAACTGGAACCTCTCAGGTTGCTGGGCATGCTAAGTGGCTTAAGTACTTTGGAAAATAGCTTGGCAGCTTCTCCTAAAGTTCAGTGTATCCTTAAATGATGTAGTAATCTCATTTTTAGATATTTACCCAATAGAAATATACGTCTATACAATGACCATACACAATATTGATAGCAGTTTTGTTTTTAATAGTCAAACACTAGACATTACCTAAATGTCCAAGAACAGGTGAAGGAAAGAAACAGTGGAAAACTCAGCAACAAAAAAGAGCACAATGAAAAAGCATAGCATAGATGAATGTACAAGAGGGAGGCTATGGACAGGTTCTGATTTTAACTTCCGTTTACAGCGGAAGGACGGAGGCCCAAGAATAGCTTGCTCAGCATTAAACAAGCAGCAAGCAGTGGTCTGTGGGGTCTGGTCCTGTCCAGCTCATCCTGGGACCCACCTACCTGATCTCCACGCCAGGTTAAAGCCGGGTCTCTCCTCTTGACTTTGGGCCATCCTGCTGGACCTTTTTCTGACCCCCTTTTCTCTTTGGACGCCACCCACTTATTTTTCCCAGAGTTTTAGACCAGGCTTACTGTCTTCCTCTGCACAGAATGTGACCCTCTGAAAGAGTGACATCATGTGGATTTTTCTCCTTCTCCATCTTTAATCTCACCCAATGTTCTTCCACCAGTCTGCACTCTCCTGCTCCCTCAAACCCTGTCTCTGCCTCCTTTTCTCACTCTGTGTCTGCCTATACCCTGGTAGATTTTTGTCCAGCTTGGTTCTCACACATTTTCTTCAGTGAGGAAATTACATTCTCTATGCTTCCAAAAGTTTTGACAGATTTAGGATGGCAGGATGCCCAGTGCAATCTGAATTTCAGAGAAGCACACATTTTTTGTAATATAAGTATGTCACATGCAGTATTTGGTTATCAATTTTTTTGTTTTGCTTTGTTTTGGGCACTAGCAATCAAACTCACGACCTCATGCTTGCCAGGCACATGCTGTGCCTCTGAGCTAAACCCCGGCCCAAAATGCAGTATTTCGTACATTCTTACACTAAAAAATTATCTGTTGTTTCTCTGAAATTCAAATTTCATTCAGTATCCTATATTTCACATAACAATTCTAGCCTGCCCAGCATGCCGTCATTTTGGTAAGACAGACAGCGTCTGGCAGAAGCCCGAAGAAGACATTTCCCTGAGAAAATCGGTCTTTCCCTGTGTGTCTACCGTGCACGCTCAGCTGGTTTAATCCTCCATCCCTAAGTGTTTCCTCTGGGGCCCCTCGCTCTCTGTACTCGGCACCTTCACTGTGGGACCCCAGCCTGTCGCTGGCTGCCCTCTCGCAGCTGCTCCTTGTCATGTCATTTGGTCCAGCTTCTCCAGTCCAGCTAACCTTTTACAAGAGAGGACGCCGCCCCATGGCGGCCCCCACCCCAAAGGTACCCACTAACTTCCCACATAGCCGCCCCCGGAGACATATTCTGACTCCATTGACTAAAGCCATGTGTAATGGGAGTATTCACTATACAGACCAACCCCAAATAAAGCTGTGTAAAAAAGGAGATATCGAGCACTGGACAGAGGTTAAAATGCCTAGTTCTGATCCAACCCCGATGCAGTCTACAACCACTCAGAGACTACAAGAAACTGGTTAAAGAAGTCCAGACGGGCACTTATTGAGCCTGAAACCTCCACCCCACCTTCAATGACAACAGAATTGTTCCAACCTTTAGAAGTAGTGGCTGAGCTACTTAACAACTCCATTGATAGTAGTTTGTCAATTCCATGCTGGCTGTGTCTGTCCCCAGAGTCCCCCTTCTATGAGGGCTACATTACAGTCATTGATAAACTGACCTCTGATTCCTCCAGATGCAATATGTTTCTTCCCCAATCTTTATGGAAGAGTACCAGTTTAGAAGGGATAAATGGTACCTGCATATATCATTCCAGCCACACAGCCCCAGAATATTGTGACCTTTCTCGCTCCTATAGCATTACAGGAGCTGGTGATACTACTCCCATAGTGGCCCCGGCCAGCCATTGGTGGGCTTGTACATCAGGTTGGTTCCCTTGTATGACTTCGAAAAAGTTTGTAGTTGACCAAGATGAGGTGTGTGTACTAACTCAGGTCCTGCCTAGAATTTATTGGCACTCTGAGAAAGAAGGAAACCAGATTCTCACCTCTGCTAGTCTCCAGATAAATAAAAGGAGTCCGGTTCTTCCTGTTACGGCAGGGATCAGTATATTCTCAGCTCTCGGGTTAGGTGCTGCATCCATAGGAGTTAGTATACACCACTATGACATGCTATCTCAACAGGTAGATGAAGAAATAAAACGAGTTCAAAATGCTATTGAGGTCTTAGAAGACTCAATTAATTCATTAGCTGAAGTAGCTCTCCAAAATCGCAGAGGGCTAGACCTCCTGTTAGCCGAAAAAGGAGGACTGTGCTTGGCTTTAGGAGAGCAATGCTGTCTGTATGCTAATAAGTCTGGGGTGGTAAAACAAAATTTAGCCGAACTCCAAAAAGACCTACAAGAAAGGGAAACACTAAGCGAGAAACTCTGGGATGGGCAGAACAAATGTTCTCCTTCCCATCATGGATGCAAACATAATAGCGACCGTAGCCAGTCCTCTTGGCTCCGTCTGGCCAGGCACAGACTGGCTCTGCCATGGTTAAAGGTCCAGGGCATTCAAGTCATCAGCACCTTCCACTCTGCCTGGGATTGTAGCAGAGACATTAACTGAGATGATTCTCTCTTCCATTCAGCTCTGCTTACTACATGTGAGTCCCAGCAGTAGGTGAGGGTAGACACCAGGCAGGTCTCCGATCCAATAGACCATTGTTGAGTGCATGCCAGACAAAGGAACTTAGAAATGTATCTTTAGTTGGAAAATAGTTTTTTTTTTCAAAAAAGGGCCTATATTTAGTTTTATATTAATAATTGTTTAAGACAAGTAACAAAGCAAAACTTTTTAAAATGTATTTTTATTAGTGCCTATTAATTTTACAAAAATGGGTTTCAATGTGGTATTTTCATACATGCATATAATGTTTTGATCACATCCATCCACTCTCCCCAGGAAATCTTAAGCTACCTGGTGAGATGTTTTATAATTCTTTCCTTTTTTTTTTTTTGTGGGCACAAAACATGTGTAAACCATTTAGACTTCGGCAAACCGAGTAAGAAGTTGTCTATGAGGGTGGCTGATTTATGGCTGCAGTATTTTAGAGGAGGGGGATGATGAGGTATTGGAGTTTGGGGCACGGTCCAGAGGCAAAGTCCATCAATATAGCACCACTACCTGTGAGCACAGCAGTAAAAATCTGTGCACTCATAAATATTGTAGAAGGAAGTCACACACAGCTATCGGAGAAGAAGACAATAGCATATGTAGTCTAAGCTATTCAGACACAGGGTAATAAGGGAATTCCAGGGCTGGAAAGGAACCGAGGTCCCGACTGAGAGAAGGCGGAGAGGAGCGAAGAGGAAAGTGCTGTCTGAAGTTGGATCTGCATGGCTGGGGAAGTGTCTGGCTCCAGGGAACAGAGGATGTAGCCTCCAGAGGTCTCTCTGCAGGGTGCTTGGGGGGGCCCAGTGGGTGACACCTCTGCCTTGTTCCTGACTTTGGCTTCCGCTGGAAGGCTGCTGGGGAAAGGGTTAGAGACAAGCTGGTGTCCCTGCGGCAGCTGCCCCTCCAGCCTGGTGTAGAAGTTTCTGCGAGCTGCGAGCTCAGGTTTAATGTTCTCAAATTTTATATATTCCTGAAGCATTTGGGAATGAGGCAATGCCATGATTACTGTAGGAAAAGATTTATTTTGAGAGTTTGTTGAAACACAAATTTCTGTCTATGTGCATCCCTAGAAATTCAGATTTTGAGGGTCAGGGGAAGGGCCCTGTAATCTGCCTTTTTAATAAGCTCTCCAGATTGTCGGTGTCGCTCCCGGCCGGCAGGAAGAACACGCAACAATATCTGGCGGTGGTCAGGCTTTTCTTTATTCTCTCCTTATACAGTCTGCCCCGAAGCCTCTACCGGTCCGCTCTCCGCGGTTCCTTCCGTGCTTCTTTCTCTACAGTCTGTCCCGAAGCCTCTACCGGTCCGCTCTCCGCGGCTCCTTCCGTGCTTCTTCTCTACAGTCTGTCCCGAAGCCTCTACCGGTCCGCTCTCCGCGGCTCCTTCCGTGCTTCTTCTCTCGTGGTGGGAGAGGCACTCACTTTTATAGGGTTACAGTGGCCAATCAGTTCAAAGCGCGCGATGCGGGCTGATTGGCTAACATCAGTTGTTGCTAGGCAGACTATCTTACAGGGCGGGTTGTTTACCAAGCAGGAAGCAGGAGATAAGCGCCATCTTCCTGCCTCTGGCTCTTGAGTGCTGTGGGCATGCACCATCCTGCCTGGCCATTTCTACTGTTTTACTCACTGTCTGACTCTGTCTCACGCTATCCTTCTTTCGATAGCACACTCGATGGGAGGGGTAATCTAGCTCAGGCTTTGCTCTTTCTTACAGGCCTCACGTCCGCCAAGTAAGGCGACCGGGCTCGGCCACGGCTCCCAACACCAGATGATTTAGTATCAGTTGGATGTGGACTGTACTTGAGTGGATCCTCAGTTCTGTGGAAGATAGTGCATCATGCAGAGCCTCTGCTTAACACAGTATTTTTCTACTATCTATATCCGGTCAAATGCATCCTAAATAATGCCTAATTCTTCTGCATGGCCTGTGAATTTCTTCAGTGTCCCAGACCTAAGTCCCAGTTCATTGTTTGTTTTGTGGCCCTGGATGACACTACAGCCTTCGCATTGTGTCATGTTTTCAGCCCTTTATTATTATTTTTTTTTTTTGAAATGGGTCTCTTTAAATTGCTAGGCTGCCCAGGCTGGCTCAGACAGGTGAACCTCCTGTCTCATTGTGAGGTAGGCTTATATTAGGTTCCTATTAGAAAGTAGCATTTCTCTCCCACCTTCTGATCAGCTCTGACCAGCTTGATGTTCTCCAAATAAGTCCCTGTTTACCTCCTAGCTCCATGCAAGGCTAATACTACTGTGATTATTTTCACCTCCCTGAGTTGCAGCATCTTTCAAAGCCCCGCTACAATGTCCATAGCCTCTGCCCTGAGTTTGCCAGAGTTTCCTCTTTCCTGCCTTAAACAGCTCCTTCTGTGAATTTGTATCACAGCATCCATAAATGACATTTCTCTGTCCAGCCCAGAGATTCTCAATGTTTTGTGGCCACTACCCAGGATAGACAACATCCTCTTCCACCTTAGGGGACAGTCCCATGGTCATTCTCAGAGTCCAAAAACCAGCTTCACCTGAAGACTGTCCTCTTCAGCTTGGGAGAGCTCAGAGAGGGGTTGCGAGTGTAGACTGACAGATTGTAGGGATACCATACACAGTTCCCCGGGAATTCAGGCAATTCAGTCAAGAACCAAGCCTAATCTGAATCAGGATCCCTTCGGGTATGGGAGGAAAATACTAAATATCAATACTAAATATTACTATTTACACATATTTTTTTCCACCTAAAAGGAAGAATTTTGCTTTCCTAGTATTTTAGATTTAGCATCTCGCATATCATAATACCATATAGGCAATTTCCTCTTTTAGCATGTTTGCTGTGAATGTCCCCCCAAATCACAGAACTAACAAGTAACAACCAGAGTTTGAAATCTGCCTGGTAAGTCATTAGAGAAATTAAATCAACAAGGAAAATGGCAGAGCCTGCAGCCCTCTCACAGAAAGGACTCTGCCCAGCCCCATTACAAAATAAAAACAATGATGATCTAATCAGAGGCGACAGGAAGACACATCATTGGACTTACCCAGAAGTCTGTATTGAGCGTGACTGATGTGTTTCCCTCCACAGCTTCCCTAGGCATGGCTGGTGCTCGGCACAAGCTGGTGATGAGAAGCATAAACGGACCTGCAGAACATTAAAAAATTACATAGCTGGTCCATGTTGACAAACCAGCACATTTAAAACAAGAAATATTTGAAATCCGAGAATTCTGAATTCAACATCTTGCAAATTTCATTTGATGATGTCACCAATGCTTAAAAGCTTTTTCTTTTCTCATTTCCCCTCCCCTTTTAAGTTTCTCACTAGCAGTGACAAAGTGCCACGTACCGTAATAACTAAAGGAAACGAAGAAAACCACACAGCAAATAGAAGAATAAGCATTTCCCTGCCCGCACTGTCGGAGGGGCATGGGAACATTCCCAGCTGTTAGAGCAGATTATGAAACATTTGGCTAAAATACAGTTAGCCTAAGATACTTGTTGGATTGTTTCAGCTATGAAATAGACTCGCTGCATGTGGGTACCATTAAATGTTTTCAAATGTACCACTGAAGATATAGCCTCAGAAAAATTAATTCTTTAATAAAAACTATGATTTCTGGCTGAGGGTGGGTCTCAGCAGTTAGAGACGTGCTTGCTTACTTAATGTCTGTTGTAGGGACCTAGGTCCAGTCCCTAACACCGGGTGTAAAACTTTGCTTTGGAAAAACCTGGAAGTGTCTTAATAGTCACTGCTTTTACTAGAATACAGAGATTCTTGGGTGAAAATACAAATACAGAATTGTAAATGAGATTCTTTTGCTGTGTTATTTACTGGCAACAGCAGAGCCAGAAGTGTGGTAGGATACCATCAGTGTGTAACTGTTACAAAGACAAGACTTTCCGGGAACATAGAATTCTAACAGTGCTTTATGATGAGACACAAAGTCGCCATGAAAATATTTTTGGCACAGAACTCTTTTTTTTTTTTTTTTTTTTTGGATTACATATTGTCATCTTAGAAATAATTGTTCAAGTCACAAAATTAAAGCTTGTAAAGTGGACATTCCATCAATGATACTGCAAACAGTTCTGTTCAATGATCCAATAAAACTCTGTGATATCATTTTCTATCTTATACACTTAAATATACATGCAGTTATATAGTATAGAGCACTTTCTTTTCCTCTCTTTTGTACAATGACTATTACACATTTTGGGTTTCATTGCTCCCATGGTTCTTATTACTTTTTTTGGAAGAGAGTAAAACCAAATGTGACATAACAGAACAGAATCGGTCAAGTCAAAAGGGTGGACATAATAGATAATGTAAAAACATAATACAAGGTGATCAACAATGGTTACCATAATGCCTCCCGCTATCTCTAATAGAATTGCCTATATCGTTAGTTACAATACAATTGAACAAAATAGTAAAGAATAAAACCGACAAAACCAAAACATTGGAGACATTGTAGGTCTTCAAAAGTAGATAAAAGTCAACGAGAATGGGCGTTATAATGAATCTCATTATCTTCACAGCTGATGCCTAAATTTTCGAACCTGATACTATCCAGCAAAACAGAATAGGGGAACATCAGTTAAAAACCAGATGGTGAGAGCAATACAGGGCTTTAAATCGAGGTAATGGAAAGTCAAAGTGGGTTACTATAATATATCCTGCTATTTTTTTCCTTTAATTAAATGGATAAAAATAAAAAAGTAAATAATGGACTGGAGATTGAGATAAAAGAGGGCATAACAGCGAAACAGCACAGATCAAAACATAACCATTTAAGCAGAATAGTGTTTCACCACCAGATAATCCTGACCTAAAAGTAGTTACCATATTATCTCTTTCCTTGAAATCTTTGAGTACAACTTCGTATACTGTAGCATTAAGTATATCAAAACAATGTAAAATCATTTAAGAGAATGACAGCATTACAGAGCATTTAGAATCGACTAACAGAAAATGAACAATGGTTTCTGTATAATCTCCTTGTCTTTAAAAGGTTTTTGCTTATACTATCGTACATAATAAAATCCAGTAAGATACAACCTATTTGGACCATTGGAGACAGAAGGACAAAAGCTAGATGAGACTTCAAAACAAGATGATACTAAATCAGTATTACCTATTAAGATGTCATTTTCTCCAAAATAGCTGTTCCTATCATCCAATCTTCTCTGCCTCATTTCTGTTGAGCTCTTATTCTGTCAGTAGCTGTCAGTTTGTCTTCTTCACTTTGTTCTCTGCTCCATTCATTGTGGCCTCCATTATTTCTGGATTCTTTGTATTTTTCTTTTTTTAGAATATCCTGCAATATTCTCTGTAGAGTTGAATTGGTGGTTGCAAATTCCCCCAGTTCCTCTTTATCCTGGAAGCACCTTGTTTTTCCATCAATTTCCAGGGACAGTTGTGCAGGATATCTCAATCTTGGCTGGAGATTATTATCTTTCAAAGCTTGAATTATTTCCCCCCATGCTCTTCGTGATTTGATGGTTTGTGCAGAGAAATCTGCTGTAATTCTGATGGGTGCTCCCTTGTAAGTGGTCTGTTTCTTGTCTCTGACAGCTTTTAATATTCTGTTCTTGTATTGAATTTCTGGAATTTTTATTATTATATGCCTGGGTGTTGCTCTATTTGGGTTGTAGGTAGCTGGGGTCCTGTATGCCTCATACATCTGAGTATCTTTACCTTTTGCTAAATTAGGAAAATTCTCCTGGATTATTTCTGTGAGTAGCTTTTGTAGTTCATTTGTTTGTGTCCCTACTTCTTCTTTTATGTTCTTAATCCTTAAGTTATGGATCCTCTTATCATCTTCTTGTCTTTGTATTATTGCTGTTTGTTTCTTTGTTATTTTTAAGAAGTTTTTCATTTCATTCTCCCATATTACAAGTCTGCCCTCCAGTTCAGATAGTCTGTCCTTAGTTTCTTTCAAGCTGCTATGCCAGTCTTCGATAGACTTCTTAGTTTCTTGGTAGTCCCTTTGAACCTGCTTCACGTATTCTATGCTTTCCCTGTTTTCTCCATCAAACAATTCTCCCCTCTTTTTCTGTTCTTCCATTCCACCATCTGTTTTTTCTTGGGTGGTGCTTAGCATTTCTCTAACTATTTTGCATACTTCTAGCTTCAGGTCGTTGATAACTTCATTCCTGAATTGGTCTATAATGCTCTCTATATGGCGCCTTATGTGTAATGGTGCGGTGTCTGCTATTGCCTGTTTCTCAGAATTGGGGGCCGAGGAGCCTTTCTTGTTGCTGCCTCTTCCCATATTCTCTGTTCCTTATATATGCAAGCTTATATGAGAGGCCCAGCTTCTCTCCCTGTCAGCCGCAGCCTGATTGAATTGCGCCGGTTAGGTGTTCCCACTCACCGCTGCACACCAGGCAGCCTACGTGGGGCCCGCCCCTCCCGGCCTCTGTCGGGCTCTGGGATCTGGGTTGGGCCAGCCTACGGGGTCCACCAGCAGCGTCACGCAGGCCAGGCACTTTTCACCAATCCCGCCCGAGAGGGGAATGTGTGGCTGGAGTCGCCACCGTGCCCTGCTCCTGCAGGACTGCCCAAGCCCAGAAAGTCCTCCGCTGGAGTCAAACTGTGGTGGAGTGTCAGTTTCTCTCACTCACCTCGCCACTAGTCAGTGTACGCCTCCTTGTCTGTCCTGTTTTCGACTCTGTTCACAGACTCCCGTTCCCAGAGCTTCTGCACGTCTCTCCTTGCCGAGCCGCTGTGGAGGCAGCCAGCCACCGCGTGGCGGGAAACCCAAATCGCAGCTTCCAATGGCGCAGGGTCCAGCCTCAGCAGCGAGACTTTTCTGTTCCTGTTTTAGCACCAGGACTGCATTCCAAGTTGGTTTCTCTCAGCCGAGTTCGTTCCTGAGTCAGCAGAGCATAACTCCACCTGCTTATGTCTCTTTAGTCCGCACCATACCTGGCTTCTGAGCCTCGTTTTCAGAGAGCCTCCGGTAGTTGCTGTTATCTGTCCGCCATGTTCTCCCGGAAGACTGGCACAGTACTCTTAAGTGTCCTTAAGCTTGAAGATGAATTACGCGTTTTTAACCATAAATAACTTGTTTTAAATGTGCTGGCCTTCTCTGGTGACTACTAGTCAGTAATGTGTTATCTAACACATATTTTCAAAAATACAAACTCACTCGCTAAGAATGGGGAGGAAACAATTGCTTTTTGAATGGCAGGAAAACATTTTTTAAAAATGAAAATCAGGCTGGTATTAGGGAATTTGTTGCTTTTATATGATGCTACAGCTGAAAATGATCAGAGCTGACAATAAAAATCTTGGAAATAAAATTTTCAAATGTCTTTCAAAAAATTTCAAAATGAAGCGTATCAGTGAGATTAGAACCCTTTGCAAAAATGCAACATCTTCCAATCATTTGGTCCACCCACCATGCACAAATTGACATCATTGGCAGAAGAGTAATTTATGACTGACATTTCAACAAAAAAGTCTTTATATAATTTTTCTCTCTTCTGTGGCAGGGATCAAACTTAGGGTCTTGAACATGCTAGACAAACACACTACACTTGAGCCATAGCTCAATCCCAAAATGTTCATAGTTGAGAATCATGATTTCATCAACATAACCAGCAAAATAATTCTTCCAATTGAGGATACCCATCTTTATAAGCAAACTTGTCAGCCATGATAACATTTGAAATCAAGTTTAGGAATAAAAGCAGTGCTGTGTTTTAATGGAAAAAATAAAACAATTTCATAACAAAAAATCACCATCAGAGTGGGAAAAATTTTAGTTGTTCCTCAACAAAGGACTTATATCTATAATAACTAAAGAACCAAAAAAAATCAGACCTCCCTCAATATCAAAGACAAGGTCCAAAAATGGGCATCTGAGATGAATATACACTTCTCAGATGAAGAAATATAATGGCAAATATATTAAAAAATGTTCATCATTGGCCATTTGAGAGATGCAAATTAAAACAACACTGAGATTCCATTTCACTTTGATAATGCTGTTTTTAATCCACATTTTAAACATAGTGAAACATATCAAAATGCTCCCCTCCCAGAGAGTATCCTTTTAGCAAGAGCAAAAATGTTTAGTTCATCTGTAACTTCAAAATTTCTATTTGTGATTGTTTTATGATTTATGTTACAAATAAATCTAGAAAGCTCTTTTGGGGTGCTTGAATTAACAGTTTCTGCTAAGCAGATGCAGTGGAGAAGCAGAGGTCCATGCACATGGTGGCAAGTCTGTGGCTCCCACATGGGCCACATGAGGAGCAGCCTCTGCTCCATCCACTCACAGGAAGGAAAGCACGCTTTGGTCCAGCTGTTTGTCATAGGAACAGTATCAGTGTCAATTCAGGAGGCCCATACCACTAAATCAATAAACGGTATTTGGAAGCAAAACACATGCAATCTAATAAACTATGGAATGAGGCAGCTCATATGAATGATCCTAAGAATACAAAACTTTATCATCACTCTCTATGTGGCAGGCAGAGCCCTGTATCTTCCTCCCAAGGACTCCCCACAGCCTTAAAACGGTTCTGAGAGGTGGGTGAGTCAGGTTGCAATATCAGTGGGGTTTGTTTTCCAACTGCGATGCCTTCCAGAAATGGGTGGTGGTCTGGGGAGAATTCAGGCAACCATGCAGGTTCCTTCATCTCTCCAGGGAATCTCAGACTCAAAACAAGCCTGCTCCTATGCCCTGCTATGTAAAACTGGTTTCTAAAATAGAATTGGGGGAAAAATAGAACTGGGGGAAAAAAAAGTTTGAAATTTAAGCTTCATGATGCCATCAATCTGCTGGTCCCAGGAGATGAATGCTGAGCTATTTTCCCAGCAAGTAGAAAAATCTAAGCTGTGCTATGGGGCTCCCTTCTGGCCTCTGCCCCAGGGTTTGGGCACTTTCCTCTCTAGGTGGTTGACACTTCTTGGCTGCTTCCTTTTATCTGCCCATACAAGGCACAGAAGTACAGCAATTGGTTGTCATTCTGGCACTAAGTGGTCTAGGCAGAGCCAGCCTGGTGGGTGTGTGACTTGTGAGTCACACAGAGTCCCATGTTCAGAAGGACTTTGTGCTTGGTTTAGTGATCTGCTGTTGCTGCCATAAAATTCTTAGCTTTCAACCAAGAATCTTGTATTTTCATTTTGCGCTGGGCTCTGAAAATTATGTAATTGGTCTCAGGTCGAGGCCAAGATGCAGTAGTTGTAGCAGAGGCTCTGCCTAGACCAGTTACTGCCAGAATGACAACCCATTGCTGGACTTCTGGGAGAACCGTGGTAGGTGATACACCACAGAGACTAAAAGAGGCGGGACTGATGCTTCCAGCCCAGATTTGCACACAGGAGAGAGAATAATTACAGCTTGCATTCGTCAAGCACCTGCTCCCTCTCAGGCCCTGCCAATACAGATACTCATGTAACCCAGTCTTTTTAGGTGGCATCCTCTCATCTTATTACTCCTAGAGAAATTATATCGTTCCTAAGGACTCAGGATCACAATCCTCTTTCTGCCTTGTATGATCCTCAGTTCCCAAACTCTCCAGGCATGGTGGAGTAGTCGAACCTCTGAGCCTGACTGTGCTTGATGGATCATGAAGAATGAAATCCAAATGATCCAAACACCATTCTGGGACTATATTTAGGGCACATCTCTGTCTCTCTCACCTGCTTACCTTTTTCACATCTTCCCCGTGCCTCTGCCCAGCACTGTCTGAAACATCTCTGTCAGAGCAAACTTACTGCTGGCTGATGCAGTCGGAGACCCACAGGGGTGACCCCAATCCCCTGTAGGGAGCAGAGACCTTTGGTGGGTAGTAGTACTGGCTGCCAGGACAATGAGACAAGCTTATAGTGACAAGGCTCCTCAAGACTGCCAGGAGATAAGAGGGCACACACTCAAGTGGCCTCCTGCTGCTGAACTCTGGCCAACTGTGATGCTTTTGCTAATAAAAAATCTGGTGAACATCCGAGAGGACCATAAAACCATAACCTTGAGGCTTTCTTTTTCAATAGTCAGAGGTCTGCAAGTCAACATAATGTTACAACCTAGACACTATAATCAAATAGTAAACAGCAAAAATAAACACACATTCTAGGCAACCATTTCTTAGATGTGGCCGTTAAGTTACATTAACAGGATATCTTTTCACTTACTTGGGATACTTTTTCCAAACACTGTACTTTGCTTATCTTGTTAATTTGTGGTATGGATCCAATGATAATGTATTCAAGTGCTTTGTAAAGTCAAGGCTGCCAAGTTTTCCGATCAGTATGATTATTTTGCAAAACTCTTGAATCACATATTCGAGTCAATGCTGATAATGGTTCCCAAAGTACCTCTTCTATTGTTTGAACACATCTGTTACAGTTTGTTTTTCTTTAATAATAATATAGTGTCTGGGCCCAAGTCATAGCTCTGTTTAAACTATTTTAGGAAGTTCTATTTGTACTTCTTTCATAAATCTGCCTATTTATATAAATGTACAGCACATGTAATTATATACAGGACATCGTACTTGGTAGTAAGAAACAGTTGTGTTGCTGGCTTATGCACTGGCTATACTGTACTTTTTGTCATTATTTTAGAATATATTCTTTCTACTTAAGGTTTACTGTAAACAGTATGCACAATGTATCAGCAGTGTCCTTGTATGTCTTGTGTTTACTGCATCTGCCGATTGCATCCTGACCAAGCCTAATTGGCCTTGATCGCTCAGGTTGTGCAAATCCGTTCCATGATCACACAGTGACAAAAATGCCTAATAATGTACTTCTCAGGACACATTCCTGCTCTGTAGCAATGTAACCAGTCTTCCCTCAGTGCTACTAGTTTGTAAAACATCGTGGGTCATATCTTGCCTCTTATACCTGATTCTCACTTATAAGGATTGTTTATTCCCTTGTTAATTAAAAGACTTACTCTCTGATACAACTCCATTTTTCTTTTTTGAATTCAAAAGCCTCTCTGAGGCATACCAGTGTATGCTAGTAAAATAAATCATTGTCTCTAAGTTTAAGTTTTAAAAAGTGGATTATTAATCAGAGACGTTTGAGACCAGTTGGAAACAGGGATGATGGGACCATTATTATCTCACGAAGGTAATGACTCTCTCTTCTAAATTCTTATTTTATATGGCATTTATTTGCAGTTTGGCACAATTCACTGTTGGAGTTGGTGATTTTATATTTTGGGGTTATCGTCCTAGATGGATCCTGACATTCATTTCCACTGTGTAGTGAAAGTGTAACTCTGAACCAGTCCCTCTTTTCTGAGTCACAGTTTCCTTGTCTACAAGGAAGAATGTCATAGTGATGAGAGAAGTGTCATTACTATGCAGGTGCCAGTCCTAGCGCAAGTGCTATAACTATGTATGTTAGCTTTTATTGGCACATTTTCCTTTGTCCTAATCTTTTCTCACTAACACAGTTTCAAATTAAAGGTTACAACCATCACAGCCACACAAGCTATGAAGGACAGGTATTACCTCCTTCCTATTTCTGTAGTATCCTTGGGGGGGAGATACTGGGAATCAAACTCAGGACCTTGTGCTTGCCAGGCAAGTGCTATGCCACGAGCTATCTCCCCAGCTCCTCCACAGTGTCCTTCTAACCCAATCATCTGGCTCATGCATTTCATAGTTAATTTCTTCCCTGTCAACGTTTGCTATACACCATGCTCATCTTTCTCTAACTAGATGGCTTTGTCCCAGTCTCCATGGCCCCATTCTTGTGGACCTCTAACCAATTGTCTCCCCATGTTGCAGAGCTTACTTAAAGGTCTGAAGCCTCAGTGAAGCCTTTTTACCAAATTTAATTCCTTTTAATTTTTCTTTTTTGAATTCAAAAGCCTCTCTGGGGCATATCAGTGTGAGTTTCCTCAGGATTTGGTGGCTATGGTATGGCTTAGGGTGTTATTCTAACTAGACTGAATATTTTCCTGAAAGAAAAGAACATGGCAGTGCATACGGGTTGAGAATCTCTTATCCAAAATGCTTGGGACCAGAAGTGTTTTGGATCTGAGAAATTTTCCTGCCTGTGTAAGACAGGAAGCAATATGTATATTTACATATACATTAATTCATTTATGTTTCATATACACATAGCCTGCAGGTAGCTCTGTACAATATTTTCAGCACACCTGTATTTAGATTATGGCTCCTCACATGAGGCCAGGTGTGAATTTTTCCACTTGTAGTGTAAAGATGGTGCTAAAAAAGTTTGTTTTGGAGCATTTTGGATTTTTATATTAGGAAGTTTTGATTTATATAATACCACCAGTTACAAGAGGATACTTAAGTGTATTTTTGAGTGTTGGGTTTTCAGAATTTATCTGGTGGGAATTTGGGTCTGGTTGGTGGTTGTGTCCCTCTTGAAATGGTTTCCTCCTTTCTTTTGCCTAGTGGTCCTCAGTTAACCAACCTGGGGACCCCTTTTACATTTTCTAGCCGGGATTACTCAGGTGGTGTGAATTCTATCCCTCGGCCCAGGAGACGGTAGACTTGTGCTAATGAATTCCAGGCATTTTTGAAGTGGGAGCTACTAGACAAATAGAAACTGATGGGAGGAGAAAAAAAATGGTGTGGTTTTAAACCCCTGGGTTTAATGGCTTATCCTGATTGTGGCACTGTCTTAAGGCTCATGCACAATCTAGGATGTGTGACTTGGTCATCACACCTTTAGTCCAGAGGAGGAACAGGAAAAGGCATGCTATTCCCATTTGCAGAGATGGAGGCAGAAGCCTAGAACTCTGGGTCCTCTCTTCTGTGTTCCCAAAAAGAGAGAAGTTGATAATCTCTCACGAGGGAAAGACAGGCAGGCAGTCTTTATCTACAAGCTACTCCCAGCTCCCCAGACTTATCCTCTTCCAGGTCTGTCCTCTTCTCCTGACAGCCTGGGACCTACCCTGACCCTTTGCAGAAAGCCATCTGTTCCTATGTGTGTCATATTTAAGAATTACAGCGTACTTTTAGATCTAGTAGCTGCTTTTTCAAAAGTGCCATGAGAAAAGCAAAGTGGACACTCTGAGACATTTGGGTTAGCCTGAAAAACTGCACTATTTAGTTGATGATAAAATCTTGATAAGATTTTGGTGAGATAGAAGACAAAGAAAGTAGAAAAGAGGTCTTTATTGCGGGGATGGGAGGGCTAAGAAAAGGTGCGGGCACTCTCAGAATGAAGTAGAAGTACTTTTAATAGGTCTGGCTGGGGGAGGAGTTTGGGGCTGGGAAAGGTGAGTAAAATGACGTATTAAGCACTGATTTGAAGGAGCATCTGCCTGTGTAAAACAGGAAACTAAGATTTACTGGGGGCTGGGGGTGAAGCTTGAGTGGTGGTGGAGTCTTGGGAGTGGAGAGGGCTCAGCACGTGCACAAAAGGGGAGGGGGAGGTTTATCTCTGGGATAAGAAGGAGAACATAGCAGTTACTCTTGGATAAGCTGCTTCTCTGCGCCCGGCACTTCCAAAACTGCTCACTGCCTTCTGCCCAGGCTTCTGTGCAGAGCAAGAGAGCATCTGTAAGAGGCATCAGAGCAGGGCCTTGGCCCAGTAGGAGCTCAAAAAAGTACAGGTTCAGCCTGTATTTTTAGACACTCTCTTGCCTTCTCTCAGAAACCTACTGTATAACTAAGAGTTGCTGCCTAAATTTAGCACCTGAGAAAATCAGGCTGAGGACACATGACATACTCCTTTTCCTCCTAAAATAATGTCAAAATAGCCCTCTTCCAGGGACATTTTTCCTACGTTTCTAAAACAGCCAGGAACATCTGATGGATGCCCCAGGATTGAATTACACACTGTCACAGAGCCTCTTGTTTTTGAGGTTTTGTGTTCTTGGTCAGGTTGTGACATGTACAGTCTTGGAGACTCCACAATATTCTCCATTGTCCTGGGTATATGACAACTATGTGTCAGATAGAATTAGACAGTGGCCAGCCAGCTCCCAAAGTCTAGCTACCACCTGGTGACCAGCATTTTCTGATTTTTAAAACTGTGCGTTCGGTAAGAGAGTTTATTTATCTTGGCATTGAGATGGAGCCAGGCTCTGGCCTGAATCCCGTAGGCAACTGTGCCCAAGACAGGACTGGAGAGACCCAGGCTCCCACACTTGTGCACTCTGCAGAAGGGAAGTGAGGACTACAAGCAGGCTAAGTCAAAAACATGATGGCTTTGGTTTTTATTAAATTTGTCAATTCTAGGAGTAAGGCCAGAAAACAGCCCATGGGCCGAGAAGTCACAATAGTCCGTTTGGCTTCCTGTGTCACCGAGAGGGACTGGTGAGGAGGGTGGCTGGGTAGTGAGGGTGAGGATCTGCTCCCAAAGGCTTAGAAGTTGGCAACTGGCACGCTTTCTGGGGGAGATTTCTTCTGGCGACGTCTAAAGCTGCTCCACAGGCTCACTGCAAGGATGCCGACTATGAGGCCGACCAGGAGGCCACCTGCTGCTGCTGCTGACACAATCCCGGGGGCTACACCAGAGGCTTTTTCAGTCTGGACTGGGAGTGACAAGCTGTTCTGAAGGGTGTAGAGGTAAGGGCTCTCCTGCAGAGGAGGAGAGGAGGGTCAGAGGATTGGGGTACAACTTGGCATTTGTCTCTGTACTTGGTCCCCAGCCCTAGTAGGCACAATGATCTTGCGTGTTTTCACAGCCCTTCCCTGTTGGCAAAGCGCCATGATTTATACGGTGCAGGAGCCTTCTGAACAAGGATAGGTCTCTCAACACCCAACCATAACCTCCTTTAGCTCCTCCCCAGCATCTCCTTTCCTGTCAGATCTGTCTTTGCAAGATTGCGGACTCATCAGTGATAACCGAAAGACTCATGGTGGCAGCTGGCAGAGCTCCCACTCTGTGTCCTCCAGGTCACTACTGGACACTGATCACCATCCTGGGAGTGCCAAGGGTCTGGGAGAGGTCACTGCAAGAGGACAATGGGCTCCGCAGTGGATTAAAGCAGCACAGTGTGAAGGGCCAGGAGCAGAGTCATCTGGGTCTGCCCCCCAGATCCTTTTCTTTCTTCTGTTCTCCTCTATTTTTCTCTCTGTGTTTTCTGGGTGGGGTCATGGGCCAGGAACTGAGCTGAGTATCCAGGGCTGGCACAGGAGATCTGCTATCATTGCCCAGCAGGGAAATGAGACACACACAGAAGCAAACATAAAGGAGAACGTGTGCAAGCAGCGAAGAGTGATCAATACAGGGGGCCACGTAGGGCAGGGACAGTCGAGGAAGACAGGGTGAAATCACAACCCAGAGCAGCACCAGCTGGGCTCAGAAGGAGGTGTACATCTCCACAGGCAGGCAGGGAGGGGAGGGGAGCCACCAGGAGCAGATGGCAGAATAAAAACACAAGACAGACACCAGAGGTACATCTGGGAAGTGGATCCCTTTGTCAGGAGTGTGGAGTATATAACAGGGGAGTGGGTTCCTCTCTGGATTCCTCCAGTCCTGGGCAGTGGGGTCCAGGCAAGGATTTCAACAGCCTGAAAAGGCTGGGGTTGCCTCCTAGGGAGCAAACCCAGGATGATAAGAAGGGCTAGAGAAAGAGCAGGGCTGTGTCTGTGGTCCAGCCGAAGGAAGTGGGCATGGAGAGAGAGGTCGAGGACTGCAGTCTTTGGTTTGAACCCCAAGTCCCTTTTTAGTGCCTGCAGAGCTCCTCCATGCATGCTTGAGACCCAGGATGCACGGCTCCGGACAGCACTAAGGAGTGGCTCTGGGCACCAGGCAGTGCTCACTAACTAGGTGCCTCCCTCACATCTCCCCTCCCCACCCCCCGAGTTCTGGTGGCAATGACAAGGTTGGGAGAGTGGAGTAGGATGGTGGTGAGTGACAGTGTGCAGAGGCCTGCAGAGGCTCCCTTGTGCCCCCAGATGAGAGGGGCCTGGCTTCCTCCCACCAGTGGGACATTTACTCACAGTCGAGGGGCACTTGAGTTTGGTTCGGTTGTAGGTGAAGTTGTTGAAGGTTGTCTTATGGCCCACTGGTTCCAGCTGGAGAGAGAAACAGATACATGACTCCCTCCGGAACGAACAGAGACTTCCCTGATGGAAAAGGCAGCTCACACACACTGCATTCCCATCTTTTCAAAGGGTAGGCGGGAACCAGCAGGCCTGGGCCAGAACTGGGCCAGAACTGGAACTGGCTTCTGATTCACAGCGGTGAGTCTGAGTTTGCTTGAGTTGATGTGCCTGAATTTAACCAGGAGGCCAGGAGACAATGACCAATTCAGAGTCCACAGCATGTTCTGGAAGGGCTGGGACCATAACACCCATCTCCTGGCTGCTTTCATGGGAGTTTAGGATTGCAGACACCATATTTTTAATGTTATAAAATATTGATAATCATATTTACCTACTTTTCCAAGTGTGTGGGGCTAGTCAGTCTCAGGACAACTTTGAAAACATATTGGTTACCATGACATTCCTAGTACACTCGGTTTGTTAACCTTAAGAATCTGGAATATTTTCACTCGAGCTGCTTTATGTGTTTATTGACACAGATGAAAAGATTTACTTGAAATATCCCTGGGACTCACTGTGCTTAGCTGGGGGTTCTGCTGAATGTTTCCATCTGAGAAACCCCGAGACTGAGCTGAAAGCTCATATTCAGCAGCATCTCTAGCCCGTAGCCTGCCCCTGACCTGTAGCCTGTATGGGGAAGGACAGTCCTGGCACGTGCCTGCATGCCAACTCCGTCCAGCGTGTCCTCTGCCCATCCTACAATCTGCTCCCTGCCCGAGCCTGATCACCAGCCACTGCCAGTGTGGAGATGACAGTACTCCTCGCCCAGCCCACGGTCTCACTTTCTGTGTCTTAAAGCCTTTTGTACTCATTCCTGAGTGACACAATTAGAAGAGGCAGGGTGGTTCTGGTCCTGGGAGAGACACCACGGTGACTTAGCTGAGCACAGCGGGCAGATGGCTGGGTCCCCAGCAGGTGGCTGTGCCATCAATGACCACGCAGCACCACTTGACACCCCCCAGGTTGGGGACAGATGTCACAACGCTGTCCCAGATGCTCCAGGTACGGTTACTGTGAGCATAGATTGGGTCTTTTTTTTTTTTTTTTTTTTTTTTTCATTTTTATTGGTATCAGGGATCGAACTCACGACCGCCTGCTTGCAAGGCAGGTGCTTATGCCACTGAGCTAAATCCCCAGCCCCGTGAGCATAGATTGGAAGGTGACAGGAAGGCATGTGTGAGCTGGGGGGACTCACATACATACACAAGTGTAATTTCCACTCACAGAGAGCTGAGGAAACACAGTTGTGTTCTAGCATCAGGCCCTCTGGGACACTCCAGGAACACACTGGCACAGAGGAAGATTGTGACCGGGTGGGCGGATGAGTGCATCAGTTTCTCCAGTCCCACCAGCTCCTTCCCTTCGGCTCCCATCTCCTGTGTCACCTCCCATCCCTTCACCGGCCTGTCCTCGCCTCGTCTCCCTCTCCTGTCTTTGCTGTCTCAGCTGTCACTCCCTTCTGACTTCTGGAGAGTTTCCTGTAGCTGCTGCCTGCCCTGCCCAGCCTTGGTCTCTCCTGCCCACTTCAACTGGTCTGCAGCCTCCATTGCTTGATGGCAGCCAAGGTCACCAATGACCTGTGTGTGGCCAGACCTTTCCGGCAGTGTTTGTCAAAGATGACCCCCGCCCCACCAAAACACCTGACACTCTGAGACCCCGGGACACTACACTCTTCTCTTCCTCTCTCCCCGCTTCAAAAGGTGGAATGATGCCCACGGGCTCGGGAGTTGGTGCCACTGATCTTTTCTGCACATTCTTCTGTGGGTGTTCTCAGTGAATCCTCTGGGCATGGTTATTTTTGTGTTTTAACTTTTCATTTTCACATATGAGAGAAAATGTGATACTCGTCTTAATGTTTCTGGCTTTTCCTAAAAATGACAGTTTCATTCTTTTTCATGGCTAACTACTCCTCTGTGGTGTGATATGTTTATCCATTCATGGAGGGGACCGAGGCGGACTCCACTTCGTGGCTATTGTGAATAGTGCCACAGTTCACACACACACACACACACACACACACACACACACACACACACGCAGCTAGCTGTCTTTTTTGTATGCTGATTTGATTTTCTTTACATGCACACAGGCAGGTATATTTTCCACATAGCGGGATTCTATGGGAGTTCTTGTTTTAGTTTTTTGAGGCATCTCCATACTGTTTTCCATAGTGGCTCACACATGCAGACACACAGACATTCTGTCTGGAAGTGTACGGATGTTCTTTTTCCTTCACATCCTTACCAGCATCTATTTATTCTTTGATAAATAAACCATTCTGATAATAATTCTTTGATAATAACCATTCGGGGGCAAGGTGAACTCTCAGAGTAGTTTTGATTTGCATTTCACTGACATCTAAAGATATTGAACATATTTCCAAATATTTATTGGGCATTTTAATCCGTGTTTTTTTTAATAACACATCATTGCTATCAGCACCATTTTTACCTTATAATCTCCAGCCTGCCCTCGTCTATTAGCTCAGGACTTCCTCAGGCACTTCAGGCTCATTCCTGACCCCAGGCCTACACACGGGTCCAGTTTCCTGTCCCTGGGACACATGGGTCCCACACTCCTGCCTGCCTAGCAACCTCCTGACATTCAGTTCACAGATCCCTGTTCCTTATCTCCCTATTTGACTTTTATTTTTTAAAGCCCCAAATATGGCCAGACCCTGTTGACTTTTTGGGTGACTTGTTTATTCCTTATCTCTTCCCTACTGTAATGTAGACTCCCCTAGAGTAGGGACATTACTGTTCTTCTCCCTGTGGAATCCCTGGCTCCTGGAACAGCACCTACCCCCAGCAGGGCTGGAAAAACAGTTATGCAATGAGTGGATGGAGGAATGCAAGGCCCCCAGACCTGTGAGGGAAAACTCAGGCACAGAAGTTCTCGGGTAGCTGCAGGAAGCTGAGCTGTTATTGCTTACACCAGCTTTCCCTGAACCATACACTGTAGTTACTGATGCAGGCAGAGTGCAAATAGATCTGGTGACCGCAGGCCTGTCTTGGAGGCTCAGGAGCACTCCATGCGGGAACTGGCACCTGAGTACCACTGCGAGTGGGCAAAGAGGTAAGAAGGGCAATCCAAGATAAGGTAATGAAAAAGTACAAGCACACACAGGCGTGAGACTACATGGGTGGTGCCGGAACTTGCAGAGGTTACCAGATTACAGACTTGGACGTTTGAAAGCAGGCGGGTGACCTGGTCAGGTTTTCTTTTAGGTACATCATTTGGTTGTTCTGTAAGGACCAGATCTAAGAGTGACTCATAAATCCTGCATGTTAAAATCACCTAGGGAGGTTTTTTAAAGTGTTGAACCCACAATCCACTCTAGACCAATGACATCAGAATCTCTGGAGATAAGAGCAGCCCGGGACTTTGTTTTTGTTTTTTTAAGTATTCTTTATGGATGCTAACATACATACAGAAACAAGTAGAAATCACAGGGTGAGCAGCTGATCAATTGGGATAATACAAATGTATTAATGTCCAAACCACTAAACTGATATTACCAGTATTCAGAAGCCAGCCCTGACTTCATGCACAAAATATTGCATCATCTTGTTGTAGGAATGTTTTATTCATTCTATCAATAGTGGGGATTTGGGAGGTTTCTCATTTGGAACTGTTATGAACAACGTTGCTAAGAAACTTCTCCTATGTATTTTTTGGGGGAAACATGTGTCCCTTTCTGTCAGGGATAGATCCTGGAATGAAATTGTTGGGTCTCAGGAAATACATATGTTCAGTATTTGCTATACCGAAGGTTTTTTGAGTGGCTTAGGACTCAGGGCCTTTGGAAGTCCCCAGGTGATTCTAATATGCAGCCAGAACACAGAATCGCTGTTCTAAGAGCAATAAATCTGGAGACAGGTGACAATTAGGAGAGGTGACTCTTAGCTGGAATAGGATTTCTAGAGTGGAGAAAGGGGGAGCAGTAGGAAAGTAGGTCCCAGAAAAAAGGAAATAGTTTTTGTAAGAAGAATAAACAAGGTAAAGAAAGATAAAAACATCTGGTGGTGTATTTCTGGCTTTGCTTTTGTGCAAAGGTCTCTGGAGAAGGAGGTGTGAGCTATTAAGAGAGGAAGAGTAAGAGATGAAACAGCTTAGGGTGCATTTGTTGCCCGGTTGGGTACCCTGGGAACATCCGCCGAAGCCTGCAGACACTATGTCATGGGACTCAGGTTGTGAGACATGAGTTCACTGGCTATATATGTGTTTATCAGGTTGGGAGCAGAGGGGAGGGTGGTGAGGTACCCAGGACACTAGGAAAAGATGCAGACAGCCTGGACTCTCGTCTCTGGTGTACTACTGACCAGCTGTGTGGTGCTGGGCAATTTACATCTCTGTAGTTTAATCACAAAATGTTCTGGCTGGATGACCTCTTAGATGTATTCCAGCTCTAACAGCCTATTATTTATCTGATGTCACTCTAGGGGTAAAATTCCAGTAAGAAGATGATTGAGAAAGTTGGCATCATGCTCTCTAGCTTTGTGTCTGAGATGGTTTGGGATGAAAACACTGCACACTGTAATCATTTCCCCAAATTACATAGCACAGGATCAGAAACCCTTGGATGATTTTAGTTTTGTTTTACTTTGTTTTTGTTATTTTTAAATATGGGGGAAAGCTGAGATAATATTTGGGCAGTGTTGTCACCAATAGGGCTCTGTGGGCGTGTTCATCTTTTCTTGTCTTTTTATACCTAAAGCTCTTTCCTATCTGTATGAAGCAAAAGCGTCCCAGTGGATGAATGGGATGAACTGCTAACCTGCTTTGGAAGAGAAGGCCAGAACTATGCTGTTAATCATATGGTGGGAAGGCAGGACCACTGGCCTCTGTCTCCTGTGAGTCATCAGTGAGGCCACCGAGTCCCGGGAGACTCCTGGAGGGTCCCAACTTTAATACCACCCAGCCGTAGACTACCACCCAGGTAGGAAGGCTGGAGAATGTGGAAAGAAAGGCCAAGGGCTTAGCTTTCATGGCTCTTCTTGGACTCTGTGGATTCCTCTGAGGTCTTGGGAATGAAATGGGATAGAAATGGTTTTCTGCTTTTTGGGAGACTCTGGCTGCCTGATTGTACTGGGCATTAAACCCAGGGCCTTTGCACCTAGCTGTATCCCCAGCCCTCTTACAGTTTTAAATTTTGAGACAGGTCTTGCTAAGTTGTCCAGGTGGGACTTGAACGTGTAGTTCTCCAACCTCAGGGTCCCAAAGTTCTGGGATTACAGGCATGCGTCACCACACCCAGCTTTTGGGAACGAAGACATGTGATTTAGCCACTGAAAGACAACTTGACTTCAAAACAAACTCTATAAAAGAAATCTAACTGGCCATGGAAATTACATTTTGCAAGCTTTAATTTTAAAAAATACTGTGGGAACATTTTGGTGGCAATTCAGAGTCCCGAGTGAAAGGGTGTGGTGGAAATGTTTAGAAGTGGGCAGATAGATGATGTCAGCAGAAGGAAAACCCCAGGACAACCTAAATAGAGGAGAGCTGAGCCTGCAGTTCTATAGACCCAGCATAAAACTGCTCACAAGCTGTACTAAGAGGTTGCTGGCCAGGCAGAGGGAGTGTAGCCAAGGAGAAAGTCAACATTTGTGAGTCAACTGAGGAAGACACTGGACATTTGGGTGAACTGCCAGGTGTGGGAATATTTGCACAGCGGTGGTTAGCAGAGACACCAGAGGCTTAAAACTGCACTAGAAGTTGCAGAACTGTAGACTGTTTGGTCACCATGGGAGAACCGGGGAAACACACAGGTCAGCGTGGGGATTGGGTTACAGGCTGAGCCTAGATCAAAGGAAGCTACGGGATTGGGAAGGTGTCTCATTTGGTCCGAGCAAGAGGATACAGGTATTGGGGGACCAGCCAAGTACTGCAAACACAGCTGGTCATTCCACAGCCAGTGGCCAGCTGCAGAGGGTGGAAATGAGGACAAGGCCAGGGGCCCTTGTGGACCCGAGGTGGTATGTGCTTTTCATAAGGTCCCTTCCCAGCTCACTGGAGAGGACCGGACAGGGTTTCAGCCTGAGAAAATAAGCTGTGTGCATCTTTCTAAAATAATAGCTGGGAGTGTGAGACGGGGCACTGGAATGTAACAGAGCTGACATGTGTTGCAAGTTAATTACCGTGCTGGCTGCTGTGTGCCTTGATCTCAACTAATATTCTGTATCATTTTCGTTCTTCCATAGATGTTAATACAGATCACTTGCTCTAGGTCACACAGGGACGGAATGAAGGTGGAATTTTTACTGAGTCTACCTGTTTGCAAAGTCAGCCTCTGGCAGTGCCTGGGCGTCACTGAGAGTTGCATATGTGCATGCATATTTTGAAAACGACACATCAGGACAGAGTGTGCTGCCACCATTCTGAACTTTGGGGGGAAAGGAGTCATGTGAGTAGGTATGTCACTGTGGGAGGCAGTGACCTGGGGCCGTCCCCCTTCACATATGGCTGCCAGGCCCTCAGCCACTCACCATGTTGTTCCAGAGTGCGATGGCCATCTCCGCGTGGCCACGTTCTGAGAAATGAAGACAGTCCTCAGAGAAGAAGGTGGGGTCAGTGCTCCCGAGCTGTGATCAGAGACAAGCAGGTTATGATCCTCACAGTGCTACCTCTCCCCTCTCGTCTCCCTGCCCAGCAGATGCTTCGAACATTTCTCTTTTTGTCCTTTGAGTTCTGCTGCCAACTGGTGGGAAACCCCAAATTTTGCAACTTTTTAAAAAAAACACATGAATTGTAGCTACCCCCAGTCCATCTCTTTTTCGGCCTGAACGTTGAAAAACAATAATTACAACGTTAGGAAGCTTTCACTTCTATCCTAACCTAGCAAATATAAGGGTGGCTTGGTCACCACTGATTCTCTTTCTTTCTGTCTATGTTCTAATGATAACAAAAAGGCAAAAGAACAATGCTTGGGAGCCCAAATGATGGTAATAAAGAGCCCCCATGGATGAAGGAAATGCACCCATCATCCGAGCTAAGGCTCCACCGTTAGCCTCCCAGCGATGACATCAACTCACCTTGTCCAGCGGGATGAGCGTGTTTTGGAAGAAGGGCTGCACCACAACCGCAAAGTCCTCGCGCTGCGTGTACTTTTCTTGGTAGGACAACCTGGAGATGTCACTCTGAGAGTGGGACAGGCTTCTTAGGGCAGGATAGGCAGGGTCTACTCTGCTGCCTTGGCTTGGCTGTGACTACAGTCAAGCCATCGTACACAAAGACGACTTAAAGGTGCTACACCAATGTGACACACATGCACATTGCTTCCGTATCCCTCATTGAGCACATGCACCCCAAGACCTCTGCTGGATGTCAGGGTCAGCTGAACTCAGTGGCCCCAGTTAGAAGAGCTCCCCAACTTCCCAGACCTGCTCCGTCCATTCCAAGGTGCAGCCCACCCTCCCTGCATGCAAAGGCCAGTTAGATCCAGCTCAAGTGAGTGGCGAGCATTTCAGCCCAGCCCCCCAGAGTGCCCATGCCCTTTGGTGGAAGAGAGTCCATGGTTGCTGGATTTGTTTAGTGCCAAAGTAAGAAATGTAAATGGAATAGACTAGAAGTACTTATCCTCAAGGAGCTTACCATCCATCTGGGAAAAGGAGGCAAGATATAAAAACATAAGAACCATAGACAGCTCTAGGGTCCATCATGTGTACCTTGGACTTGATTTGGGAAACCCTTAGCAGAAGGAGAAGGCTTGCCTCTGGAATGGAGATAGATCACATCCAGAGAGGGAGCAATAGAAGCAGAGGCACCCACGGGCAGGAGAGTGTTGGGGAAGGAAGTGGAGGAAATAGGGAAGGGATGGTGGAAGGGAGTGAGGTAGTAGCAGGTGGCCACCATCCCACCTCCTCTGGGTAGAGGACACTCCAATGACATGGAGTGCACTCTGAGGCCAAGGCTGTATCTGCTCGGGGTTGGTCGGAGAGTCTCCACTATGGGCTCTCTCCCTGCACCCTTCCCTTGCTGATCAGTTAGTCTGGACAAATATTTGGGGGGCTGCTATCTGTCTTTTAGGGAGAGCCTTGCTATCAGTAAAGCCCTGCTGAGCACACAAGTTCTGAGCCCTTGGTTGGGAAGCCAAGGGGTGCTCCTAATAGAGGACAGTGGGGCTCACCTGGAGGTTCCAGGTCACTTTCTTCAGCTCTTGGATCACAGGAGAGCTGGGGAAGTGTCGGAGGCAACTGCAGGTGCTCCTGGGAGATAAGAAGTCTGGGGGTGAGGCTCCTGGGGCAACCTGGCTGTGTCGTCCTAGGAGACTGACTAATGGGGACTCACAGCCATGCACAAGTAGCCCCACAATATACACTTGCTGTTGCTTGGACCCAGAAGGTCATAGAACTGTGCTTGTTGGAGAAGCTGGCACCTGACTGGGATCTCCTCATGCATGGCTGCCCATTTTTTCTCCTTCCCATGCTGGTGGCCCCTGGGGTTTCTGTAGCTGGGAGAAGCTGGAGTCTTGGGAACATTACCATCTCTTTGGGTACAGACTCACTCCTCATCATCCTGAGGCTCTCAGCTCTATGTCTGAGTGTGTATGAATCTCCCTACTGCACGGAGGGCTCCTGCATGGGACGTCTGTTGGGGCAGGGCACCAAGGTGTTGGGACATGCTAGCAGCAGATTCTGAGGAGACATCTCACCAGGGAGAGGGGTTTCTTAATGGCTGCATGAAGCAACTAGGCACCTTCACATCAAATCCATTTAACTTCAAATAGGACTGCCCAGCCGCCCGCAGAACCTCCTCCCCTTAGCAACAGTCATGCACACTGAGAGCCTTCTGACCTCAAGATGGCATACTCCCGCCAGCATCCCACTGATCCGTAAGGAATTTTAGCCCTCAGCAGGAACTCTTACCTTGCTTCCAGTCCCAGCTTTCAAGCATGAAATAAAACCTCCTGCTCTCTGAGAGCCCACAGCAAGTATTTCCTCTCGGCATCCCATCTACCTTGCAAGGAAGGTGTTATCCCTACTTCTAGGTGGGGGAGTTTCTCAAAAGTCCCCTGACTTTACAACAGCAAAACCAGGACTTGACAGTTGGAACTGTCATCAGTGCTCACTGTCCAACGCTGCGTTTCAGCAGAAGGACAAGCCAAGGTTGGACTTTGGAATCCAAGAAATGCCGAGGGGCATTCAGGATCATTTAGTTTGTTCCACTTGACAGAAAAAGCATGCTGGGATCCAGAGAAATGAAGGCACTTGCAGAGAGCAGGCGTTCATTAATGTAGAGGCATCTACTAAGTGGTTTCCTAAGCTGGTGACTAGTTCCTCCCATTCACCCTCTGAATAGGCCCACCTGGCTCTCCCATGGTACCCCCCCGCCGAGTCCCCCCCCCAGGTACCCTCCCCACCATTCCCTGCTCACTTACTGTGCTGCCAGCAGCGCAGTGCAATGCCCGCCTTGGCCCTGGTGCAGGCCAGCCAGCTCCATGATGTCTACTACGTTGATGAAGGCCCTCGGAAGCTGCAGGGAACAGAGAGGTGGGCTTCATGAGTCCCTGGGCAGGTGCGGGGAGAAGTCACTGGGGACTGCTGGAAGGAGCCTGAGGGATTGGCTTTTCCACGTGTGCGGTGCTAGGGTCTGAACCCAGGGATCTGTACTTGCTGGGCAAACACTTTGCCACCCAGCTCCATCCCCAACCTGGAGGTGATCACCTTTAATCCAATTTCACCCTCTTCTGTTCTACCAAAAAAGCAAATTTCACCCTCATCAATTTTACCCTCAGAGGCCCAGAGGGTAAACGTGATTTGTCTGATTTACTGATTTTTCTTTAATGCCCCACTTTATCACGTGGGAAGCAGAGACAGAGACATCCCATTGCCAGTAAGCCACAGGGTGTGACTGCAAACCTGGCAGCTCCAGGGCCAACCTCTGCTATTGCGAAACCCAGTCTTGGAGCCAGTTAGAATTTCCTCTGCAGAGGACCTGGGGCTGCTGCCCCAGCACTCAGGTGGCCACTCACGGCGGAGATTCCAGCGTCTCACTGAACTTGTCTAAAGGCACTCAGGACGGAACCCTTCCCCAGCGAGGGCGCTTACATGTGGGCTGCTACCTTCTCCTACCTCCTCATACAGGATGTCCAGGGCCTGTCGGATGTGCTGGACATACTCCTCGGCCGAGTGGTTCTCCTGTGAAGAAAAAAGGGGCCTCTCAACCCCTGGGTTCTACTCTGGGGAGACAAGAGCACAGGAGGGCTTTGGGGTCTTAGGTGGAGAAGGAGAGGAGTAGGGTGGTCCCGGCCAGTCTTCTTGCAAGTGGACCCCCTGCCAAAACAGGACAGGAAATTTCAGGTGCAGGATAGAGAACAGCTGGTCAGCTATGTGGATACCAGGGACCAGCATTTGTGTGTCTAAGAAAGAGCATTTCCTCAGCAGTGCTGGAAGAGTGGGTCCGTCTAAGTCCTTCTGGAACTGGGGACCACTCAGGCAGTAGAAAAGGCACAGCCTCACCTGCTATGTGCAAACCAGGCATCGTTTGGGCAGATTCAGGTGCCCGGGAGCCCTGGCAAGTGTGACTCCCATGAAGGAGGAGCATGTGACAAAGTCAGGCCCCCAGGCAAGGTTAATGCCAGAGATCACCAGTGGGGTTGCTCAGGAGCCTACCGGATTGTCACAGTAATGACACAAGTCATTGCTGCCAATGAAGAGGGTGATCAGTTTCCAGTCCATCTCCAGGTTGATCTCCTGAGGGGGAAAGATCCCGAGTTTAGTTCCATTTAGGGGTCTGCAGGTGGTACTTACCAGGCTACCCAGCCAGCTCCTCAGGCCACTTTCATTCTCTTTGCATCAAAAGAGAGTAGGTGAAAGTGGGGTCTCCCCACCCTCCTGGTACCCGGGAGAAAGAAGCTTCACAGAGAAGTGGTGGTTGTTGAGGGTATCTATGCCCAAGGGGAGCAGGGTATTTTCCCTTTGCCATGCATTTCCCACAGCCTGTTACAGGCCAAGAGGATTAGCAAGTCCTGAAATGGATCTAAAGGCCTCCACAGAGCCAACAGAAAACATGCAGATAGAAGCCAGTGCCCAGTGTCGATTCTTAGCAGTGTCCTGCGGGCCTCAGTCAGGGGAGGGAAAGGAGGGCCAGAGGCTGGCCGGGACCTAGAGGTGAGGTGGGGTCAGGCCAGCAGCCAGGCCCTCTTGCAGCTGCTTCCCGCTCACCCACCACCATAATAGGAGTCCTGCCAGGAGCTCCATTCCAAGGCATAAACACAGAGCATCTTAAAAAATGGGTGACAAAAAGTGTCAGAGCCTGGGCCAGCGGTAAGGAGCAAGACTTGGAATGAGAAGCCTATTTTTAGCACCTTGTATTTATATAAGAGGACTCTGGGTAGAGGGGGGAAGGCACTAGAGGCCCAAACCACGATCTAGGCCAGTTCTCTGTCCCTCTTCACCCTCCTGCAGTTGGCCCTAGAGGCAGGGGTTCCAGGGGAGCCCTCCACATAGGTGGTAAGCTGGGACTGTCACAGGGCCCTGCCACCTCTCCACGAGGATATGGCACCTTCTGGGTGGTGGTCCAGGGGTCAGTACTCACGGTGCTGGCTTTCATTCGTTCTACCAGGTCTCGGGCCTGGGCTGGCATGTCCCTAACAGGAGGAAGAAAAAGAGGACGTCAGCGTTGCTCAGGAGGGCTCCAGGGCCTAGGGAGAGCAGCGCTACAGGATGAGTAGTGTCCTACAAAGGTTATTTCTCAGGCTGCATCGATGAGCTGTCCGCTCTCCTGAATCCTGTCATGGACTGCGGGGTCACACTGACTCAGACCCCACTACCCATCATTTGTAGCCAGGGTGGAGGCCTAGATGGCCATTTGGGTTGGGACTGGTCAACTTTTCTTTCAGGGATTTTTCTGTGCTTATATCCTCAAGCTTTACCATTGCGAGCTAACCCTGTTCCTTATTCAGTTTTAAAAATAACGTCTGGCCGTTCTTTCAAGATTATGGTACACAGCGTATTAACTATTGTTATTCTCTATTTTGTTATGAAACTTTTTTTTCTTTCAAGACAGGGTCTTGCTACGTGGTACAGCCAGGAGATGTAGCCCAGGCTAGCCTCAAACTCATGGCAATCCTCCTGCCTCAGTCTCCTCCCACATGGTGGGATTACAGGAGTGTGCCACCACGTCCAGCTTTGTGCATATGTAAGAATTCTTTCTACATTAATGTCCACTTTGATTGCATTGAATAAAAAATTAAATAAAAATAATCTTTGTATTTGAGTCTTTTAACTTTTACTCTGACCACGCTATTCCTTCAATGCTTTTGTTTCTCCTCTTTGTAGTTAGATTCCCACAGAATTCCCTGCCACCCTCCTCTTTTGTTTTTTGACCCCTGCCAAAAAACAGGATTAGTTCTTCGTTCATCTCCTAGGTGTCTTCATAAATAAGACATGGCTGTTTGGTGTTCTGGGTAAGTTAGATGTATGCCAATGAGACACTATTCGGCCACACAAAAGGGACAAACTGTTGCTATACTTAACAATATGGATGAGTCATAGTGTCTCAAAATAAGTTTGCTGGATGGAATAAATCAAATTCCACCCACCGCCAAGAGCACATATTCTTTGATTCCATTTACAGAAAATTCCCGAAAATTTAAACTAACAGTAGCGGAAAGCAGGTTAGTTGCCTAGGGCCTGGGAAGAGGTTAAGGCGGGAATGGAGGGAGAGATTAAAAAGGGGAGATTACTAGGAAACCCTGTGGGTGATGGACGGGTTTATTACCTTGGCCACGGTGATGGCGCCACTGGTATGTACGTATGTCAAGCCTTATCAAGCTGTATGCTTTTAATGTGTACTTTATTGTGGTCAATTATATCTCAATAAAGCTGTTTCTTTAAAAAGATATGGATATGAGAAGTTAAGTCAACAATGGGCATCTAGTCAATGGAATCTTCATTGAAGAAGCCATAAATGAAGTAACCAATACAGGAAAGCCATTTAAAATTGGCCACTGAGCAAGCCCCATCCCTGCCCTTAGTTTTCATTAAGCAGAATGTCTACATCTGGGATCATCTGGATGCTACTGCTATTTATGGTGATACCAGGAAGCTACAAAGCAAGCCTGATAGGGTAAAGGTGACCACAGAAGTACCCATAACCTTTTACTAGGTTCAAGACATGACTAAGGGAACTCACAGATGAAGACCGTCCACTACTTCCCTCTTCCTAGGCAACCTCTTACCCTTCAGTTTCCCATGAGCCTTTGGTTTCCCATGAGCCTTTGCTCTGAGCCCATTTGGCATCTCCTCCATTTCTCTTCTCATTCCAGGGCTCTGGGCTTCTCCTTTCAGCTCTGCTATGTGAGCTTGCAGGGGCTACTGAGCCCCACCTGCTGGTGTGACTCTTTTCACCTTGCAAAGCAGGAGGCTGGGTTAAATGATTTCAGTAGTCCTGGCTGATTGTCATTCCCTCCATGAGGTCCTGGGCTGGGGCACATCCAGGTTTAGACTGCACACTTCTGTTTTCTCCCTGTACTCTATGACTCAGTATCAGTCTATTTCAGTCTGCCGTGTTGTCATATACAATACTAACTTTACCCAAAAGTTTTTTCCTGTTTGCTCAGTGTCCTTAACTAGAGCACAAGCTCTTTATAAACAAGTTCACATTTAGATTCTTTTGTATCTCTTAGTAACCGTTGAATGAATTCGTGCTTATTGGTCAGTGGACGGGACATTAGCTATTGAATAAAGCTTGAAATTAAATATCCTAATAATAGCAAATGTTTGTGCATGCATATTGTATGTTGTACTAAATTCTTTCCAAGGGCTACACATCTTATTCAATCCTGAGAAGCATCCCTGTTTTGATGAAGAAACTAAGATTCAGATATGTTAAGCCACTTGCCCAAGGTCACACAACCAGCGGGGAGCAGAGCTGGGATTTGGACAAAGCTAGTGTGCTCCAGACCTCATGATCTTGGGTACTCTGCTCTGGCATTTATCTCTTAGGAAAATTCAACCTCATTCACACTGAGAACCAAGGAATGTCAAATCAGCCTTAAGTCAATGGCTTATTCTTGTTTTCCCTAATACTAGTCATCAGTGATGTCTACAGACCTCAGCTACCTCTTCGGCCCCTGGTGGAGATGCTGAGCAGCAGAATAGACAAGGCAGTGAGGGACGGGAACTGAGAAAGGAGTTTGAATGGGAACAGACAGAGAAACCCAGCCAAGCTGTGCTTAATGAGGCCTGGGCTGAATAATAATGGTAATAGTAATAATAGTAATTAAAGGTGAGTATAGTGGTCCCACAAAGCCCAACTTTTCACAGAAATTCAAGTCCTTCCTGCTGACATTGAGGAACGGACATGGCTTCCTGTGGCTCAGAGACTGAGCTGTGAGTTCAGTCAGAGACTGAACAGTTCACAAAGGAACGCTTCCTGTAAACGGAGTGAGTCAAGCCAGCGCCGTTTCCCTGGTGATCTGAGCATAGCGAAACTCCTACAAAGCAAATACCAAGCAGGCTCCGTGCAGAAAATCGATGAACCCGGTCAGGCATTTCAGCTTTAATTATCTGTGTTGTTGTCAAACCAGAGATCTCCGTGAAAACAAACAGCCGCCTGCTATTTGGAGGGTCCTGACACCTAACTCCCTGTGGTGAGAGTGTAGCCTTTTGTAGTCAAAGCCTAGGAGTCCTGAGACAAGGTAGAGAGGAGGCAGACAACCACAGGGACACACACAGAACCTTTCATATACTAAGAGTTGCCCCATGTGGTGCCTCTGCTGGACAGGAGGTGGCATCAGCAGGGACAGTGTCCAGAGAGATGTGTTCCTTCTGCTGCCTTGGAGAGGCTGGGATATCACAGAGGTTAGTGCTACAATCGGACAGTCACATCCTGGATTGTCTGACAGCTCGCTGGGTGACCTTGGCTATTTACGAGCCCTGCTGAAATTCAGCATCCTTCTCATAGTGTCCATGTCTGGAGGCCTAGGGCTTACATGACACAGCCCACAGGGAGGGCTTGGCGCAGGGTTAGCATACAGAAATGCGCCGTGCATACTCTTATGACCCATCAGGGACTAGGCCGCCCTTCCTGCCACCTCCTGCTTCCCACCTGGATCGCTCGGCCTCTCCTCCACGTTCCCTCAGGTACCCAGGGCTACTCACCGAGCTCTGGCTTCTTCCACTGCCACGTTGAATCCTGCCGTCTCCTTCCAGGTACCAGTAGAGAATCCAAAGATGGAAGGGTTGAACTTCTTTAGAATGTCTTTGGAAGGGGACAGGGCAGAGAGCACAGGTGAGAGAGCACCAGGAACTCACGTAGGCTGCAGTCTGGGGGCACAGGTGTGGGGCAGGAGGGTTCTGGTCTTTCTGAGACCCAGCTGATAACCTGCTCTTCCCTTCTCCAGGCACAAGGTCCTGGCCTCATTAAGAGTTGTGACAGCCATAGCGATGGTACTTCTTGGTGAGTCTACTTACTGGGCAGTGTGGTGTGGGTCTCTAAGGCTCCATCTCCTCCAATGCTGGGAAGAACAAATGTCATCGTTAAAATCACCCAGACTCACTGCTCTGTGTGTAATCACACTAGAGTTTCTGCCCCTGGATCATCATTCCCATCACCCTAAGGGCTATATAAGCATCACAGGGTCTCCTTGGGTCTTGGAGCTGGGCCGCAGGGACCCCACCTCATCCCTGGAGGCAGGAGAGGGGAAACACACTCCACCTTGGGAGAGCAGGCATTTCCACTGAGAACGAACTGAGAACATCCTTACCTCCAGGAGAGCCCCCTCCAGGACATGAGCAGGTCGCTGGAGTTGCTTGCTCGGGCTCCCACTGCTGTCTGAGAAAACAAACAGAAGCAGTTGGGTCAGGACATAGAGCTGGTGTAGGACCTAGATTTGCCTTTTCTGAAAACAGTAGCCAGTCTTCTCCAGGCCACCTTAATCTCAGGGTTCTCACATTCATCTCCCCAGACCTCTACCAGTTACAAAGAACCACGTTGTATTGATTCTTTCTTCCGTTTGTCATGCTCCTGGTTGAGACTCTTATCTCCCAGGCATGGAAAACACTCTACCTCCTTCCTGACTTCATGGTCTCACATCTCCCAACACCAGGGATGCTGCCTGCTTCTCAGAATACACTTCTGAACTCTCCAGCCCTGCAGTGTTTCCCTTACCTTGAGGGTCAGGGCCAGATCCCACCAACAATGTAGACACCATAATCTGATGTCTACTTTCCTTCCTGGTATGGTTGATACACTGGGCCAACTTGAGAAGTCCAGAAATTTAAGCAACTCAGCAGGGAGCCAGAGTCCTTACTTTCTAACCACCCCTCAGCCTGTGCAAGAGGAGGGCAGGGAGATTTTGGAAAAATCTTGGAAAGATGTGGAGATGTCGCCCGACAGAGTACAGCTGGATGCCTTCCTTAGGTTGTTCAGTATTGGAGATTCTGGTCAAAGCTCAAAAGACCAGAAGGCTGATACAAATCCTGCTAGTAAAGACTAGGCCCAGGTGGTTTCTGCTAAGAAGTTCTGCATTGGGTGCTGCACTCCAGAGAATGTGTATTATGAGTCGGCAAAAACTTTGTCTGTATGTTGCCTGAGATTAAGGGCAGTGGACTAATTAATCTGGCAAAAGAAATTTCAAGGCAGTCAAGTGTTAAGGCTGTGGCACTATTGTTGGAACTGTCAGCCAGATTTATGCTGCAAATAAAGAGCAAAGAGCTCAGCAGGATGATTTAAAACACTGAGTTTGGCCAGAAACAAAGCTCCAATGAAGCTGTGGACTGCAAAGATAGAGCTAAGGAAATCTTGATTGTTGAGAAGCAACAGGAGAATAGAAAAGATGGCCTGAAGCCATTACAGAAAGTAGCAAATCTTGAACTTTGGCAGCCTCAAAACTGCAAAAGTGAAAGACTTTGCTTTCAGGTAAAAGCTGCATAGAAAATTGGTTCCTCAGAATTGGATTCAGAGTGCTGGGTGATCGAGGTACTCGGCAGCCAGGAGAGGGAAGCCTGGCTAGCTCAGTGGACAAAGCATGAGCCTTGGGAGGGGGGCCGGAGAAAATGTTATGTTTCTAATGTAATATAATATTGATAGATGTATTGTTTAACGCTCTTAAGCGTTAAACTTGTGTTACAATGTTCAAGTTGTAAAATGATAAGAATATGCATATCTTTGTATTGGAAACCAGTTTAAAGAAATGTGTTTGATTCTTAAATTGGCAAGAGATGGATTGTTATGGTTGATGTTATGGTTAATACTTGAGAAGTTTAGAAGTTTAAGTGAATCAGCAAGGAGCCAGGTCCTTACTTTGTAAACATCCTGTGCAACAGGAAGGTGAGGAGATTTTGTGAGTGTCACACACCCCCTGGAGGGCGGGTGCCTGTGCACTATATAGGGGAGGGTGATACGGTCTTGTTGCTTTGTTGTCTTCGGCCTCCTGGAAGTGTTGCCCTGTGCGATGGCACCCTGCCCCCTGCCTTGGAGCCAGCTGATTATGGACTGAAACCTCCACAAACTGTGAGCTAAATAAACCTTCCGTTCCTTAATTTTGGGTGTCAGATATTTTGTCTCAGCAATGAGAGAAAAGTAACCGAGACATTTCTCCTCATCTAATCTCTCCTCTAGTCTATATAAAAGTTTCAGGTGTAGGCACATTGATCTGTCTCTATTTCCCAAGCAAGAGGGCCTCCAGTTGCTCAGCCCCAATCCCCACCCACTCCATTCTGCCCAGAGTGCTGAACCTCCTCCTTTCCATCCCCCTCAACCCCTAATTCATTCACTAAAATGTTCTTCATTCCCACTTCTTCTGTAAAAGCTTTCTCTGTATGTTCTGTCTTAAAATTCTTTGAAATCTGTAGAAGTAACACATTCAGCAACCAGTGAAATAATACAAAGATTTTTTTAAAAAAAGGATAATCTACTCCCACCTTAAGAATCTTGGGCCAGATGCCAAATCCACATCCCCCTTTCCATCCCCCACCATGGTGAAATCCTGGCTGTAAGCCAGGTGCGCTGCCTTCTATGCATGTCTCATCTTTGTACCGGGTGGCTTTGTTTCCTCAGAAAGGAGTACTGTATTTTGAAAGTCCTGTGATGCCACCCGTGCTGTGCGATCACACATCTCTTTCTGAATGCATTTCTTTTGTCCTGGCCAGACAGGTTTTTAGAGGGCTCTGGCTGTGCTGCTCTCTCTTTTTTCTTTTTTTTCCCCAGAATTGCTGATGGAGCATCAGGCACAGAGCAATCACTAAATAGTGGGCTAATGCTATGCTAATGCTAGTAGTGGGACTGAACTGTTGGCCAGGAATTGGGCTCCTGCTGCCTCATGGACTGGGGGCACTGGGCAAGGTGTGGGTGAGACTCTGTGTCTGGGTGGGTGGAAGTGAACCCCCTGATAAAGGCAGGCAGTGTATACAAGTACCACAACATGTGGATGAGATGTCTGGGAAATTGCTTCTCCCCAGGGTGCAGGGACCCTCATGAGAGTGGAGTTTGAACACCACTAGGGAAGGTGTGGGGCTCAATGCCAGCTCTCTGCACAGGGCGTGGCTGGCTCCCAAGCACCCACTTCCCCCCAGCCCTGTGCGTTAGCACTCACAGTCAGCGAGTCACCCAGGGCTGCAACCACTTTGATGTCTGCTGGTTGGAGCTTGTGAACTAGGGAGACAGACAAGCAGAGAGATGATTGGGGTTGGAGGAATCTGCCGAAGTATGAACTTTCCCAGGCCTGCAGTGCTACCCGGGCCCCAGGTTCCCGTGGCTCTTATTTCCAGCTTAAGTCTTTAGCAACTTTTCCCCTTCCAAAAAAGGAACTGATCCTACTTATGCAGAACCACCAGCCCACCGAAGGTCATGGGCTTGATGGATCGCATCCTCCTTGAAAGAACCCTGCTCCCACTGGGATAGTCCAGGAAAGTTTCAGCTGCTGCATCATAAGCATAGGGAGCTCGACCCCAACTCCTGTCTGTATTCAACTGAGCAGGAAAGCCTGAGGGGTTGCCACTGGGACTAATGGGAAATCAGAAGTGTAACTTGGAGAAGTGGCTCATGTTCCTCCTTGTGGGAGCCCACTGGTGGCCAGAGCTACCTCCTTGGGGCCTCCTAGGGTTTAGGTCTACCACACACGGCCATCAGCAAGGCCTGCTGGAAGTGTGTCTCAACCGTCCCACAGACCTGCTGCTTTGCAAGACCCTTTAGTGAGGGGCTGATGCTTTTTTCACTCACCTGAGGTGGGGACGCTATTGGAAGGCTTCCACTCTGTGCACAGGAAGTCACTGCCCCAGTTCTAAATCAGTGGAAGAAAAGACACAAGGCCAACACTCATTGAGCAGAGATGCTGACCCAAGAAGAGCCAGCTAAGGGGGTTTTGGTGAAAACTGGAAATACGTTGCTGCAGGGGTTCATGGGAATTGTGAGAGGGCTAAGAGGAAAATTAGAGGAGAAAAGTGGGTGTCTGCCTGCTCCACATACCCCCACCACACAGGTGCACGTCTGCGTGTACACACACTTGCACGTACACGCTACCCTCCCATCCTGGCCCATCTGTACTCTTGAGTGGAGCCAGCAGCTGCCCCAAAATGGGGAAAAACAGTGAACTCTCACTGCCATGTGGTTTCCTGAAGGAACGCAGGACATGAGTAGCAAAAGTGACATTATGGGCATGCCTTTGTGTTTCAACACTAAGCCAATTTGCACTAATTACAATGTGAGGGCCTAAGCAATCATTGTCTTTTGCATATCTTCTCTGTACACCTGTGTATATTTTTGCAAATTTAACTTAAGAGCCACCCAAGAGAGGGTGATGTGATCTAGTTCACATCAGTCCTTCATTCATGGTGATACTGAGAATTGAACCCGGCACCTTCATACTGGGTTACAGCCCTACACCTTTTGTAAAGTTCTGAGCAAGGGTCCTAAGTCACTTAGTTGTGTAGGCTGGGCCTCAACCTTGCATCCTCCTGCTTTCTGCATATCTTTTCTGTATACCTGTGTGTATTTTTGCATATTTAAGAGCCACCAATTTCTTGTATGTTTACAAATGAATGCCTGTAACGCTACATAGTTTTGATCAACCTTCCCAGCCTCTGTAGTAGAGGGCTTTTCTCCAGGTGCTTGGGTGGGGTTTAGAAGTGGAAAGCAGAAGGCCCAGAAATAGCTAGAATCCAGAAAACTGATGGAGACCTTGAATCTGTATCTCCAAATCTCTATTGCTCCAAATATCTATTGCTGGGTGCACAGGAAGCCTCCACTGACGGGTTGGTTCTCTAGGATTGTGACCGCCAGAGGCTTTGGGAGCTCAGCTCATCTGTTTAGGCAGGTAACGGTGAAGACAAGTTTTGTTAAAATATCCCTATTATGGAGGAGTGAAAATGTCTTTTAAATATTATTCGCCTAACCCAGGGGAATTTAGTTTATTCCAATGGGTTGCTCAGTTCAACACACCAAATAGATTTCTTCTTCTGTTTGGAAGTTTTACTGAAATCCAGAATAGACTTGTGGACAAATGACAAATATTCTGAGAAAATACACTTTAAAAAAATCTACATAGCCATCAGCACCTTAAAATTATGTCCTTTCATTGGGGAGCTAGAGACACGGACATTCCGTGGAGATTAACAGACACAGCCTGGAACTTGACAAAGATCGCCTGTGACAGGGGAGAACCACAGGCTGCATCCTAAGCCAGGGCTTCCCAGTCCCCCTGGGATCTTGTAAAAATGCAGAGACGGATTCCGCAGGACCGGAACAATGCCCACAGTACTGCACTTCTGACAAGTTCCCAGCTAAGAATGATACTGCCTGTCTGTGGCTACTTTAAGCAGGCAGCTGTTTCTAAGCTATTTCTCTAGCAGGGGAAGCAAAGATACACAAGAACAAAGATCCAAGGAGTCAGGCCCAGGGCTCACTCTGCTCACACTGCCTGCCAATAGTTAGGACAGCATCTGAAAGTAACTGTGAAAGAAATTAAGGGCTGATTGACAAGTTATAGCTCACATTTCAAGATTTATGATAGAATTTGATCACTGGGTTCAACACAGGACAAGACTCCACTGGACTAATGTGAACCAAAGACAGTACTTGTTAAAGACAGCACAGAGTCCAGCCCAGGGCTGTTACTGCTCATACTCTGGAGCTTAGGAACTGTTCTTTAATAATTTTATACAGATTAGTTCTGACTCTAATTTGACTTGGAAAAAGCTATCCCTAATCGCTGATCTCCAGGCTTGTTATCCACACAGTCATCAGAGAAATTTCTTAAAGGTGCGGACTGGGCCAATTGGGATGGTGAATACCTATAATCCCAGCACCCTGGGAGGCTGAGGCAGGAGGATGCAAGGTTCAAGCCCAACTCAGTGACTTAGCAGAACCCTTTCTCAGAATTTTACAAAAGGTGTAGGATGTAACCCAATGTGAAGGTTCTGGTTCAGTCCTCAGTATCGCCATGAATGATGTGAACTAGATCATATCACCCTCTCCTAAATCCTACAGTGGCTTCCCATCCCAACTCCCACCTTCTTGCTTGGAATTCAGGGTCTATGAGATCTGGTTCTGAGCACTCCTCTGATTTCATCTCCTGTGCTCTCCCCTCATCGAGTGCCCTCCCCCATCCACTGTGACCTCCTTTCTCTTCCTCAAATACATAGAATTCAACCCCCTTTTTAAGTCTTTGTGATCTCTCATCCTTCTGCTTGGAGCTGTGTTTCTGCCTCTACTTGGGGCACCATCTTCTTGTCTTGGCTCTTATAGCTCAAATCACCCCTCTTTGAAGAAGCCCAGTCTGCACACTCTGTGTGAATCTGCCACCCTTCCCCTGGCCCCATCATTCTGTCTAAGATTGCCCTCCTTGGCACTATTACTATATGAGAGGACTGTTTTTAGCTCTTTCCCGAGCACCTTCCTCCGTGGATTATAAACTTCACGAGAGCTGAGACCCACCTGTCAGGTCTATTTCTCTAACTCCCTGAATAGTGTCTGGCATATAGTAGAACGTCAGTAAGCATCTGTATTGGGCTCTAACTGCTCAGGTAAGGACAATGTGTGATCTCTCTCAATCCTCACCAGCACCTAGCTTAAGATGGGTGTGAAATCAATGGGTGTGAACCATGAAACTGCTGTGAAGCCATGGGTGTGAAGCTGAGCTGATGCTTGAGCTCCTGGTCTGGTGGCCGATAGATATGTACTACTCCAGGGCTGTCCTGCAAGGGCTGATGTGTCAGGGAGGCTGTCTCGTGACTGGCAGTCCCTAAACCCCTGGGCTGTGAATGCTCAGTGTGGGATGATTGACTTGAACCAAGAAGCCCTACGGGTCTGTGTCAGCTTCCTGTTGGGCCCCACTCTGGCACTGAGATCCCTTCCCACTTGGCTTCCACCTTTGGAAGCTGATGGAACACCGCTGCCACTGCCTCCTCTCTGTCTCTTCTTGTCTGACTCTGTCTCCACTTCCCCGGAAGTGGAAGAGGTGTTGGCGAGCAAGGATTGCCAAGGTCAAAGGCACTTCCTCTGACTGGTCACCGACATCAGGTAGGCGACCTGAGAACATGTTCAGGCAGCGCTGGGGCCTCCCAGTTCAGCAGTTCCCATTATGTAAGAGGAGTACATTTCTGCTTAAGTGAACACCCTGAAACCTGTGCCACACCCCAGGGCCCTGGCAAGTGAACACAGCTTGTGTTCAAGAGACAGACATGAGTCAGGGGTTACCTCAATGGCTGGCTTGGTGGGGTACGTGTAGTCGCTGTTCTGGGGGGTTCTCAGGAAGGGCTCCTCCTACAAAACAAAATAATCCATACGGACAGGTCATCTGACAGTACTGAAGATTGCTTAAGCAGTAAAAATTCTGCTGTCTAGATTTAACATGGTTCTTCTGCATTTAAATAGAGAGAACTATGTAGACATAATTTCATTCATTCCCTAGAAGGTTTTATGTAGCAGCTTTGGCAAGGGATGTAGGATAAAAGGCTTAAGCAGTCCCCGTGTCTGGGCTTTCCTTTCCACCCTAGCAACCAAACAGCAGCTCCCCAGTTCTCAGATTTACTTTTCTTTCGTTCGTAATTTCTCTGGCTAGAGATTCACGTGTCAGCCTTTTTCGGTTTCCTGGGAAGTGTTATGATCATCAGTATGTTTTATTATGTTTTTGCTTTTCTCTCTGCTTCCTCGGAACTGTGTGTTATATCTTCTTTTGGTTTCCTAGCTTTATGATGGTTTTTCTTGTGAAACATACTTTTCATGCTCTACTTACCTGTTTCCCAATCAGTTTTCAAACAAGTCCAGTCTAGACACCAGGTCTACCTAACTGCGGGTAATGGGTTAATCAAGGAAGATGACCGTGTGTGAGGTGGAAAATGGGAACATGATGGGAAAGCAAAGATCAAGTCAGGATGGGTGACTCATCAGGAAATATCCAAGTGGCCACAGAGCTGGGAACTCTCAAAATGCACTTAGGGTGCAGAAAGGCCATAGTGTGAAAATTTGAGAAAAGAAAATCAAACTATTGAAACAGAAGTCTTTAGGGATAAACGGTATGGGCTGAAAACTAACTACTCAGGAGTAAACTCCACCAGGAGATGTTTTAATCCACTGCAGAGGGTCAAGGGAGAAGATGAAGAGGAGGAGGAAGATGAAGGGAGGGAGGAGGGGGGTCTAAATGCTCTCAGAGGGGACTTGCTTTCTCCTGTTCCTGCTGTAAGCACTTCATCTTGTCTCACACCTGACCCCAGGCACACAGTCACATTCCTGCATGGCACTGCAGACATCTGGCACCGCAACTTGCAAATGTCCCCATTTTACAGACAACAACTGAGGCCTAGATGGGGCAAGAACCCGTTCCAGGTTAGAGACAACGTTGTAAATGCAAAGCTGGGGCCAGTCCTGACCTGGACTGGTCCCTGGCCTGGTTCCTTTCCTCGCTTTGGGACCAGGCCAATGAACAGAAGACCCTGTAGGACAGACAAAGAGGGTCCCTTTGGAGGACAAAGTTTATATGCACAAAATATTCAGTCCCCAACACAGATGTGCTCTCCTGGGGCACTGGACAAGCCTCCCCTTTCCTGTGAGCCTTGGAATTCCTGTCTGAAACCTGGACCAGAGGCCGTCCTTCCAGGGACATACACTTGAGGCCAAGGACAAGACAGAAGAGGGCTCTCAGTAGCCTGTCCCCATGGCTGCCTGGCGGTTCAGTGTGCACGGCTACTCAGAAGGGCATTCTGGGAGCCTCCAATGAAGAAATGGAGCTGCTCCTGCACTCAGAGTGGGGTTCTCAGCGTGAGGATGAGGGCAGTGCACAAGACACCAAAGCATCCGAGAATGGTGGCCCCATGAGTGCAGCGATGCTGAGGGGTTGCTGAGGACCAGAGAACTGCACTCCTTAAAAATGAGGATGGAGTGGGGAAGAGTGCTGCTAATTATGATCATCCCTACAAGGATGCCCCGACTGGGCCCAGGGTCAGGGGCTGGAGCTGGATCCAGACTGACCAGCAAGAGAAGAAGCAGAAGCAGACACATCCTGCCCTTCTGTGAGAGACACTGGAATGCCATGGAGCATGAGAACAGGGCCAGGACAATGGCAGATAGATGAGCTAGGTATGGGCACTCGTTTTTACGGACCATAGACTGACTGCTTTAAAGGCTATGAGTCTAGCAGGTTCTGCAGAAAAGGTACTGAACCCACCTGGCTCTTGAGGCAGCGGGGAACAGGAGCAGGTAATAAGTGAATGGGGGACAGAGAAGCAGCCTAGTTCCAGCTACCCCAAGGCAGCAGCCTGCCTGGGAGCCAGGTGGCCACCTGCTTTGTGTCCACAGCATGAGACAGGGGCTGTGGGACAGGTCATCCTGGGTACGTTACTAGGTATTGAGTTCCACAGAGAAGGAGCTTCTCTTCTGTGCTGCTTGAATCAACACAACTCAAAGGCGGCCACATCCCAAGGAGAAACATTTCCACGGGGGAGGGGCCAGCAGTCACATCTGAAGCCTGTGTTTGAGGCCACAGTGGGGGAGGAGGAGGGAAGGAGGCCCCACAGCAGGCCATGGAATGTGTCCTGCTACCTCTTCCCTTCTGTGCCCAAAATGCTGTTCTTTACCTGCAGATGGCACAACTTGTGGGTGGGCAGCCTTGGCAGCATGACTTCAACAAGTGTGGAAATTAAAGTGCAGGTGTCGCTGCTCCACGAGGGACATGGCGGCGGTGGAATCTGGTTACTATACGGGAGAGGGCGTCACCCATCTCTAAATCCTGTCCCTCTGAGATCCCAAAGTCAGCTGATTCTGTTATGTGATGGGAAGGTGGGGCCAGGTAACTTTCCATGCAGACAGTGGGGCCTGAGGTTTCGGGGGGCTGAGGGGGGCTGGGAAGAGGGACAGCAGGGCGGGACCCTGGGAAAAGCCCATTAGTTTGGGTGCTGGGATAGCAAGACAGAAATGGAGGTCAGAAGGAGCAGAGTTTGGGGAAATGGTTGCTATTTAGATATTATTTGTTCAAGCAATTATTTTTTGAATGAATGTTTGCTGAGTTACAGATGAGGGTGGGGCAGGGCAGGATTAGGAGGATTTAAAAGGTTTGTGCACTAAGCCCATAACTCAACAGAAAAAGTGCTAACCCATAAAGTTTAAAGAAACCCAACAACAGTTTCGTTTTCCTTCTCATGGTAAAAGATAGGATAAAATATTTGATGTTATTTCAGTGCTCTACCCTTTCCTCCTCCTTTGTTTCTGGTTCTCTGCCACATATTTAATCTACTTTTTGGGTAACCTTACACCAAAGGAGGAACGCTTCAGGGGGAAACTTGGACTGAGAAATGAAGACAGAAATCAAAAGACTGAGGAATCCAGAGATTGAGGAAAACCAAGAAGTGGGAACCCTCAGGGTGACAGGATGGAGACAGAGAGGGACAGAGACAGAGGAATGGAACTGAACCATGGAAGTTGGAGAAGGTCACATTTTCAGGATTAGGAGAAGAAAGGAGGGCCATTAAAAGAGATGAGAAGGGGCAGCACCCCGAAAAACAGAAAACTCGAGGTGGTTTAGCATCCACAAGCCCAAGGAGGAACACATTTAAAGGAAGAGGGGGGTTAACTTTCACAGCAGAGGTCAGAGAAAGGAACAGCTGGATAAGGATGGAGCTGAGCTCTCAGGTGGTTCAGCCAGCTGCACTGGGGGGAAAGGGAAGGCGTGGACAGAGGCCGATGGAAGCAGGGAGGGAGCATCAGTCACAGTCACTGTGCACAGAGCGATCCACAGTTGGTTGTGAAACATCCCCTCTAACCCGAAAACACACAGAAACCCAGGTGCTGCACAGCTGCACAAATTCCTGGCAGAAGGTACCCGGGCAGCAGTGTAGCTGGCGGTGGGGGAGGAGGAGCAGGAGACTGGAAAAGCTCCTTAGCACACACATCCATCTCGGGTCTGCCTCCCGCTGTGTCCTGCCTGTTGCTTCTATGTTTAGACACAGCTAGGACAGAAATTATGTACTGCCTGTCCCTTGTGGGGACTTTTGCATGACTCTGAGGCACATGGGAGAGAGCAGATGGCACCTGAGGCACAGCACAATGAAGCTGGCCTGGCCAACAGATGGACCCTCCTGGAATGGGTTCCAGGGTTGCTTAGCAACAGCTTCTCGCAGGCGGGGCTTCTACTGGCTGGGGAGGCTGAGTTTCTTCTGCGTTCACCAGTGGTGCCACAGAGCTCCACTCAGCTCACCAGTGGTTCCACAGGGAGGAGTATCACCCTCGTGGAGCTCCCTGCCTGGTCTGGTCTGGGGCATGGCAGAGTTGTTTTGTGATGTAGATATCCCTGACCCAGTGGCTAGATACCAACCTGGTAGTTAATATATATTTTGGGGAAAATTGCAAAGGATATCTGATTGGTGTGAATTATTCCTTTCACTATTACATGAAAGCAGTGTTGGCAATTAGAAAAAGGCCCTTCATGGTTGAAATTCAATATGGCACACAAGAACTGTAAAAATATTGAACTACCTAAATTGCCCAGTCTCTCCCTTGGCCCTCCTGAACATCCAAAGGATCTAGCCATTACAGGGGGACCTTGCCCACCCTCTGGCATGCATGTGACTATCTGGACTGGTGGCACCCATGAGGCATGGATGGTTACATGATTTGACTGTCATGGCTTAATCCTCAGACCTAGGAAGTGAGCTGTGTTACACTGCATCCATCCATTCCCGCTCTCCTAGTGAGGCTGAGGGGCATCAGACTGAGCCTGCATCCAAGGCTGGGTGGAGAAGGCAGCAGGGGCCTGGGCACAGGTGACCCCTCTGCTGGGGGCCCAGCGGACACACGGGGGAGCTGCAGGCCCGTGCCCTGGCTCTGCGCAGCCAGGAGGGTAGGAGAAGTGGGTGCTGCCTGACCCAGGAGGGAAACCCAGCCTCCCTGCTTAGGTCAGGCCCTCTGCTTTTATTGCCTCTGCAGGCGCTTAGGCCTTGCCCTTATTTGGTTAAAAAGCTGTAAGATAGTAGCTGAAGGCAATGGGAATCCAAACCTCCCCCAACTCGTAGGCCTGAAATCAAGCTGAACAACCATCACTTACATATTCCTCCTTAAAAGGATCCTGAGTTGTTCTCACCCTGACTGCAGCCTGCTCTCCTGCACCCAGCAGGGACTCTCCCTGTGCTGTCCTCTCTGATCATCTCCAGGCTGGGCTCTCTGCAATCCATGCTTTATGTGCTCTGATCACTACTCCTGAGCCTGCCTGGTCTCTTGCTGTGCCCTCTCACCTGCAGCAGATGGTTCTGTCTGCCACAGAAGGTGCTGCCAGAATGAGCCTTCCCATGGCTGCTGTTCAATTCCTGCAGACCCTTGCTACATCCCCTAACCCTTCCCTCCTTCCTCGCTCATCCCCAAGAAGCAACCACCTCTGCAGCAGATTCTCATCAACTTCCCCCCTCCCTCTAGAATGCGGCTCCCTTCCCCTCCCCGCCCCCACCCCAGATACAAGATGGTCAGTGGGGCAGCTGGTCTGGGGAAAAGAGGGAGGGCAGGGCTGGGCTGAGCTCCAGTTCTGGAGAGGAACAAATACCTGGGTGGGGCAGGGCAGGGAGATGTCTGCTGTCAGGTCCAGAGTATCAGTTTTGCTTCCTACAGGTTCAAGCTGATCAGGGAAGAAGAGAAAGTCACCAGCACGCCCATTCCCTGGCAGCGTCCTGCAGTGGGGAAGGCTCACAGCTTAACTTTGGGGGTTTTGACTCTGCCGCTCCTTGCTCTGCCCACCGTAGGATACTGAGCAAGTGACCGACTCCTCTGGGACTGAGCATCCTCAGAAATTCCTAACACTGCTCTGCTGGGAAGGGCTAAAACGACATCCCAAGCTTAGACTGCCCAGCACGGTGTGGGCACATGGGAAATGCTGACCGGGGATAGATTTCTGCATAGATTTTGCATAGATGCTGTAGATTTTTACATAGCATCTCTCATGGTTCCAAGCACAAAAGAAGACATGTAAGACCCAGGCCATGTAGAGCCTAGATTCCTATGTTCCATTCTATAGACTTCATCCCCCATTTTTCTCAGTATTTGGGGTTGGACCCAAGTCCAAGTAGTTCAGTTTGCACTGAACTACTTTTTTATTTTTTATTTTGACAAAGAGTCTTGTTAAGTTGACCAGGCTGTCTCAGCCTCCCAAAGTGCTGGGATTATAGTCATGGGCCACTATGCTTAGCCTAGGGCCTGGATTTTTGTTTGTTTTTAGTTTAAATGAAAAAAAGAATAAAAATGATGATATAGAATTTCAGAACAAAATAATAGGTGATTAATATATTGTGTATTGTTACCTTCAAAGTAGTTGTTCATTCTAAAAAAGTTTATGAGAATCGATTATATAATGCATGATGAAATGAACAACTACTTTGAAGAAAAAGAGACACTAAGGTACCCAGTGCTGATTCTGTAACATCATGATGTGAAATCCAGCAACACTATTATTCTTTGTTCAGAGTGATTTTGGTCTGTTTTGTTTTATTTAATTACAACACACGTGAAGGTATGGACAGCTATTTTGAAGAGACTGAGAGACATTATGACAGCCATTGTTAACTTCCTTATTGTCTGGTCTTGAAGACCTAAAATGCCTTCATCATCCTGTTCTGGCCATCCTGTTCTATACTATTTTGTTTTGTATGAATTCACTGTGTGTGAAGATATGGACAACTATTTAGAAGAAAACAAGAGACAATATGATAGATGGTGAAGATCTCCAGTTGTCTTACTTTGAAATCTGTGTCTCTTACAATTGTTATCTTATGATCTGTTTTGTTGTGTTCTGTTTAATTTTACCCTCTTTAAGAAGAAAATTTAAAAATAAAGTAGTTCAGATTACAAGGTGTAGGCATGAAAAATGATCAAACAATGTTTGCGAACTAATAGAGATTAGTGTATAGTTATCTATCTTGTGTGTATATATAAGGGTTCATACTTGGCTCTAGATTAAAGCCCCAGCAACACCCCACTTGTCTTACCATATTGACCCAAAGGGCTCTAGAGAGTTGGGAGTGGAATTTCTGGCCTGGGTTGATGCAGTCCGGGGCAAAGAAGGAGGTGTCTGGACGCCCATCCTGAAAGAGGCCAACATCCTTCCTCATCATCCTGCTCAGTAAGCAGGAGCCTCCTTGATGGATCAGACCCCAGGGACAGGCCATGTTATCCCTGCTCCCCTGGGAGGGTTCTAAGTCACCTTCTCTACAATGTCTGCTCATCTTAAGTAGGAGACAAGAGCAGATCCACACACAACCCTAAGCCCCCACTCTCCTTTTTGGCTCTATAGTTCCCCCTTACTTAATTAAAAAATGCTATGTTATTTTTAGGCAGTGCCCCAGCTCAGGCCATAGACTAGTTCACTACTGGACCAGCCAGGCAAGGAAAAGTGATGTCCCAGCCACAACTCACTAGTGCTGATGGTGTTGGTGGGAGAGAACGGACTGAGCCCTGGGCGGACCTGGGTGAAGCTGGCATCGGGGTAGAGTGCCACCTGGCTTCAGCTTTTCCCTCCTGCAGCACTTGGGCATGCACAAAGGCCATTCTCTTTCTGGCTTCCAATTAGGCGAGGCCCTTGGGAGGAGGCCCCTGCCGGCTCCACTCACAGACCTCTCCTGTCCTAGTGGAAGCACTGGGTAAGGAGCATGGCCAAGGGTTGGAAACACAACACCAGGACCCTCTTTTATAATTACAGGGTTGAATGTGATAGAGACTATGTGTATGGCGGGAAGTTACTAACGTAGGGTTAGATACCTTTGAATCTTGCTTCTCTGTGCCTCATTGACTATCTGTTTAGAAGCAAGAGTACTTCTGATTTTAGGGAGGATACAAGGATGATTAAAAAAATATATAAAAACAGGTGCAAGGTCTGGCACATAGCAAGCGCTCCACACAGTGGACGCTGTCCTTGGGGGCTACAAGAACTACCACATCAGGCTGTCCCTGGGAACAAGGCTGTTTCCAGCACACTGGGTGTCCTGGACACTGGAGCTGCAGAGGAGCATCTGGGGAGCTCTGTCTTGCCCATTTTATCCTCAGGCTTGCAGAAGCGCATGGCATCTTGCCGGGGCTGCCGTCCTGCTACGCTGGGGCTGGGTAGGGAGTGTACCTCCAGGATGGGGAGCCGGATGTTGAGGAAGAAGGGCTGCAGGACCACAGAGAAGTCCTCCCGGGTGTCATAGCGGCCTGATTCCACCAGCTCACGCATGCTGCTCTGGAGACGACATGTACACGGGGACCTTCAGCACAGGTAGGCATGGGCCGGTAGGGAAGCACCCCTGTCCTCACCAGCCCGGACCCGGGACCCTGCCCCTGAGAACCCAAAGACAGATGATCTTTCAGGAGAATTGGGTTTTGATTTTGATCCGAAGGCATAGGCAGGGGAATCCCACAAGGAATAAAACCTGGATACCCCCCAGGCTCCCTTCTGTTGGCCCATCTACCGTAATGGTGGCCCTGTGGGGCTCACAGTGAGCGGGGTGAGTGTGACTCAACCTCTGGTGTGGTCTCCTGGGCACCCAAAACTACTGGCCAAGATTGGGGTGAGGCCCCTAAGTGCAGCTCAGCCATGAGAGCATTGTCATCCAGACTCTGCTGAGATGACTCCAGCTGGAGTCATCTCACAGCCAGGTGGGACAGAGGAAGGCCCTGGAGGCTGATGTCTTTGTCCCCTGCGTGCCTCCCTGGGGTCTCCGGGCTGCGATGTCAGAGTGAGTGCAGAGAGCATAGGTGAGTGCCTTTCTTCATCTCACCTGGTAGGCTCGGGTCAGGGCGTCCATCCTGGCCAGCTCATAGGAGTTCTCCCTCAGGCTCAGGACGCAGTTGCACAAGATGCTGCACAGAAAGGGAAGCAGGAGAGCCCAGAGCCAAAGCTCCGTTAAAGCACTGCAGCCTTCGGGCTGCCAGGGTGGGGAGGAGGGGCTTGCTCAAGCTCTGAGTTAGGAGCACATGAGCCTGGAGGCTCTGCAGCATATGCCCGAGGCCAGGCTAGGTCCAGAGAGAAAATGGGGTCTGATCGGCACCCTCTGGGTGAACGCAGCCCTGGTGATAGACTGCAGGCGCTGGGCAAACGAGTTTAGGCAACAAGAATATGGTGCTTAATTAAAAAAAAAAAAAAAAAAACATGACAAACGCCATCCTCTGGTATTGCAGCAGGTATTTTCTGGCCTTTGATGTTCATGCCCCAAACACTCCTTCAGGCCACACTGTCTCCTTTTGTTTTATGGTGAATTAATGTACATCTATATGTACGTAATGTGAAAAGATTAGGTGTTCGGTGTTTTTTTTTTTATTTTTTATTCTTCCTTTTTTGAGACAGGATCTTACTCTGTAGTTCAGGCTGGTCTTAAACTTGCTATGTAGCCCACATTGGCCTCCAACTCACAGTGATCCCTGCCTCAGCCTCCCAAGTACTGGGATTATAGGGGTAATATAGCAGCCCCAAGTGCTGGCTGTTTCCCATGGGATTGTAGGGTTAACAGGGCCACAGCTCTCTGATCCGGCCCAGAATCACTGAACAGCATGGTACCACATTCCAGAGGTGTATCACACCACATATTGCTAGCCCAGGAAAAAGTCAAAACTCAAAATTCCAAGACTGGTTATTATAAAGTTGAAAACTCTAAATTATGGAGGGACTGTATTTTTAAGCACTTTGAACAGTGCTGGGTACACAGTAAATTCTATGAGATTTGTTTACTCGACAGATGTGTACATAAGGTATAAGTACATAATACATGGACTTGCTACCCAGCCTGTGCAACAGAACACTCACATCAGAAGTCCCTGGTGTCCCTTCTAGTTCCCTTCCTGCCCATAATGTCTGACCACACGCACACACACCTCCAGGGACGTTGCCCCTGCAGTCTGGGCTACTCTGTGCAAATAGCTTGTGGCTCCCACAGTCACAGAAGTCCCTAGCTGGCACCTGACACCTTGGGATTGGGTAAGAGGGGCCAGAGCCAATACTCCCATCTCCCAGAAGTGGGTGATTCCAGCCCAAGTCATCTTTTACAGACATGTACATGTGAACAGACAAAGTCACAGAGACCCTGAGGGCTCATTGCTGCATGTGGACCAGACCATGGGGTAAGGTCTCCAGCCTGGGGGGTCAGTAGCAGCCTACCTGGCCTGCTGCACGGGGCACTTGTCTGGGTTTCCCAAGAACACCTGCCGCATGATACTGGGGTTCATGAAGTCCACGAGGTTGACCAAGGCTCTGGGAACCTGAGGGCCAAGTTGCAGGTGAGAGAGGGGCTCTGGGACTTTTTCCCTAGGCTGCCTTGGGACCTGGAGATGTGGGAGCTGGCAAGTCTGGGCCCTCTAGATCAGTCTGTTCTGCAGTGGAGCTTTGGGGAAGAGTCTACACAGGGCCACCTCACAGAGCACTATAGGCTGTGCATCACACGGACACACAGAGTGACCCTTGCATGCACTGCAGCACCTCCTGGAGTAGGAAGATAAACTCTAGGGGGTCAGCCCTGTCCAGCTATCATTTATCTCCAGAATATTAATTTTAAATTTGCTAAGATATGCAACCTACTTGCCAGGCCACTGGTTCTGACAAGGTCCCACCAGCCCAGCCTGGTCTATTGCTACTGAGCAGGCAAAGGGATTCAGCTACTAAATAAGGCATCTGGGGGTCAGAACGCACCCTCCTGGGTATCTGGACAGCCTGTGTTTGCTAGGGGATAGTGCTAGGGTGGGCAGACTTGAGACTGCTTTCCTTTCTCCAGATCTGAGATTCCTTGGGGCCAGTTCCACATGCGATGAGGCTTCCTTGGGAATGGACCTCAACTTCCAGAAGGGGAAGGAGCCCATGCTCTAGGCTCTGTCCCTGAAGGAAAGGGAACCTTCACATTCTTCCCCCACCCACCTTTACCCCCACTATGCTGGAGCTGTCGCCAGCTTGTGGGAGCCGCCACCCACCTCTCTATGTAGGATGTCCAAGGCATTGAGGAGATGGTTGAAAAAGTTGGCTGAAGAATACAGGTCCTGGGAAAAGACAGGAGAAAGGAAGAGATGTTGCTGGTTTGGGTGAGAGGGCAGTCAGGGCAGCTGCAGATGTCTTTTCTGATTCCAGAATTCTCTCTCTGGCCTCCAGCTGTAACTAGCTCAGCATGACAGACTCTAAGAACAGCTGACTAGTTGCTGTTGTCAGAGATGGGCCACCAGGGGGACTGGCATCTTTGGCCAGAGCTTTAGTGGATGTGTGCTGGCACAGGGAAGGGTTGGTTCTAGGGATTGTCCTCAAAGATCTGCAAAACCTACTGGCCAATGGTGGGAGCTGGCCCCTGGCCCCATTACCAAATCTGTGCAGTGGTTGCACAAATCATTGGTTCCAATCAGCACCGTGATGACCTTCCAGTCTTCGTGGAAATTTATTCTCTGCATGGAGGGAGGAAAGTCCTTGATGATTGCCATCAACCAAACAAAAACACCATAGATCTAGGAAATCCAGTCATCCTCTACAATTTCCTTGGCCTCTTGAAATAACAGAAATAATAACTGACAGATTTTTAGGTTTATTTATAGACCACAGATGGAGGGACTTTCGAGGTTATCGTGACCAGTAACAATCCTCTTCCCACTGACACGACATCCTCTACAGGGTACCAGACAAGGAGCAGCCCTCTCTCTGCTCGAATGCCTCTAGTGATCACAGGCTCACTGTCCCCCATGGCAAACCGTTCCATTAATGCTATAAATGAGCACAGATCTGACTCACAGGATCATCTTTCATCTTCTGCACCAGAGTCTTGACTTGGCTCATAAGTTCTCTGAAACAGAAGGAAGAATCAATTCTTCCGTGGAGCCAATTTCGTGTGTGTCCTAAAGCTGCAGTCAGAGGTAACTGCCACCTCACAAGTTACTCACTGTTGCCTTTCTAGGGTGCGACATGCAAAATAGCTCCCAGGATTCTATCTTTTAAAACCATTTTTAAAGATCTTACAACTAGACCGCCAAAGGATTTAGCCTGCTTTGTGCAGCCTTGCCCTCCTGGCTGCCTGAGAGCCGAGTTTGATGTGGAAGCATTACAACCCTAAAAATGCTCTCATCGAAGAAACCATTTTCCCCTCTTTGGTATCCCCAGAGGCTGTGGCTTTTTTCCTAAAATGACTGTTGTATATATACTAGTACATATTATATATCGATGTTATAGAGGTTATTTTGTGAATGTATCTAAAACTTGGAAATTCATGGAAGAAAGAGATCTCAGAAAACTGAACCCCCTTGTTCTGGCCCCTGAGATAGGTCTCAGTGCTCGAGCGATCAGACAGTGACATGGGTGATCAGGTGCAGGGACCTGTTCCAAGCCATTGCCATTAGCAGGCCAAGTGAGCAAGTCTGGGGGCTGTATCCACCCCCCAAGTGTGAAGTCCTGAGTAAGATAACAACGTGGGCCAAATGACTGGGCCAGGAGCTACCTGGGGCAGGATACCCAGCCCCACTTTGAAGATCATCATAGAACGTGGCTTTGGGGGCCTCTGACCTTCTCTGTTTTGTTTCTTATTAGCTCCATTAGAGGGCAAGAGAAAGCAGAGGCTTCTTAGCCTGGAGACTGGCTGGCCTGCTCATGTGGGGCCTTCTGTGATTGCCCCCAGAGAGGCCAGCCTCTCCAGCCTCCCTGGCATGGTCTGGTCACAGGGACAGCAGGGAAAGGAGCTGTATCCTCTGCAGTCAGTGCTGCGGATGAATAAGGTCCCTCTCACCCAGAGGCCAGCACTGCAATCTCAGAGTGTCAGCAGCATGCTTCATTCGATTCCCCACCCCACAGCCCCCCATGCCATACTCAGCCTTCGCTCCAGGAACGGCCTGGTTGAGGAATGCATTGGTGTTGCTGGCATCACCAGTGCCCACCGCGTAACCAGTGAGGTTGCTGTTAAACTCCCGGAGGATATCTGAATGAGAAGCAAACGGGGCACAGAGTGCTCAGGGTGCCTCCCTTCATACCACAGGGTCTGAGTCCCCATGGTGGGCTGTGCCACTGTCCTTATGATTCCTGAGGGGAGGCAGGGAGGCCAGGAGGGTGCCCAGCCTCTGTGAGCTGAAATGACTTGATGGCACGATGGCTCAGGCAGCAAGAGCCTCTCACTTAAAAATACCTTCATATAATTCACGGTGCAGTGAAGGGTCCCTGCTCATTTATCTCAGGGCCCCCAGGCTGGTTGAAACACCAGAGGCTCAGAGAGTCTGGGACCTTGCCCTGGGTCAGGATTCGCAAGCTCCTAGAGAGGATAAGGGCTGGACCCCACATCTCTAGCCTCCATCCCACCACTTTAGCTGCCTGTCCACAGCCTGCCCTCCTTCCACAGTGTGGTCCAGACAGGAACATTATATGTTCCTTTCTTCACTGGGAGATACTCCTGGAAGCCTCAGTAACCGACAGATGAGAGGACAGACTTGAGCCCTTGGCGGTTACTTACTAGGTAAGGTGGTCACATTCATCAGGGAGCCGTCCCCTCCTGAACTGCAGGGAGTGAGCCAGCCAGGGAGAGGGAGAGAGAGAATCAGTCCACAAGGTTACAACAGGGCTACCCCACCCTTCGCAGAACCAAGCAGCGCCTGCAAGGGGAGGCAGACCCACCTCCTGGTGTTTGACAGATTCTGAGAAAGCTTGAAATTCACCTATGGATTGGTCCCCCCCCAAATCTAGGATTTGAAGGTAGAAAAGTTATTCCTTTCCTTGGCCACGTCAGGAAGAAGAGCACCTAGCTGAGAACACCTGTGTGCCCTGGTTCTCATCTCCCAACAAGTTTATGAGGCAGATGTGACATTTCCCACTTTACAGAGGTGAAAACTGGGAGGTGGCAGGGTTAGCGATGGACCCAGCCTGAGCAGGAAACCTGCAGAACACAGATCAACCCTTTTGCAGCCAGGACCAGGTAAATTCTGTCGGAAGGTTTGGAGCACAGCCTCTCCCTGCTTTCCAAACTCCCCCAAATTTCATCTCATGTTACCTCAAGGCACTCTAAAAGACTCCACTTCCTTTTATGCATTTAAATTAAGCATAATATATAGGAGACAAGGAGAGAAGTTTTTCTATTTTAACAAAATTCGACACTGAGATGTCCCGTATTTATTGTTACTTTGCTTCTGGGCCTCTTTCCTCAGTCCCAGCGTCTTATTCCAGGCCAGCTGGTTCTCAGGACAGACTCTGCACCCCTCCCAGTAGCAAAGAAGGGTGACCATGAATCAGGCCTTGCTGTTCCTCATTCAAGGAACGCTTGGAACTGAGCGGACTGTTTCCTGTGGCGGGCTGAGTGGGGCTTTGTCACAGGCTGAGCTGGCAGCCAGGTGGTAGAGAACAGGCAGCCAGGGAAGGCTTCCTCTTCTGCCCGCTGCCCAGCCATGGCTGAACCTAAGAGAGCCAGGGGTTGAACATTGTTCATATTTCCAGTGATTTTCCCACTCTGCACAAAGCTGCATTATTAGCTGCTTCCTGAGTCTTTTTCTGAAGCAAAGAGTAATACTGTCGTTCTTAAAAAATTTTTTTTGGTACCGGGGATTGAACTCATGACCTCGAGTTTGCCAGGCGGGCACTTATGTTAAACTCCTGTCCCCAATACTTCATATTTGATAAAATCCCCATACCACTTCCAGTTCTGACCTCTTTTTCCCTTCAACAGACATGTAAATGTGCAACATACACCAGCACATCAGGTACTTTCTACTGTCATTTGTTGTTTAAAGGCATCTTGGTGCTAATGAAGCGTAGTGTTGGGCCAACGTAAACGGGTCAGGGAATCTCTCCCTGATACCATTTTAGTGTGAAAATGTCTAGAGAAAAAAATTCTACAAATTAACAGAGAGGAACCAAACTATTTTAGCCGCTACTCTGATTAGAACTATGAAAACAGGAAAGAAAGCAGATCATGTCAAACAGACTCAGGCTAGTATAAATTAGATTCTTCAGTGAACATAATATAGATGACACTCTGAGCTCAGTAGCTGGGTCTCGTTCATATGTTGTCACCCACAGAAAAGTAGAGGAGGTGCTCAATAATTTCTGTTGAGGAAGCTTTAGTAATGTGAGATTAAAGTCCTAATACCAAAAAGCAAAGACATGTATCCTTTGGTAAATAAATATTTTGGTCCATTGAATGATCCTAAACAAGCCAACATATTTCAATAGAAGAAAAGATGTGGTCTTAATACCTCTGCCTGCCTCCTTGATGAGTTGGCCAAAACTGGGACCACTCGCATGATCTCACAGGCCAAGAGGCCCCAGAAATATTCACAGCCAAACCCCTCCTGTGGGTCCGGCTCACAGCCACCCAACACCCCAAGAGTCCTGCATCCATTTCTCTCCTGATTCTGTGAAGTCTCCTTTCTGCTCTGTTTGCTCGATAGAAGAGATCCAAATGGGTTCTTCATTTATCTAGAATCATTAACAGACTAGTATTTCCAATCTAGAAGCATGGATGCCTCCAGAGTGTTGCTTTGCTCAGGTCAGTTTACTACATGAACTTTTCCTGGAGGACGGTAATAGGTATTATAAACCAAGAGTCCTGGAATTGAAGGAAATACTAGCTTAAACATAAAATGAAAACGGATTTCTTTAATGCAGCACTTCTCAGAGCCTTTATTACACTAATAGTCATGAAAATCCCCCCCGCCCACAGAAAGGATATAGTCTGTCATGTTTTCCCCAAAACACAGAGGATTTCCCCTTCTGGGATGGAATTAATGATCCATGGAACACACTTTGAGAAACTAGTTTTGACCATAACAAAATCATCTCTTAGATTCTGACCTGGAGTTTCCATCTTTAACACTGGTGCATTTAGGAGCTGAAACTTTAGGGTACACGAATGGTTTAAAGGAAAAGCACCCCTCGGACAGGGAGTTCTAAAGTTAGAACTAGAAAAGGCAGTCACTCCCTCGAAGGAACAGAGCACCCACTAGATTCTTCCACAGGGGCAGAGAGACACGTGAAACACAAGATTGCCTTTGCACAGCGTTAGGATTGCAGGAGCCCAGCCAGGGGAGCTGTCTGGGAACCTGGGCCAGTCACCTCACTGCCCCGGGATTCAGTCGCTTACCTACCTGTCCTGCCTTTTATCTGTGTCGCCTTCTGTTTCCCCACTTTATGATGGGAGGTCACTGCCTCATTGAGCTGAGACCAAGCACGGTGACCACACCTGTGCTTTTGCTGAGCTGGAATAAGCCCCCTTTCCTCCTCCTCCTTTTTCTTTTCCTGGTAGCAGCACTGGGTTAGTAGGGAGTGACCCAGGCTCTGCTTTGTTTTATGCGGTCCACTAGAGACCACTGACCTGGCTGAAGATACAGTAGAAATTTGGGGGTCTTGGAGCAAGAGGATGCCCTGGGCTGGGGACCTCACAGGCCTTCTGGGGGTGGCTTTGTGATGATGCTTCTCTCCTGCCCTGAAAAACCTCCCTCTCTCTGGGACTCTGCTCACCTCTGGCTGAAGAATTTCACAGACCTTCTCACCCGCTGTTTCCTGTCACATTCTTGGGGGAGATATTTAAATTAGTTCCCCAAAGAACAGACCTGTAATAAATGTGCTCCTGTGCCACCCGCTGCTCATTTGGGGGCTCACTGCCCTCTAGTGGCTGTCTTTGGTCTATCGTTTTCCCAGATAAAATGTGAGCTACTCGCCACCAATCCCAAGGAAATATTCACCATCACACATTTTATTAGGGAAGAAAGCAATAGAAGAATATCCACAACCAGCTGCTCACCTCACACCCCGAGTTTTTCTGTTTCTGCATCCAGACCGCCCTTTCTGATCTCTTCCACGTGTCTAATGGCAAATCCTGCAAGGCCTGCTGGGTACCACCTTCCCTGGGAAGCCTTCCCCGCTGGAAGGTTGGTTTCTCCCTCTTCCCTAGCGTTCTAGTGCTCAGGTGCCTTTTATTTTTAAAGAGCGCTTCTCAATCGTGCGTGCACCTTACACAGAGTCCCCTCTCCCACCGGCCTTGACTCCTAACATTGTGCCAGGACAGAGAGGTACGCGGGGATCCCTGCCCATTGTGACTTTGCTTAGTCATTTCCCCCTGAAAGCATGTGTTGGAGTTTTTCTGTCAGAGACGGACATATACACAGAAGCAAAACGTGACTGTAGAACAACATGAATAAATACACATAGACGGACGTAAGGACATCCACACTCGCATACAGACATGCAGTTGGGAGGTGAAGACTCAAGACTTTGATGTTTTTCGGGTACATTTGATGTTGGATTTGCTGACCGAGGAGGCTGATAAGAACCTTGATTTATCTTGTCTGTATAATTTAAAAATAAAAAAGATTATCAATAGTAAAATAGCCTCTCCATCCACCAAAGGTTCATATTTTGTGGAAATGAAAGCCGCTTTTTGGCATTTACAGGAGTCGAACCCCTGCCCAATCTTTGGGGGTGAGCCCTGGGGAGAAGTCAAAGGTTAGCCTTACCTATAGGACAGTCCCCGATACTGTGTGATGACATCAGCGAGGTCGCCTGGTTTGGAGCCAATTCCACTGCCAGCCTTTGAAAATACACCAAAAACCATAGGAAAATGAGCGTGTTCAGGAAAAAGGACTATGACAGAGCAGGGTTTCCAGAGAGGGCTCAGTGCGCTCGGCACAGAAGGAGCAAAGCAGGCCAGGGGACGTGACCTCACCTCTGCAGCCCTGCCCCCCCCCCCAGCCTCACCCCTGCCCTGCCTATGGCTCCCTCCTGACTGCACTCAGGCCAAGCCCTTCTCACATGACACTTTTGGGGGCCCACATGGAGCACAGTTAAGACTGCCTTGAAATCTCTCGAGCCGTACAAACCCGAGCGACTGTTAATGACATTATTATTATGTTCCTCGTTTCCTTATGAAGGGAGTGTTCATAAGTGAGCTGCGCTGCGGTGGACAGATTTCTCACAAATCTCACATTTCTCCTCTTCCTCCAGGACCTTCATAAGACATTTGCAAAACCTTAGAGGTGGTGCCAGAAAGTGACCTCAAAGCAGCATTGCCCCTGGCTGGGAAGATGGGGGAAGAGCTTTACCTGCCGCTGAGGACCCCTTGGTGCTTTCTGTGCAAAGGTGGCTCAGATGTGAGTGCTGGAGCTGACTGTGACATACATTTCAAAGGGACAAGTATGCCTATCCATGTGAGTTTAGAAGGATTTCGAACCAAAATAACCTACTGTTTTCTTCTTAACACATTTTTAAAAAGTGTTACTGGTTGTTTGAAACCTCTGCTTACTGAAACAATTTCCTTTAATCCTGTAAAAGATTTCTTTTGTTCATTTGCTTGAGAAAATAGCTACAAAATCTAATCATTGCCACTTTCCAGGGCTACCAGAGTCCCAGGGGAGGGGGGAGGGAATGCAGGGGACAGGATCACACGTCTGGGAGTTAGGAGGGCAGGGATCTGGAATGGCCTATCCATGCCCAACTTGCCCAGGGCCCAAGGGTCCTTACAGTCAGAGAATCCCCCAACGCGGCCACAACACGGACATCTGCGGGTCTCAGGGCATGCACTGGAAATGTAAAGGGACAGGCTTGAGTCTTCAGGAAGGAGGCTGCTGTCGGAACCTAGCCCTTTGTGCTTCAAGCAAGACCTGCTTGAGTGTTTGGGCCGTGCAGGACTGGGCATCCACGCTGCCACAAAAGTAGACATTACACGAGGAGTGTTTCCTCCTAAGAGACGTGATAAACTAACCCCAGACCTGAGTTTGGCAGTAGGGGGTTAGGGGATAAACAAATGGATCAAAGGAACGGAGGAGACAGGCCAGTAGGGTACATTCTATCACTTTATGGTAGGGGCTGTATGGGAGGCCAGCTGTCACCTGAGTGCAAATCCAGGCCAATGGAGATAAAGAGCTAAGTTCTGAATTCCACAAGAATCTGAAGAATAATCACACGGGGCCTCTCCTTGTCCCCAGTTGTGAAGAGCCCAGGGAACCTTCCAGATCCTACTGAGGGCTGAAGTGGCTGTACAGCCAGGATCACAAATCCACACACCCAGTTTCCTGGTGGGATTCCTTGGCCACTTCTCACCCTCACACTTCACCACACTGTGAGACAGAGCCTCCTGCAGGTGAGCTCACATGTGTCCTCCAACAAAAGTACAGGAAAGAGCTTCTGGCCTGCTGGGCATGATATTGCCAGAGGCCAGTGTGGGGCAAAGCAGGTGCCCAGCCCAGACAGGAAGCAAGCTCTGTTCATAAATGTGGTATTAGCCTAAGAAAAGTCTCATCAGGTTTCCCAATGATGTGTAAGTCTTTGAGAAGCTTTGGGTCCTAGTGGTCACGCTGGGTTACCTGACGTGGGAGGCGAGGCAGAAGGGGTCCTCTCTCTGCATGTTAGCCAGGTTCCATGGCCCTAAAAGCACAGAACAAATCTCAGAATCACAGAGTTGAAAGGGTCCAGAGAGGCTGGCTGGGCATCAGATTCACCCAGAGGGCTTTAAAATGTATAGATTTTAGGTTCTACACGTGACAACAGATCTCTAAAGGGCATCTGAAGTCACCCTGGATGATTTTGAGTGTCAGCCAGGTTGAGCTGTTAATCGACTCCAGACCACTCCTTTACCCAATGTAAGGCTCAGGGCTTCAGCAAATGACCCAGCCCACCTCACCCGCCCCAGTTTGGTAAAGAGCAAGGTTATTGCCAGTCTGTCCTGATGGTTCAACTGACTGACAGCCATTGTCAAAGGAACTTATTCTGCCTTCTGAAGTACTGGTGAATGATGGCCTTTGTAAAGGCTGTGAGCCCTCCTGAGCTGCCTGGAGGGAACTCTTGCTCCCTTTCCTACCCATCGTGTTGGGCCAGCCCTGGCTTGGGCTGCTCACATTGCCTGGTGAGTCAAAAGGGAGCAATTAGGGCCAGGGATTTAGCTCAGCAGCAAAGTGCCTGCCTGGCAAGCGCAAGGTCCCAAGTTCAATCCCCGGTACCAAAAAAAAAGAGAGAAAAATTAGCAGATACCTCTATACCGTTCTTGTAGGTACTCAGGTATGGAAAGGCCTGTGGGGAGAGGGAGTGAATCATGGCAGCGCATGTAGCTTGCTTCTCTGTTTACCAGCCTGCGATAAGTGCCAGCTTAGACATTCATCCCCCATCGGCCTCCCCCTTCCATGATCTGAGCCCAGCCCCTTCCACCTATGCTGCTCGCTGAGGCTCTATTTCAGAATGCATTGAAGTCTTCTCTATATGAAACCTTAGATAAACCATTAATGGCTCCTGGCGACCTGTGTGTCTTCCTGCCCCACCACCCCTGATGGCGGAGGACCCTCGCTGCCTCTTTTTCCCCTCCCAACAACAGTACACCTCTTCCTGCTATTGACAGCTCTAGCCTCCCCTTACTGGGCTCCTTTGCCACCCCCTGTCTGCTCCACCCTGCAGCAGCCTGGGCCTCTTGTTGCTCAGGCAAGAAAAGTCAGATTTTGGTCCCGTCCAGTGCAAGGCCCGGCACAGGATTCTCAGTGTCAGGCCTGGAATCCTCCTGGGTATGCAGAGAATTATAGGGATATGGGCAGCAACCATCGAACCCCAAGAATCCTTCTAACAATTTATGGGTGGAAATGGGGTCTTGTTCTGCTTTTCCAGCTCCCACTTCCCACTTAGCACCCTGCTTTTGACCTCCTATCCAACCAGCTAGCATTCTAGGTCTCAGTTCCTTGTCCTTCCCAGATGGTGCCGGAGCCAGTGGCCATGTGCACACAGGCTAGGCCCCAGCTGCCCTTAAAGTTCTCCCTGTTATCAGCCTCACAATGAAAGCCGGATGTGGCTGCTGTGTTTTTACCGCCCAAGAAAGTCGTGTCCAGCTGGCATTGTGCAGGGAGCACTGCCAGGCAGAGACCAGGAGCACTGAAGGGCCTCCAGTCACTGGGGTCCAACCCTCCAGTTCACCCAGAAGGGACATTATGGGTGTTGACGTGGAATATTGAATGGGGTGGGTCCATGGACAGAGCAGGGGCTGGGGTGAGAACGTAGGATGAAGTGAGCTAGAGAGCGCCAGAACCTGGAGAAGATGCTGTCCATGGAGGGTTGTACGTCTCATCGTACCTGGTTTGGACAAATGATATCAATGCTGTTTTCAAAATTGTTCTGTGTTGTCTTCTGGCCAACGGGTTCCAGCTAAACCAAGAAGCAAGAAGACAGATTATGAGACAGAGGTGGCCAGAATACAAAGGTCAGAGTAGAGGCCAGGGGTGTAGGAGAGAGGGAGGAGCACAAGCAATTAACTTGGATGGAGGCTGTCCTTCCTCGGCCATCCTACCATGTTTTTCCAGAGGGCGCTAGCTGCACGGGCGTGAGTCTTACTGCTGAAGTGGAAACAGTCAGGGGCAAAGAAAGTGTTGTCAGGTAAGCCCTCCTGGCAACCAACAGAAAAAAAAAAAAAAAAAAAAAAAAAAAAGCAGCAGTTACTGAAACGTCACCTGGCACCACAGGTGCTCAGAACAGCTGGGCACCACCTGTGGGCTCCACTACCCCCAATTTGGGCTTTCTTTACCGAGGTCTTTGGTATGTCCACTTTTTCAAAGAACGGCTGCAGGACCACTGTAAAGTCCTCCCTTGTGTCATATCGTCCGCTCTCAATCAGCTGGTGAGTCCTTTCCTACAGAGGGAGAAGGGCACAGAGGTATGAATCTGCTGCATCCTTGCTAGATCTGTGATGTAGAATTAAACTGAATCTAACTGTTGGGTAAATCGCCTTTTAGCAATGCCACAAGTACTCAAGAGCTAGCAAGTTACCTTTGATCAGCCCTAAACTCAGCCCCTGGCTCCCATCTCTGCTGTAATAGCATATATTTCATTTAGGCTGTAGAAAGGGGGAGGCAAGAACAATCTAAATCTAGTAGCTTGGCCCCCTCCCCCCTTTTAAAGCAATTCTGATTAAAGACTTGGGGGGATTGTATTTGATTAAGTGGCATTGGATCATCCTTACATTTCTGTCCTACTTTTGTTCAGAAAAATCAAAGACAAACCTACAACAATGCTGTATTATACTGCTTGTGCTGTGTATGCGTGTGTGTATATTTTGCTGTCAGATCTATGTAAGTGGGTAATAACTATCATCCTCCCAGCTTCTGCTTGGGCTCGGTTCTAGGCAAACCAGTTATCCCAGTTCTGACTTGCTTCTATCAGACTTCACCATTTCACTGCTCACTAGAGTTTCTGGCATTTGGGGCCAAGATTCTGGCTGGAGAGGAAAGTCCGGTTCATGTAGCTGGGAGCATTAGTGTAGTCACCTGGGAAGTCATATGCATTATCTTTTCCTAAGGGCAACCAGAAGGAGAGTCCCAGGGACAGAGAATTCTCATGTCTGACCTCCTGGGCCAGCCTGTTCCATTACAGGCAGAGCCCTGAGTAAGACACAAGGGAAGGAAAGTGGCCACTCAGAAGACTTGCGGAAGATGCAATCTGCTAATAGCTGGGACTTTCAGGAAGCCCCGTCCCTCTCAGAACTTCATTTCCTTATCTGTAAATGAAGCATATTAGGCAAAGCCAGGGCCATCTCTTAAGCCCTTTCCAACGGGACTGGTTCCTCTGGAGGTCAGCCACGATGGTTCACAGTGGAGCAGTGGAGAAGAATATTGTGTAGAGTCTCTGGCATCAGCCAAGAGCTAAATACGTGACTGTGGTTATTAATACCAAAGATCATCTTCAGGGAAAGGGGTGAGAACTATATCTTTTGGAGGGAGAAGGGACTGAGGTGATCCTGAGGGGGTGAGATGGCCTCAGGTGACTGACACGTGTCTCCAGGACACGAGATCATGGTCTCAGCGGTGACCAAGATCAGACCTATGATCAGCCAGCATGTCTGTTGGTGAATTCTGGTGAATCCAATCATTTCTATGAGTGATTGATTCCAGGAGCCCATGGATGCCAAAATCCATGGAAGCTCAAGTCACTTATATAAAAATGGCTGAGTAATTGCACGTTAGCTACACACACCTCTCCTATTCCTTAAACTACCTCTAGATTGCTTAGAATACCTAAAACAATATCAGTGCTACGGAAACAGTTGCTGTGCTTTATTAAGGAATAATGATAAAGGAAAATGTTTGTTCCAAACAGACGCATTTTTTTCCATCTGTGGTTGGCTGAATTTGCATGCATGGAACCCACAGATCTAGAGGACCAACTGTGTTTCTCTCCTTTTAGTCTGCTCTGTATCTGAACCAACTTCCTATGTTTAAAGACCCCACCATAAGAATAGCCTGCCTCTTTGAGTAGAAGCTGGAAAAGTCACCTCACCTCCCACGCATCTTTATAACTGTGGGATGGGCCTATAAAGGGGGTCTCCACCAAAGCCCCATCTCAGGGACAGGACAGGCTCCATTTTGCTGATGAAGGCAGCCATCTCTGGCTCTTAAAAGCAGCAGTGACAGTGCACTCATGATTTCTCCAATGGCAAAGTCTCTGGCCTGATGTTGAATCTTATGATAGCTCAGCCCCCAGGAACCTATGGCTCTGATTCCTAATGGCTCAGCCTCCAACCCTAGCTAGCTCTCCAGCTCTTCTGAGACTCTGCTTAAATATTATGTCATTAAATTAATCACCAACTATATGAGCTTTTTGTTGCTGGCGCCCAAGAACCTCGCCCAGCACAGAGCTGCCCTCCTGGCCATAATCTCAGCTGTCTTTCCTCTCCTGGTGTGACAGCTTGTGGCAGAAGGAAGTACGGCTGGAGAGTCACCAGAGGGCTGAGCGGGGTGACAGGACAAATAAAGGTTCATTTCTGTGCATCCCTGACTCACCCAGAAGGAATGGCTACCTTCAGAGGAATCTTCAGGGAGGTGGTTCTACCCATGGAGTTCATAGGCTTTTGGAGGATGGATTACCTCTGTAAACTACAGGCCACACTGAAAGGAAGGTCGCACTGTGCCCTTTGAGTGACTGGATGATTGTTTTGGGGGAAACTCAAGGTGATCCAGGGAGTAGACTGTCTGGTCAGATATGACAGCAAAAGGGCTAAAAGAACAACCCACAAGATAAACCAGCTATCACCTCTCCTGCTCATGCACTGCAGGGATACCTATTCCTCAGGATGCAGAGAGAGGGCTTGTCTCTTTAGGACGTTCAAGACTCTCTAGAGAGGAGGTATCATGGCTTCCATTTGCCACCCAGGAGCTGGAAACCCAGAGAGCTGGGGTTTGGGTCTAGACAGATCCACACCGAGACTTGTTTCCTTAATATCATTTACATCTTGTATCTAGATGTCTACCAAAGCCTCACGCGGTCAAAGGTGGGGATTTTCAGAGGTGGCTGGATGTAGGGCATGTGATGCTGGGATCAAGGATGTGACACTGGGATTGACTGTGCAATGCTAGGATCGAGGGTATGAGTGCTACTCACTTAGATAAAACACAAGAGACAGAAAGAGAGCAGCTGCCTGCTGCAGCCTGCTCTGCGATGCCACTGTGCCTTGGTGCCAACCATGAACTGAAACCTCTACAAACTGGGAGCTAAATAATCCTTTCCTCTTTTCACTTTGAGAATCAGGTGTTTTGTCTCAGCAATGAGGAAAGTGACTAAGCCAGCACCCACTTGTCTGTGACAAGGGGCAGTATTGCTTTTCACATAAACACCAGCAACTGGGAACCAGTGAAGCCCGTCTTGTGATTGGACTCTGTAACTTCATGCCAGTTAGCTGAACCGCAGCCCCCCACTTCTTGCGTGTCTTCACACTGGCCAGCAGTCATCGTCCATCCAGTCTGGGTCCAGTTCCTCAGCATTGCTCATTCCCCGAACTACACAGTGGCCCTCTGCCAGCCCAAAAGCCCCTTCGGTTACCTGATACTTCTTGTTTATATCAATGAGGGACTCAAGTTCTGTTGAGTTGTCATCAGGCAGCAGGACACAGCGACACAGGTTCCTACAGGCCAAACCAGAAGATGCCCCACCCCAAGGTCAGTGACACAGAAACAAGGCTCAAGATGCCGAATCTATTTCTTTTCAGTGGGAAGCGTCAGGAATCTGTGCTAAGGAGGGCCTGGCTGCTTAACTGTGGACTGAGCCAAAGGAGGCCACGTCCCTGCCCTGGATTTGCTCTTGGAAATGAGACAACTGCTTCTAACATCTGTGTGAGAAAGACTTCCATGGCTCCTGCGTGGCTGTCTGAGGACAGAGCTGTGAAGAGGTGCCCTCCTTCTAAATCATAATTGCTAATATACACTGAATGGTATTTGTCACCTACTATGATAAGACTTTTGTGAGTTACACCTGCTTAATCCTCATAATTATCCTAGGAGTTGCATTACCACTGTCTCCATGTTATAAAGAACAACACTGAGGTCACCCAGCCATGTGTGTGCTGAGTATGAGAGCAGGGAATTAAGCCCAAATCCTCCTGGATCTGGACCTGAGTGTTTTTGCTGTTGTTGCCATAAAGGGGATTGGACCCAGGATCTGGGCACTAAGCAACATCCCCTCAGCTCTTTCAAATTTGGCAGGAGGTGGTGGGGAGACAGAGTCTCACTGAATTGTTAAGTTTCCTAGCCTGAGTTTGAACTTGAAATCCTTCTGCCTCAGACTCCCAGAGTACTGGGATTATAGAGAGGTGTATACTACCACGCTCAGCCCTTATCCTGAATTCTGAGCTGCTTCTGCCTCATCTGCAGCTCTGCTCTGGTCTGTTATCTGCCAAGTCTGGGTTTCTGGTCCAGGGAGCTAAGGTGATAATGTACAGATGGCTCAGGGTAGACCCAGCATCGTTACTGATGACATCTCAGCCACTGAGATAGAGCAGAAAGACAGAGTGTCAAGGGCAAGGTGACCTTGAATTCATCTGACTCCAGCCTCCAATGACTTGGCCATTTCAGATTCAAGTGAGGCTGGCGATGAGTTGCCCCCAAGAACCAGTAGCAAGAGATTTTCAGAGAACTGCTCCAAAATAGGATGAATACACGCAGCCCCTGGGTGGCCTAGTGACTGGAGAATTGGGAGCCAGGGGATGTGTCAGCAGTTGAAAATAGCATGCCTGACACCAGCTGTGTTAATAGGCGCCTGTCACCAGGCAGCCATCCTGTCTCAGCTCTCAGCACCCTGGAGCCTTCTCAGCGGGACCTGTACAGTCCAGGCCCCCAGGCAAGTTCTGGCGTGGACCTTCAGGAGATCAGCCAAAATCGGTCTTACTTTCCAAGAGCAAGTCTGGCCCTTGTGAATTATTCATTCAGTCATTCAGCAAGCAGCTGTGGGGCACCTACACAGTGCTAGCAATGACTCAGAGTTCCCAGGCTGTGGGGGATAATTACCACGTGGCAATGACTAATTACCTCATGGTGTGTCAAGGCTATGGTGGGGGTTGGAGGGGCATTGCACTGCCACTGTGACCTGGGCTAATGGTCCAGAGGACTTGTAGGACAGAAGGAGATGAAAATAGCCATGCTTTGGTTATAAGGGCATCTAGTTCCCCAAAGTGACAGAAATGTGTAATACTAGAGGGGGCAGCCATCTTTGTTTAGCTGTGGAGGCTGAAGGATGAAGCTGGTCTCACAGGCCTCCCAGGGTGGTTGTTCTTTAGGAAAGACTCTGTTCTCTGGACCTTACTGATTCTGACTTGGTCCCCTTCTCCTTTAGAAAGTGACAATTGCCCTGTATTTGTGAATGAGCAGTGTGGAGCACACCTGCTAACCAGAGGGACTGTATATGGGGATGGTGGTACTCTGGACACATCATGAGGTAGATCTTAGCAGCCTGAGTGCTCCTTGAACCCTGCTCACACGACCTGACTTCATCCTTGATATCTTGGTCACCTCTCCCTGAAGGATGCGGGATGGAGGAGAGATTGTGGCTGTGATGGCAACAGAATCAGGGTTGGGTTCCACATACACCCTGAGGGAAGTAACTGAGGCCTATATTGGGGTCAAAAATACTGGGATGCTCCCCCATGAGATTGCTCTGAATTTTGTCTGATACTTATTCTCTCTTCCTCACTCCTTGTCTGTCTGTCTCACACACACACACACACACACTCACATGCACTCGCAAATCTGCCAAGGGTCCATGGTCCTCTAGGGAACGGGACAAAGAAGCTTCCCTCTGACCTGAGGATCAGCCGCGGGCAGCTGACTCTGCTGTCCTTGTACAGCTCCCTCAGGTTAACTATCTGGAGCACCTTCACCATGTTCACAAATGCTCGAGGAACCTGGGAAAAGGCAGAATCAGGCAGCTGGAGCGTCTTCTGTGGGCCTGGGCCTTCTCCTCCTTGTAGGTTCTAAGCCGGGGATTTCCATCTAGGCTCATCCCTTTCCTTCACCCCCTCCTTCTTCCTCCCTTCTGCTCCCCATTGACACTGTACATTCAGACTGCTGGGGACCAGGCAAAAGGGACCTGCAGGGACGTCTCAGCAGAACATCTAAGGCCCAAGCCAACGGCCCGTGGAGCCTCTCAGCGGCCATTTACCCCAGCCCCATACCTCAGCATGGAGGATGTCCAGAGCCTGCCTAATGTTGTCCGTGAAGTTCTCAGGGGAATTTGTGACCTGCAGGATAAGAAATGTCTCCTGAGTACCTTTTATTTCTCTACAACCCTTCCTTTGTGGGCTTTTCCTCTTCCTGTATATCAGTCAGAGTGGACAATGTTAGAATAGAAGGTTTGTCTTTGGGGACCCCAGCCTCCACCCCAACTCTATACCCCAGGCTTGCCATAGCTGTGACCTTCAGGGAAATGCTCTGTTTTTGCATAGAGCTAGCTCTGCATCTATGCCATATTAACTGGATACACAGCCTTAGGTAAAGCATGGCACATCTCTGGGCTGCTCCACAACAAGGGCCGACATCTGAAAGCAGGGTCTGAGGATTTCCACAGTGGTGACCGTCACTGGTCCCAAGCCTCATCACTTCTGCTCGGGGCTTCATATACTGGAGGCTACACCCCAAGCAAGGGCCGTGGGGAGACAGCAGGAGAAGAGTGCCTTACGGACATCCATGCCCAAATGTACATTTTAACTCTTATTTCTCACCGTCTCTTGGGCACCATTCCATTTGCAAAGATCTATCTCTCTGATTCCTTTTGTCGACCATTTATGTTGCTTTTTATTTATAATTTGCAGTACTTGAGAGAAATGTAGTGTTTAAGTTTGTGTGTCTGACTCCTTTCACTTACCATTACATTTTCTAGGTGAATCCATTTCCTACAAAATGCCTGAAATTTACCCACGATAGCCAAGTAATGTTTCATTCTGTACAGATACACTTGCTACATCCATTCGTCTGCGGGTGGACGTATAGGCTGCTTTCAGGATTTAGCAATTATGAAGTGTGCTGTCAATATTGGTATGCATGATCGCTATAATATGTTGCCTTTAGGTTTTTTTTTTTTTTTAAAGCAGATGGCTTTTCTGACCAAGGATCCTGTTTTAAGACTATGAAATAGATCAGAGCCAGGCTTGGGCCCATGGTCCCACCTCCTCCCCTACGCCTAGCAGACCCCTGCTTTTCCTGTGCAGCCTTCAGATCACAGCTTGAAAACACATGGCCCCAGATGGCTGTAATGACAGGAAAGTGGGCTGTGAGGAACCTGGGGGCCAGGTCGCCCTCTGGGCAGCTGCGCACAGGTTGCAGTAGGGTCTTACACCTGGGTGTGCCGGTCCTCTCTCTGTCCAACACACTCGCTATGGGGCAAGTCTCGTGCACGGCACCTTACCTCACACGCGTGCACAATGCTCACAGCAGCTTTGACTTCAGACCCCGCTGTGCGCATCACCAGAATCACACAGTGATGCCTTGTTGCTGTTCTGACGCAATGCCTGTGTGTCCCTCTCTGGCAGGGCCAGCTGCTCGAGGACAGAGCCCGTCTTTCATTTGCCATGCTCAGTGCTCAGATAAGTGCCTGACATAGCATAAGTGCAAGACTTGGTGGCAGAGCCTGCGTGGTTTCTTTAGTTCAGAGACACTGAGGTTCCATGAGGAAGCGCAGAACTCACAAAGCAGCAGCCTTGACTCTTGGCTTCCCGTCAGCCCTGAATGGCACAACTCTGAACCTTCCCTAGAGGCCCTCATGGGAAATCAACTTTCTCTGTGCAATAAAGCTGGACATGGCATGTGCTGGAAAAGGAGTTGTCTATGAAGATTTTCTGGATCACTGGAATGCTATCGTGGTTTTTAGACTGATATGATAAGGTTCTCTTGATAGGAAATACTGTCTTCATCAGAATCAGTCTTACAACCAATTCTGCTCACCTGTCACCTCTGTCCTGGGAGGTGAACACCCTCCCGGGCTCAGAGTTCATCTCAGTCTGGCTCCCATCCAAGGCATGAGTCAGAAACTGGGCCATGGAAATCCTTTCCTCACTTGAGGATTGATGAAGGGCCTAGAGACCTACCGGGTCACTGCAGAAATCACAGAGATCATTGCCTCCTATGAACACAGTGATTATCTTCCAATCTTCCTCAAAATTTATACTCTGAAAGGAACAGGAAACAGATAAAGTTAACAAAAACACAACATACTATACACCAATGGGAGGGGATAAGTCCTCATGTGTTGGAGAGTCCAGGGGACATGCATATTTTTTCTTTGGTGGTTTTGGGGTGCTGAGGTCATAGATGCTAAATGGTTCACTAATTTTAGGTGGGGTCCTGAGCTTCCTCATGACTAACAGATTCCAACTAAGCCAGTGGGAGCAGAGTCAGATGTCCTCTGAGCTTTAGTGCCCCCTAGCTTAGCAAGCGAGTGGGGGGGGGGGGGAAGGGATGCTAACCCTGGCCTTGGCCCTGGGAAAGGAAGGTTCCAGGAATCTCTAGAAATCTGGGATTCTCCTTTTGCCTGTAGAGGAAAGGGCCTTCCTCCACGAAGAAAGAATTCTCCAAACTCAGATGGTTCAGTTACCTGTGGACAGATCGGGCTGGAGAGGCTGGTCAGAGCGACATGGTAGCACTAATTGCGGGCTCTGAAAATACTGTGCCATCTCTGTCATCTGCCTCCTCCAAGAGGCAGCAGGGGAGCATTTGAGGTCACTGGGCTGGGCAGAAGGCATGTGGCCACACGCATTCCATAAACTCCAGCCATGGGGAGCCATGGCCCTCACAGCCCCCTATGCTGTCCCCAGCATCCATAACTTTGCCTCACTGACTTATGCTTCCAAAATAAGTGGAGGGAGAAAGACAGAAACAAAATTCAGAAACGTTTGACACCAACATGGAAATATTCTGAAATCTCCCAATAATAGACCTGGCAGCATGTTCAATTATATACAGAATAACAAATTCTGATCCCTCTCTTGCATTTCTCTCTCCACCTGGGAACAGCTGTGCATAAAGTCTGCATTGAGAATCTGCTTCCTTCGAGGAAGAACCTAATGTGGTTCTTACAGAACCCAGGTCAGCGGTCTCTCTCCGCTTCCAGGCCCTCCCAAGCAGACTGGCCGTCCATTCTTCTGTGCCCTGTTCTTTACATGTGGTCTTTCCTATGGAACACACAGCAGCTGTTTCTGAATCTCATTCTTCATGTCAGTCTCATGAGCCTCTTAAGGACAGGGCTGTGCTGTAGTCCCTGAGTATTTCTGGCCCCAGCCCCAGCACAGTGGCAGATTCATGCTAATTCAAACTCAGCTGAGTCTGGACAAGTGAACAGGAACCTCACCTGACCTCACCAGGTGCCTGCTAAAAAGCTGGCCTTGCTCCTGGGCGCTCTTCAGCCCACAGCTGATCTTGTCTGGGTCCATAACTGTCTCCCCCCCACTTCCTGTTCTGGGAGTCCCTCTCTGACTGCTCCAGACTTACCGTGTGATTCTTCATCAGGTCCACCAGCGTCCTGGCCTGAGGGATCAAATCCCTGTAGGAGTGCACACAGGAGGAGGTTGGGTGAGAGGCAGGGACTGGCAGGGAAACTTGGCAGAAAGAAAAAAACCAGATATGGGGGTGGAGGGCAGGCCTGCAGGAAAGCAGGACTGAAGGCCAGGACACAGATCTCCTTCCCCAAGGAGAAGGAAGGGTAGAGCTCCGCACATGTAAGGGGTGACACTCGTGACTATTTTGTGGTTGACATATTTGATGATTTCCTTTCCCTTCTTTTCCAAAGTAGGCTCGTTCAAGTCAAACGGATGTCCACACATACACGTCCATGCACAGCTCAGCATGTCCATCTTGACAGATGCCATGACCTGAGAGTGATACGGCTATGTAGGACACTCCTGACTTAGACATTTATTTTTGCTGCTTGCTAACTGTGAGAAGGCAACTTAAGTTCTCAGTTTAAAAAGACTGCAAGATTTTTAAGGGCTCTGGGGGCAGCAAAGAAGACCAGTAAGTCAGCCCCCTGGAGTGAGAGCCACTGCAGGTACCAGTCAGCTTGCGTTTGAATCCTAGGTCTGCTACTGACCAGCTCTGAGGCCCCTGCAGAATGTTTTACCCTGAAAACCCTCAGTTTTTGCCTTTGTGAAACAGTGACCATAGGCATCCTTCTTCAACGTAATTACAAATGTTTAGCAAAAACAAAGACAGAAAAAAGAATATTATTTGTCCCTTTCTTTCTCTCTTCACTGTTAGCCCAACTGGCCTGATCTTGGTCACAGCAGAGTGGGGATCAGATGACCCCCAAGGGGACTATGACTTGACTTAACTTACTTGGTTTCCTCATCTATAAATCTGAAGTTAACCGGGCAGCTGCTCTGTCTGTGGACCAGACTCTTGGGATCACTTTCGGACTTGGTTTTTAGCATGAGTGAAACCTGAGCACCTGACCCTCCGCTCTGTCCCTCATACAGCATCCCTAAGGTGGCACATAAGGCCACTGTGTACCCACGAAGAGTTACGATCAGGCCTGGAACCAAGCCTGTGGGATGCAAGTCCAGAGCGTGTGGCCAAGGGGAAGCATCTGCTCAGTCTCTTAGCTTCATGTTGTCCTGGTTAATATGGAAATAATAATCCCAAGCCCTCCCTACACCCAAGATTGCTCGCACGAAGAAGCCCCAGGGTTTCAGGAAAAGCAAGGCCAGAAACCCGGGGCTGCATGGATCACACTCATTTTGGGTACTCCTAAGCTGTCCTGAGTCTTCATGCTTGGCTTCCTCTCTGACCGAATCATGCTCAACACTGCCTCTCTTCTACTGCCAGAGGACGTATGCTTGGGAAAAGCAAAATCATGGCAATATCAAAACAAGTAAAAAATTTAAGGCAGTAAATCCGTCTCCGTTCACTCCTGCCTCACTAGGCTTTGTAGGACCCACTTTTCCTACCAGAGTAAATGGGCAAGGTACTGAGGGGGTTCGCAGCCTCAGGACGGCTCTGGGAGCTGGGAGGGCATCGGGGACACTAAGAACCAAACTGCAGGGATCCCAGGAACTACCCAGAAGGTGAGATTTGTATTATTCTGGAAGAAAACAGGATTAAACAGAACATTTCTGTTTCTTCTCCTTTGATGGGGTACGGCAGGCACTTGTTCTCTGACCTGGCAGCAAACCCCAGGTGACACTCAAGAATCTGGAATCTAGCAGCATAACAGAGCCCGGGGCCAGGAAACCTGCCAGCTTGCTCTTGGGGATCAGCCTCTCAGGTCCCATGACCACAGCACAGCGATCTCAGTGCTCACTAGTAGTTCCCCCCGGGGACCCTTGCCGCCTGGATGCACCAGTGCTGGGGCCACCATCCTGACCCAATGTGTGTACCCTATTCATAGCTCAATACAGCCTTTGCATTCAAAAGGGTGTTCAAACTTTACAACTGCCCTATGAAGGAGGTTCACAGCCAGTTCCTCTTTGGAGAAACCAGGGAAGAATCTAGGATCCGAACTCAGGGACTCCCTGTCCAGGCTGCTGCTCTGCCCGTGAGTCAGGAAGGAGTACAGAGCCCACAAGAGAGAGGGAAGGCAGGGCTCTAACACAGAGCATAACGCAGGCACCACTGGGACCTTGTGTGAGTCCTTGAACAGCTGCTGCTTTAGGGTGGACACGAGATGTATAGATGGGGTGAAGCACATGCCAGGCATCAGTTACTGTCCCTAGTTGCTGGGGGTAATGTTGGGGTGCACTAGCAGATTTCTGTGTCTGACAGCAAAGAACACCCCGAAGAGACGAGCCCAGATGCTGTAACGCAGGCCCCTTCTCCTGACCAAGCCCCAGTCTTGGGCCATGAACCCCAGCCTAGGTCATGCTCCTCACTCTGACCCCCTGGGTCAGTGCTGTCCTCCCCCCAGGGTGCCCTGGCTCACCCAGCGCGGGCTCCTGCCACAGCCTGGTTAAAGAAGGCTCCTACACTGTTTGCTTTACCAGTGCCAGTGGAGAAGCCTTTCAGGGAAGGGTTGAATTCTCGGAGGATGTCTGCAAACATAAGGCAGAGACATTGTTAGTGGCTAGCCTGAAGCAATCTGCACGTGCCTTTCGTGAGTGTCCCTGGAGGCTGAGGACAGAGCAGAGCTTCCCAAGTTCACCCCGCCTGGGAGGAGATGTTCAGCAGGCTGACGCCTCACCACCTGGATGGCATCAGTAGGTGCCCAGTAAGTTACTACTGAATAAATGTAAGTCTGGGCTAGGCAATTTTTCTCATGTGCTTTTGCCTTTTTCTAAGTATATAAAGCTGTACTAAGATATAATTCATCCCATAAGATTTACCAATTTAAAAATATACAGCATGATAGCTTTTAAATATATTTGTAGTTGTGCAACCATCACCGTGCTCACCTTTATTTTTCATATTTGTTATTTTTATTCACTTTTGTTTTTCAGTACTGAAGATTGAACCCACACTGAGCTACAACCCTGGTCAGCACCTCTAACCTTTGAGACAGAATTTTGCTAAACTGTGAAATTGCTCAGACAGGGCTCAAATTTTCCATCCTCCTGCCTCAGCCTCCCAGAGTGCTACTAGGATTAGGGGTGTGCACTTACCACACCCAGATCATTGTCACTTTACCCATTCTTTTCCCCAGAAAGCATTCTGGGCTCATTAGCACTAAGTCCACATTCCTGTCAGTAATTTACTTTCTGTCTCTAAAGATTTGTTTATTCTGAACATTTTATACACATGAAATCATACAAAATATTTTCCTTGGGACTGGTACCTTTCACTCAGCAAGTTTTCAAACTTACTCCTGTGGTAGAATATATTAGTGTTTCATTTCTTTTCACTGCTGAATAACACATTCCATTGTACAGACACACATTGCATTTATCCCTTGGCCAGTGGATAGGCATTGGGGTTGTTTCTACGGAACTGCTGGACCATATGGTGACTCTTAAGAGCCTTCTGAGGAGCGGTACAGCCTTCATCCCAAAACAGCGGCCCATTTCCCAGCCCCTCTAGCAGTGTATGAGTACATGGTCACTGCTCTTCACTACTAAGAGCCTTGTCATTACTGGAGATTGTGATGAGTGTCTCACTGTGGCCTTGATGTGTGCTGGTGACTACTAATCTTCAGCGTCTTTCATGTGACATTGGCCATTTATTTGTATGTCTTCTGTGGAGAAACGCCACTCAGATCCTTTGCTCATTTTTTATTACGCTGTCTTTTTGTAATTCAATTCTAAGAAGTCTGTATAGTTTCTAGAGTCAAGTTTCTTATTAGACATATGACTGTATTTTCTCTCACACTTTGGGCTGCAATGACTTTCCTGCCAATGTCTTTTAAAACACCACATATATTTCCCCCCTTTTGTGTTTTTGGTAGCGTATCTAAGAAGACTTTGTTTAACCAGGGTCATGAGGATTTGCATCTATGTTTTCTTCTAAGAGTTAATTTTAGCTCTTATATTGAAGTCTCTGATCCATTTTGAATCAATTTTTGTCTATGAGGCGAGGCAGGAATACAACTGTATTTTTTGTTTGTGACTATCTGGTTGTCCCTGGCCATCTGTTCAAAAGTTCACTATTGCCCTCATTGAATGGTTTTGGTCTCCTTGTTGAAAATGCATAAACCAGGAATACAAAGGGTCATTTCTGACTCCCAGTTCTGCATGATTGACCTGTACGTCTATCCTGATGCCAGGGACACACTGTCTTAATTAATGTAGCTTCACAGCAAGTTTTGAAATTGGGATGCATGAGTAACAATCCTCTGATTGTTACTTTCTTAAGATTGTTTTGCCTGTTCTGGGTCCCTTGAACTTCCTAAATTTTAGGATTAGTTTTACCAGTTTCTGCTAAGAAACTAAATATAATGAAGCCGTGTACTAATTTGCAAAACAATTTTATAAAAGTAAAAATTTCCTGGCTGGGGCTCTGGATTTAGCTCAGTGGCATAAGCACCTCCCTCGCAAGAACACGGTTGTGAGTTTCATCCCTGGTACCAATAAAAAACAAAAAAAATTTCCTGGCCCTTGAACATGGGAAGTCTTTCTGGTGGTTTTTTTGTTTTGTTTTTCTAAGTTTTTTTTAGACAGGGCCTCACTCTGTAACCCAGGCTGGCCTTGAACTCACGGCAATCCTCCCGCCTTAGTTCCCAAGTGCAGGGATTACGGGCATGGGCCACCATGTCCAGCCTAGATCTTTAATTTTCATCAGCAATATTTTGTGACCTTAAGAATTTAAATTTATTCCTAAGCATTTTGTCATTTTGATGCTATTATAAATGGGATTGTTTTCTTAATTTCATTTTCAGGTCATTAAATGTTAATGCATAGAAATACAATTGATTTTTGCATATTGACTATGAATCCTATAAATTTGTTGAATGCACTTATTAGGTCTAATAACTGTTAGTGAATTCCTTAAGTATATATATATGTATGAATGATAATGTCATTTTCAAGAAGAGGTAGCTCTCTACCTCTGTCGCTTTTTCTTTCAATTTTTCTTGCCTAACTGCCATCACTAGACCCTCTGGAATCCTGTTGAATAGTGGTGGGAAGAGCCCATATCTTCATCTTTTCTGTCTCAGAGGAGGCAGCAGTCATCACCTCTCACCAGGAAATGTGTGATCTGCAGGCTTTTAGCTAACGCCTTTTATCAGACTGAGGACTCCCCACCCCCCCTCCCTGTTCCTCTTTATTGCATGTTTTCATCTTGAAGCAGCATTAGATTCTATTAACTGCCCTTTCTGGTCCATTGAAATGATCCTGTGGTTTTGTCCTTTATTCTATGTATATAGTATATAACATTAGTTGACTTCCGTATTTTAAAACTTTGTATTCTTGGCCTAAATTGCACTTGGTAATAAGATATTCTTTTTTAAAAATTGCTAGATTTAATTTGATAGTATTTCTCAAGGATTTCTGTGTTCATATTCCTAGGAGATTAATCTGTAGTTTTCTTTTGGTATCAGGGTAAAACTCATTAGAGTGAATTGGGAAGTATTTCCTCTTATTTTGGGAAAGGTTTGCCATAAACTGGTAACTGGTACTAATGTTTGGTAGAGTTTACCAATGATACCAGAAAAGCTTGGCTGAGGGAGGCTGGGAAATTCTAAAATTATTAATTTAATCTCTGTATCTACATACCTATTCTAAATCCCCTTCCCATGTTACCTGGGACTGAACCCAGGCAAACACTGAGCCACAGCTCCAGTTTTGTATTATTTTAAATTTTGATACAGGGTCTTGCCAAGTTCCTCACACTAGCCTTGAATTTGTGATCCTCCTCCCTCAGCCTCCCAAGTAGCTGAGATTACAGAATGTGCCATCCTTCCCACACATTTCTGATTGATTTCATTTTAGTAGTTCGTATCTTTTTAGGATTCCTTTGCCCATTTCATCTAAGTTATTTCATTTATTGGCCATTCCTCCACTGGCTCTACACTTGACTTTTCATTTCTGCAACTTGGCCAAGAACTCCTTAGAGAAAGATCTGTATAAAGACTTCACATACTCTCAATAAACATTTATGACCTAAATTAGGAATAATCAGAATACCAGGAATAAAATAAAGGTTAGCCAGGATAGAAAAATTGTTCAACATCATATAGTCACTGAGAACGGAACCCTCAGTTAGAACTCTGATGTCTCAGCCCCAACGCAGGGCATTTTCCTGTGTCCCACAGTCTACTGAGAGGGCCAGGGGATAGCCAGAACTTTAGGGCTTCATCTCACCAAGCAGGACGCTTTCCAGAGCCAAGAACTGCTGCAAGGTCTGCTCAACACAGGTGGACTGGACTCAGTTCTGTGGCACTGAGGACACTGTGCTAATGGATTAAAACTGTATCTGCTATTAACTCAATCAATAAAAGAACTGCAGAATCAGATCTGAAAATGGTTTGTCCTAGGAGGTGGTGGATTCCCCGTCCCACTGAACACTGGCTATCCAGCTGTTTGGCAGGAATATCACCAAAATGAATTCTACACTGGATCAGGCAAGGACTTGCAGGTACATTCAGTGATCTCTGCCAAGAACATTCCATCCCCTTCCCTTACTGGATGGAATGCAGTTCTTGGAGCTCCTTTTCAGAAGACAGTGTTCACAGTCTTCTCCTTTTCCCTAAGCTTCATGCCTGGTTATAATTATCTCTTCTTGTGTCTATGTTTAGTGAGCCACGCCCCCAAAGAGATTTAAGTGATACCATCAGACCTTTATTTTATTCCCCAAGCATCCAGCACTGGATTACATTTGCACAGGGTGTTGGGCAAAAATTTTGTTCTGACCTTTACATCCTCATAAATTTGCACACATTTTCATGTAGTTATTTCCCCTCCTACCCCGGTTTTCTGGCCCATAGACTCAAATGGTTTTCACCTCTCTAGCAAAGAGTCTGAATACCACCATTCCCCAGGGCTAAGTGAGTCAGGGGACTTCACCAGAGGGCTAATACTGCCTCGGCCATTTGCAAATCACTATGGTGGAAGATCTTGAGCCAGATCATTTCTAAATATCTCATCTACAGTAATGGCCTGGGAATGAGAAAGCCCATATGCTAGGCCATCTCAAAGCCAAATTCATCACACACATAAAAGCCTCCCAAACTATTTCTCAGCAATAGTTAAATAGCTTATTTATAGCTCTTGTGTGGAGAACTAGAAACAAATAGGACAGGCAGTACTTGTGGAGTAGAACTGTACCGATTTAAATACTACACAACTTGCCAATAATCCAAACAGACAGCAAATGTGAAGCTGAATCAGCTCTGCCCTCTGGGGAGATTAAGCTTCCCTATCATCAAAGTCTTTGTGACAAAGGGATAGATATATACCCGAAAAGTTAAAGAGAATGAGACAAATTAAACTCCTTTCAGGCAAAATTATTGGCCAGAAGATTTTCAGAGGGAAGAATTCAATGTTGACATCTTCTGCAGATGCATGTTAGGGGGCAGCCCTGTGATGTACCTATACTGAGGAGAATAAAATGATGGGGCGGTGCACACCTGGAATCCTGGCTCTCAGGGAGGCCTCGTGAGGAAGGCCAGCCTGAGCAATGTAGCAAGACCTTATCTCAAAATAAATAAAAAGAGCTAGGGACATGCTCAGTGTCCCTTGGGTTGAATCCCCAGTAATGGGGAAAAAGAAGGTTTAATAAGACTGGACCCTTCAGAGAATGTAGACAGGTTTTTAAAAATCCCAAGAGGCTGTTGCTGATAAGATTGAGGAAAATGCTGTGGAGCCCCAAATACAGCTATGTTGAAAAAACCTGATCACTGGTAACTTTGTGTCCTGCAGCTGTGACACACTGAACACCATGTTGTGAGCAGTGACAGCTAAGTAGCCCACTGTCTGTGTTTATAGCCGCCTTCCAGATGCGTGCTTTGCTCAGAATGACAGGCAAAGCCCTGTTCTTTTGTCTGAATGGTGTGTGTGTGTGTGTGTGTGTGTGTGTGTGTGTGTGTGTGTGTTTTAGTGACTTGCTCTTAAGAGTTTAAACCCTTCCCTCTTTCTTCCTCGTTGGACAAGGTCGATTTCTTTTAAAAGCAACAACACTCCCCCCACCGCACCTCCACTCCACCCCCACTACTCCATATCTAAGGCTTTAATCCAGCTTGGGGAGCAGAGCCTGGGGCGGGGGAGCCCCAGAGAAGCAGCGCCTCCTACAGGCACAGCTGTGCCCTGCAGCCTGCCCCACGTGCGCATGCGCCACAGCTGACCCCCCCCCCCTTCCCCCTCCACCCACCCACCCTGCACGCATACTCACTGGGCAGCGTGGTCACCGAGCTGATGTTGTGGTCGCCACCGATACTGTTTGTGGGAACCAAGAAAGAAAACGAAGGTTAAGAATGTCAGCAACGGCAGAGCACCTCAGACATGATCAAGGGAAATCTTTCTGCGGCAGCCTATAGGGTTTGCTCTTTCTCGATCATTTTGATCATTTCGGCAAAAAAAGCAAACCGCAATACAACAGCCCCGCTCCTCTCTACCTGCACGCTGGAACCGCCTAACAAAACTGCTGGTTAAATGGTCATGGCTGCTTTTCTTTCCCCTTCATTTTTCTCTTCCTTTAATCTGTGACACTGGGGGAGGGGGAACTAAGTCCTTTGCACTCAGCCTTCCAGAGTCAGAGTGACCCTTTGGGCAGCCCCCACCCCAATTCACAGCTGTGCATTATTACTAGCAGTGAAAAATGGGGTTGTTTGTTTTGGCCTGCTCTTTTTGTTTGGTTAGAAAAAGCCATTTTTAGAAAGGCATCTTCTAGAAGTTAGCAGTTCCCCCAATCAATGCTAAAATTCTAGATAAATCAAAGGTTGCAAATCTTAGAACGCTAAGGCTGGGCTTCTAGTGATGAAAATATTCAGCAGTCCAGAGTTGACTGGAATCTGCTTTTCTGCATCCCTTTGTGCTGTGCCAACCTGCCCGGGAACACCTAAAACAGTGATGCCAAACCTTTCAAAGTTCTCCATGATAATAAACCAGCTGACTGCAGCACGCATGCCATAGGTTTGCCACCACTGACCTAGAAGTTTCCCAAAGTTTTGGGGTTTAACTCTGTGCAGCGACATGCCAGTAGATGACAGGCTTCTACTGTCACTCTGGCTAAAGCTGTGTGAGGTGGACACACCCCATACCAGGCCCAGGAAGCTCCAAAGGTGGCCAGGTTAGCCTTTCAACACATGGTGGGGACCTGACCCATGCAGCTTACAGCTGCAGCTGGATCATAAACAGAGCAGGAATCCGCCTGCTTGCAGCAATACATGACCGGGCAATGCCCCAGACTGGCGTCAGGAACCATCTGCGGTGCTGCTTGTTCTTTTAACATCTGGCTATGTGACCTTGGTGACCTTTATCCTCTCCGTCTTATTTCTTGCTCTGTAAATGCCAGCTCCCATTTAGATCTGCTTGTGTCAGGCAGTCCCATCTCCATCAGTTCTCAGACAATATTTTCCCTGCATCTAAGATGAGGAGATAAGCTCAGAGAACTAAGTAACCTGTCCAGTGTCACAGAGCTGGGCATTCAAATACAACTCTGGTTCCAAAGGCCAAGACATGTTCATCATTAGGCCACTGACTCCTTCTGAGATTATGTCACAGATGGAGAAATGTAAGGGCGAGAAGTGCTTTCAACTGAACATGCGTATAGTTTTCCCCTACCCCACCCCAAACTGCTCCTGTTCAGGTCTCACCTCCTGCTTAGAGAATGCAGTGGTTTGGGGAAGCTGATAAATGCCTTTTACAAACTGAACCTGGAAGTGGATCATGGGAAAAAACTACTGGTCTACCCGTTTCTTGAGGTATTATTGTTTAGAAGGTTCAAGGGAAACTCACCTCCAGGACAGGCCTCGGTACTCAGTCAGGACATCCAGGATGTTCCCAGGCCTGGACCCAGCGCCATTGCCTGCCTGAAAAGAAACCACAGGAGGGGTTTCCCTGGGGTCCCCAGCCCCAGATCGACCGGAAGACCCACGTCCATGTCCTGGCCAGGTACTTTCAAAAGGACTTATTTTAGGGTCCTGTGTTTCCCATGTTAAAAAGTTATAGCATATATTATAAAAGGAAACATCTCATTATTAAAAATAGGAATAACATGAAATCCTGTACACTTAGTATCCAGTTGAAGTAAGCAGAGGGTTTTTGTTTTATTTTTGAGACGCGTTCTGTGTAGTCCAAGCTGGGCTCAAACTTGACATTTCTCCCGTCTCAGCCTCCTGAGTGCTGGGATTTTAGGTTGGGTCACACACTACAGTCTTACATCCCTTGCCTGAAGCATATTATTTCTATAAAGAGCTATTCTAAAGGGCGTGCTGATGACTGCTCCCCACCAGCCAGCTGTGACCCCCCCACGCCATGGTACCCAATTCTTCTGCCACCTCCTAGGTGCATCACACTCAAAACTGCTGCTCTCCCAGGAAGTCCTGAGCAGCTGTGTGGTTCTGGATGCTTCCTTATCCTGACAGCATGTTCTAGGAGACCAGGGGATTGAGGGAACAGGAAGTGAGGAGGATGAGCTGCTTGTGCCAGGACCAGCCTGCCAGTCCTTCCTGGAAGGTCTCAGCAGTAGGACCTTTGGGTGAGTGGCTGCTGAGGGCCATGGAGGAGGCCTCTGCAGCACAGGGGTAGGATCCACACTCAGGGTCTGGAACTCTGAGTTCTGCTGGCTTCAGCAGTTCCAAGCCAGAGAGAGGGAAACTTCCTTGTCAGAATGTAAGGAAAGTTTTATCATAAGAATACAAAGTGTGCAAATGTCACTGTGAATAGGCTGCAGACATAAAAAATGTCAGCCAGTCCTTGGGGAGGACCCAGCTGGAGACCTGGGTTCAGCTGACCCAGGGGCAGCAGCTTGGCTCTATAATGAGTGACTAGAGAATGGAAGTTTGTGTCTAGAAACCTCTGGGCAACCCTATCCCCAACCCCATGCACGGTAAAGACCTCATTCTGTCATTGATCTTTGTAAAGTCTGGGGTCTCAGCAATGGGGCACCTGCAATGTGAACTTGGTAACCTTAGGGGGCCCCCCTCTCTTCCACTGGCTCCTGCTTCCTCCCCCACATCGCACTCATTTCTGTCCCAGCATCTCTTCTTTCTCTCACTGGTACCTTCCTTTAGTTTTTCTCTGTAGACAAAACACAGCACCAGGTCTTGAAAGATTTCCTATATTAAAGCCAGCTGACCTGGCCAGCAAAATCCCACGACTGGTGGGCTGGATGATGCAGGGGGGGTACTTCTGTCAATCATGCTACCTTGAGGGCCCCTCCAGATCCGGCACTGGGAGAGAAACAAGTTGGCTAGCATGGAGGAAAGGACTGCTGGATGCTGAGGTGGCAGGGCGGAGATGGGGGACCTGGAGATCAAGGCCTCATATGGCAGCATTTCAGAGTGAGGAGCAAAGCCTCTCGCTTTCCCCTGTATCTCATTTCATCAAACTCCCCCGCATCTTCCTTCTACAATCAGAGCAACTTACTGTGAGAGAGTCGCCTAAGGCACCGATGACCTTGATGTCAGCTGGCTTTAGCCTGTGAACTGAGAATGCAAACTGGAGTGAATGGAAAGTGGGGGTTCAGGAAAGCCCTGGATCTAGGTCCCCCAAAACCAGTGAGCATTGTCTAGGCAAGTGGAGAGTCAGTCTCAGTAGCCGTACACCCTGGACAAAACACAGGAAGAGCCCATCCTGTCCTGACAACTCCATCGCAGCAGCCAGGGTGCTCACCTGCCAGTCTCATGATTTGTGGGTGATGCCAGGTGTAACAGGCAAGAGACAGGCCTTGGCAAGGCAACTTGCAAGGAAGGAAGGAATTCTGCTGCAACCAACACTTAATCTATTCTAGGATCTGGTGATGGTTGGGATAAAATATTGCATTGTCCTGTAAAAGACCTGCTTGGTTTTGCCAAAGTGAGGAGGGAAATACATTTACAACCAGTGAAATTTTTAGCTAAGGTAAAAGTTGCATAACACAAAATTAATAATTTAAGGTAAACAATTCAGAGGCAGTTAGTGAAATCACAGTGTTGTACAACCATCAACACTGTCTGGTCCTAAACATTTTCGTTGCTCCCAAAAGAGACCCTACGCCCATTAAGCAATCATTTCACAGCCCCTCTGCCCCAGAAACTAGTACTTACCTAGTGTCTCTACGGGCTTACTCAGAATGTATATTTTACATAAAGAGATTGTGTAATATGTGTCCTTTTCTGCCTGGCTTCTACTTTGCATAATACTTGCAAAGTTCAACCATACTAGAGCATATATCGATATTTTGTTCATTTAACTGAATAATATAACACTGTACGAATGGATCTATCACATTTTTATCCATTTATCCATTGATGGGCATTAGAGTAGTTTCCAACTTTTGGTGATCATGAATAGTACTGCTGTGAACATCTGTATACAACTACTCACCTGAACCCCTTTTAATTATTTGGGGTATGTACCTCAAAGTAGAACTGGCAAGTCAGATGATAATCCTATGTTTAACTTTTGAGGAACCACCAACTTGTTTCCCACATTCTGGCTCTAATTTTTTATTAACTTGAACTTAAACACATTCTGTGACATGATTAAACAGCTATTCCTGCAACACACACCCTGAAACCAGCAGTGGCTGGGTGCTTACGCGACAGTGACCAGAAATGGACAGGCCTTTCGGAAACTCATTGGCTAAGGGACTCTATAAGGAGAGGCATCTCTAGTTGTAATAATTCCTAGCCTGGTGATTGCTGCCAGACGCACAAAGTGATGGACCACTTAGAGCTGGAAGGAGTCCCCCTTGGGGTGTGGCAGAGGCAGTGTCAGAACCTTTCGGGGAGAAGATGGCATTTGAATTAGTCCCCCGGAAATGGCGAGGCATGGCAGGAAGCCGAGGCAGTGATGGCCAGAGGACAGCACACAATGTCTATAGAGCACAGCGAGTTGTACTGTCGGCTTAAGGGGAGGCCACATGAAGAAGGCTAACAATATTAGCAACAGCAAAAAGGTAGGTTCGGGCCACAGGCCTTTCCTACCTAAGAAGTTTGGAGATTAGCGTGACAATTGTCATATATGTAATTATTTGCATATACTAGTCCTGACATATGCTAACATATGTCAGCATGAATCCAGATGCGTTCTGAGCACTATGTCTGCAGTTTCTTGCCATGTATAGTTCAGTCCCTCAAGCCATGAGTTTACCTCCCTTCGCCCAGGCCATCCTGACTTTGCCATGGTTCCCACATGTGCCTTCCACTGTCCTTAGTGGTATGATGTTGCACACTAAATTGCTCAAATAGCTTTCCTGCCTTGCAAGAAGCCTAGTACAGAGTTTGCTTCAGGCAGTGGCCACCTAGGAGAAAGAAGCCCATCGCTACAGTGGACCATTGTTTAAGATGGACAAAGAAAATCTGTCTTCAGGAGGACTTCTTGATGGCTTTCTTTGCCAAGACAACCTGTAGCACCTGCAGTGAATCACAGAAGACGCTTTCAACACAGGTGGGCTCCATATAACCCACAGCATTCAGCAACACCCAAATCACAGTTGACCAGCATTTACACTTGCTTGGGAAGCCATGCTCCCCTTGGGAAGGTGTTCAGAGGGATCTCTAGGTCTTCAGAGACCTCTTGCCCACCTGTTTCTATAATGCCTGCAGAGGGGGACCTGCTATCCGACTGACCATTAGCTCCACTGAAAAAGTCCCTACCACTTCCTACAAAAGGAGGCAAAATGACACATACTTAGTTGTGAGTATATGTATGCAAGATATATAGATAGCAGTCCTCAAACTTGATTATGCATCTGTCTGCAGGAGAGCTTGTAAAAACACAGATGGCTGCCCTCCGAGCTTCTGAGTCAGTAGGTCTAAGGTGGGGTCCAAGGACTTGCATGTCTAATAAATTCCTAGCTCCTGCTGATACTGCCAGTCCAGTCTGGGTACCACATTTTAAGAACTACTAATAGAGACACCTTTTTATTCTAAAGCTGTGGCTGTGGTTTGTTTCTGCACCTGTAGAAACCTAGAGCCACTTACCCTGTGTGTGCCTATGAGCTCATACAAGTGGACCTAGCCCTACAAAGTCTGATGCTGTGTTTGTAGCTTTGCCTTTTTAGATTCTGGAGCCATAAGGTATATGGGGTGTCTGTCCTCCAAAGGCATGCACACTCATACATGTACACACACACACACACACACACACACACACACACACACACTTCCACATGATAGTAGCCTGCTTGGCCCTTCCCAGGCTTCCACAGCTACACGACATAGTTAGAAGAACAATATCAAATCATAAAGCCAGCTGCACACATTAGCACACGTTTACAGGGCTAAGCATGAGGATGCTAAGATGACCCCTTCTTCAAGAAATCAGGCTATGGGTAAAAAAGGAAACAAAAGTGGAAAATGACACCCTCTTCCCTGCCTTCCCGAGGGGTTTATTTTAGCTCCCACTGATGACAGTCAATCACCACATTCTTACTGCCATAATAGAGTAAATTCTCTGAACACTCTCTGGCGCGCAAAGGTTAGGGGAAATCTTTGGGGCTGGTAAAATGTGGAAGAGACGGCAGATTTGCTTCAAAAGCTTTATTATTATGGTTTCTAAAAAAAGCTAGCTGAAACTGACCATTCCTGTCTCCTAAGTTTGTAGTGGAAAAGAGCAGAAACACCAATGTACATGCACACACGCAAAGCTAAGTCTCTTGCCCTGTGTGCGCTTGGTCACTTCTCCATCCCTGGGGCACAGTATCCAATATTCACAACTTAGAGGAGGAGAGGTTTATTTTGGTTCAAGTTATCAGCCCATGGCTGGCTGGCTGGCCCCAAAGCAAACAGGATGTGAGGGGAGCAAGGCAGAGGAAAAGGTGAACAGTTCCCAGAGGCCAGGGAAGAGAGAGAGAGGAGAGGAGCCAGGAATAAGAATAAATCCATCTGGGTCACGGTCCCAGGGATCCACCTAATAGCACATCTCTCTACTCATCTACGGGTGAATCCATGCCCATGATCCAGTCACCCCCACACAGATTAGAATCTTGGGGGACATTTTAGACCTAAACCATAACAGTGAGTATATGTGTAAATACGTGTTTCTGGAAGAGGAGTTTTCCAGCTTGATGTTCAGGTGGATTCTTAGCAAAAGATAATAAACTGAATGAAATAAGTGGAGAAGAATTGACTTACCTAGATTTTACTACTAAATTAGAGCTCAGATGCACGGGATCGGTCTAACATTCTATAGATCATGATTTGAGATTTGTGAATGTTGTCATGTATGACAAAGACAGTTTAAATACAAAGGGTGATCAACAGGTATGTGTGTGTTCAAATAGAAAATATTTTTTTGGTACAGTAAAAGAGACATTGCCGTTAATCTCCCTCAAACACTTTCCCTCACTTCAGACAAATGTATTCCATCGGTCTGGCTACTTTCTGAAGCACTCTGGATGTCCTCCTTGGTGTCTTTATGACAGGTGACACAAATTCCAATGAATGCTGCTGCTGAGTGCCATCCTACAGAAAGGCAGGCTCATACAACATGTGATGGTGTGACCTCACCCACTTTATTCTAGGGATCTGGCACCCTGCAACTTTCGGCTCTGGCCCAAAATGATCACAGAAGAGGACTGTTTTGAATCTATTCATCACCACAATCATGAAATTAAAGACACTCCCAGGAGAAGACTTCTAGTACCACTTCAGCAAGTGGCAAGAAGATAGGCCGTGTGTGTTCAAAACAGCGGGGAGTAACTTGAGGGGAATTCATGGAAAGTATCATTGTATTTCTCTACCATACCTCATATAGCAAAGAACTTTAGCAATTGCTCTCTTTAGCAAAAGAACTATTTAGAGATAAGATTAAACTCCTGGGACTTGATTAGCCAAACATTATCTGGTACAAATTGTCCACTATCATGAAATAAATTGATAAACATATCATTGCGCACAAGATTTCTATGGAAGGAACCTCTTATCAAAAGGCCATCAGAGTGAGCTCTGATGAGGCATCTTCAAGGGGAGGAAATCTGTGTGCTTGAGTATGAAATGGGGAAATGCTCCATGTTCTAAAAGCTAATCCCAGGAGAAATGTTTGGAATGCTAATGCAAAGTCTTATGTAACTGAACAATTTAAACTATCTGGGACTGAAATGGGAAAACCCAACTGTTTTGATTATTGATTGGTGATGCCCAACCCGTTTGCTCTCTGATCTTAAGGACTTGTGAAAACACTTCCACCATGATGGCAACTTGCTGGCACATGACTAGGACCTTGTTTCTACCTTTGGAGTTTATATAAATATGCACTTTGTACACTGTAGGAGCAGTGGGGATTGAATCCAGGCCTTCATGCTGAGCTATATCCCTAATCCCCCTCCTTCCTATTTTGAGACAGATTCTCATTAAATTGCTAAGTTGCCCAGCCTGTGTTCCCTGATTTGGTGTTCCAGAGCAATGGGGCTACAGGTACTATATGCCACGGTGCCTGGTTTAATGTGGATGCTTTTATATTAGTTTTTTAGAGAGCACAATGTAGCTAATGGGTCAAATAATGATATTGGAAGCTTAGATAGGAATCGAGGGCTCACAATAAATAAACAAACCATTCTGGTTTATACTATTGGTGACAGTGGCACATAATTGCTTTGTGGATCCCTGTTCTCAAAATCTGTGAGTCTTTCCCTCTGTGTGGATTTAGAGACTTACTTCAAGATAGCCAACATCTGTAGATGGCCAACACACCACATCCCTTCCCACTCTGCATCTCCCCTCCTTTGACAAAGCCATTTCTTTTCTCACTGGGATACCTCAAGTCAGCTACTCAACTCAGCAATTTTTTTTTCTGTCTTTTTGAGATAGGCTCTTGTTATGCAGTTCAGGCTGGCCTTAAGCTCACCTTGTAGCCCAGCCTGGTCCTGAACTCACAACAATTCTCCTGCCTCAGCCTCCTGAGTTCTGGGATTATAGGCATGCGCCACTATGCCAAGCCCAGCATATGTTTAAGTTATCCAGATTCTGTGAGGTAGAAATACTAGCTAGTAACATGAAATGTTGATGCAAGTGATCACAAAGTTGTGAAGCCCACAACAGCTGGTACTTGGCTAACTGCGCATGTCCCCTGACCGTACAAGCTTTTATGTTTTTTTAACCACCAAACTCTAATTGGTTATCAAGTGAATTATTTATATCAGCTCTCTCCATGTCATCCCCAAAGCATGCAGGACAGGCAACCAGGCTCATCACCTGTGAGCTCACAACTGTGATAAGAACAAGGCCCCTGGGATACAGAGACCTGGTGTGGGGTGAAATATCACTCTCAGGGATGTATAGATTCCTGTGTCTGTGGACTGAGGGAAACACTGGAAAAGAGGTTTTCGAAAATCATTCTGAGGGTGAAATAGTTAATTGATAAGGTAGTCTTAGTGAAAAATGGTTTTAATGGGAGACATTTTGATTGGATGATTTTAAGATCTGTTTCAACCCTTAGAAGTGATTTGATGAATTAGAAATGCCCAGCCCTGTAATCCAACCATTCACTAAACATTATTGGGCTCCTATCATGTGCCAAGGTATCAAAATGAGATGACCAGCTCTGATACATATCAAATTCCTTTGTTTTGATTGGAAATTGCAAATACAGTATCCAGGAGAGGGAAAGAACTCACTAGAAACATGACAGTTATCAAAGGAAATAATAATGTGGCCCTTTGCTAAGACTTTTGTCCTTTCTCATCAGTCACAAGTGTGGTTTGAACCCTAATTATAGATCAATTTCATTATCATTCATTTGGTTGGGGTAACTTTTCAGGGGAGACTTAGCACAGTTATTGATGTGTACGTCCCCATTTGGAAACCAGGAGTGTTTTAGTCCTATGCCACCTTGGTTAGCTTGGGAAGGCTTAACTCTGCTTACTTAGACAGCTCCATCACCAGATATCCCAGCTCCCAAGGCCTTGAGATTTCTTCATTTTGCATCTTCAAGTGCCAATACATACAATAATCATCACGGAGTAAACAAGAGATTCTCCTTTTATCTAGTTTTTAGATATTGAGATATATTCTAATGGATTGGTTGTTATGACAAAAACATAATCTGGACAGATTGCAAAATACTCTGATCAATGTTCCAGAATGATAAGATTAAAAAGAAATGGATATGATTTCACTATAAACAGTACGGCTATTAAAACATTCAGATTGATATTTTATGTCTCTGTCTCAGTACACACATCTATATACACATATATCTATAGCTGTATCTTTGAGTAAGAGATTTTACTGCAGGGAGACCTACATAGGAAGCTGATCATCTATTTTTGCTGTTAAAGTCCAGCTGGTAATCTAGCCCAAGGCAATGAAACAAGAGACAGAAGTCTTAAAGACTAAACTGCATATAACTATAAGATCTTTGTCACTTCTGTGTCGTGCAAGCGCTGAGAATTGTTTCTCAGTGAGGTGGTGGAGTTCTTAAGAGAGGAAGCTTATAACGCAGGGTGAACAGAGCAGGTGCCTGCTCTTCAAAAGGGTTAATGTTGGTGTCCCAAAGTGAGTTACATCTTAGCAGAGGGGGACATAATAAACCAAAGACAACCCACAAACCTGTCCCCTTCTGCACAAGACAAATTCCCTTCCTAGTCTCCACTATGTTATAACCCCGTCAAGAGGGATATCACCTGACATGGGATATTCAGCCTCTACAACTGCGATCTAAATAGACCTCTTTTCTCTATAGGTACCCTGCTTTAGGTATCATGTGATAGCAACAGAAAACAGATCAGATGCAATCGTGTAGCCCATCCCTGCAGCTTAGAACCAGCGTCGGTTTTAGATCAAAGTTTAGATGAGAAAATTTTTCAGTTAGATACCCATCATTTGAGTGTTCAAAGGTAAGACATGTGTGAAAGGTGAGCTCATCAGGGCATCTATCTGCTCTACTCACAGCACAAGATCACAATCTGACTACAAAGATTTTTCATCCATGTAGTCATGTGACAGCTTTAAACTTAATTTTCCTGTCTTTTAACATATAATCTTGAGGCCGTGAGTAGTAATAGATCAACTAGAATACAAACTCCTGGAAGGCACACATAGGAGACACCTAACAATCCTCTAATGGATGAACATATCCTGTCACCCTCCAGGACCAAGTAAAGCAACCTGTGTCACTGACTCTGTGAGTTCTGTGGATCACCATGAATCTCCTGTGACTCTCCACAGCCACACAGGTCACATGCACAATGCCACTGCTTCCAGACCACTTTCCTGGGAGCAAAAGGACAGCCCTCAAGCAGTCTCTGTCTGGAAAGTTTGCTAGCTTAGATTTCCATCACTGTCAATCTGAAAGACATGTTTTAGAAATCCCAAGGGGGAGTAACGTGCAGAGCTGGGGTATTTTTCTGTCTGTGGAACTCTGAGTACCCTGGACCAGGATTCTAGACTGGCTATTTTGCTTTCTGTTGGGAGGAATTTTGCTTCTTTTGAAGAACAGTTCAACCTTCAAGCCTTCAAGGCAGGGACAATGACATCAGTTAGCTCAGCTAGCATCATACACAACATGCGTGATAGGGGGTCAATACTCAAATGCTTTCTGATCATGATTCTCTATTTTCTTTGAAGAATAATCACACACAAGCACAGCCTCATGACACACATGCCGAGCTATTTCTGTTGTCCTTGAAGAGTCCTGCTGGCGTGTTTCAGATTGTGCAGAAACCCCTTGCCCTCTTAAGGTTGCTCTGTTTTGGAGAATTTTACTTCTTGAGTGAGTTTAAAGAATCAGTGAATGCACATGTGTACCTGAGGTGGGAGTGGAGTCGGAAGGGTCCTTGTCGGGACATCTGATTTCCGTCCCTTCTCTCTCCTGAAATGAAAGAAGAAATGAAAATAAGAGAAATAAGAAGAAATGGATCGCACTACATTGGAAACTGGCTGAGAAGTGGCCCTCTATGTTGAAAAAATATCACTGAAGATAAAAATCAAACCCTGGGATGCTTTCAAAAATTTCTTCACCCCTTCAGTCCTAGTATGCCACTGTTCCCTGGTCTGTCCCCTCCTCTCTCTTAGCCCAAGTTCAGACCTTTGCTCTTTCTGCCCTGAAACATGGCACCTCTCACCAACATCACCATTCTCAATCTGTGGGTCTCCTCCACTTTCTGGTCATTTCAGAGTGGCCTCTCCTGGCAGGATGTCGCTATGGGATTCCCCTCCCAAATCCTCGTTGCAGCCGGGCATTTTTGTCTGCTACTATTGTCTGTTATTATACAGCCTAGAATGGTATCTGGCATAGTAGATGCTCAACAAGTACTTGTGGGTTGAACAAATAAATTACTCCTCTGTATCAACTTAAACCCTGAGTCCATTTTCCCATACATAGCCCAATAGCTCTCTAAACTTAGACCCTAACCAAACTCCTCCAAGTCCCTGGCCACACATTCACCCGTTCTCTCTCTCTCTCTCTCTCTCTCTCTCTCTCTCTCTCTCTCTCTCTCTGTCCTTTTCCTCTTTCCATTTTCTTACCCTTCCATCTACTTGGCTCAAACCTATCTTCAAAGGCTGAGGTCATGGGTATCCAGCCTTAGGAAACCTTCCTCTTCTCTGTGCTCTCAGAATACCTATGAAAGCTTTAATTATAGTACTTATTACATTGCTCGATAATTACTAGTTGCCTTATGTGTTACCAGCCTGAGTTGCTTGGGACAAGAAATGTATCTCATTTCTTTTTACTCCCTCTGCCTTGAATCCATCTAGCATTCCATTTATTCATTCAACAAATAGTTACTGGGCACTGACCCTGAGTTTTCCCTTGAGCTTGTATCCTAGAAGGACTCAGCAGATGCTTAATGAGTATACCCCAAATGAATGTATGACTGCCTCTTATCAGATGATAACTCCAACACTCACAAAGCACTCAGGGCATGCCAGATACAGTTCAACTTATTCATTGCAATTTCACAACATTACTTGATAGAACTATTAGTGTCATTGTTCCCCAGGTTAAGAACCAACAGATGGGAGGATAAGAGTCTTGGTGAGTGACTCAGCCAGTAAACGGAAGAGTCTGGATTTGAACCCAGAGCAAGATTCCGTACTCACTATGTCACTGACCCTGGGTGTGTCCTTACTAGTACGATATTAGAAAGTCTTTCACACTGCGTCTCTTAGGATGGAAACCCAAGCCACTAACTAAGCCTCTACCACTTGGCTAAATATCACTGTCCTTCCTAAAATACAGAGGGGTGAGGATTAGAACCAAATCCCACTCAACCCCTTAGGTCTCCAGGTCCATGAGAACAAAGACACCAACCTTAAAGGGTTTGTCCCTTCCTCAGAGGAGTAGAGTACCCTACCTAATTTCAACAGGAAGTATCAACAAGACACAGAGATAACCGTGGGCCGATAGGAATAAGTGAGGGCTTCTTTGGTTTCTATACTCTGTGGTCCAGAGTTCACCACATTTCTCTGCCTTGTCCTAACCATTCGCTTCAGGTTAAGGTCTCAGATGAACTTGTTAGAGGTCTGGGAAGCCTAAAGTCATGACAGATTGGGATCAGACACTCCCAAATCCCATAATGCCTAGCAGCTGGTGTCTCGGGTACTTCTTGGGTAGGGAGATCTGCTTCCCAGCACCAAAGGAACCATGCTCACTGCCTTCCCCACCCCAACCAGCCCTGACTGAGTTGCAAATGCCTGGACCTGTCCCAGGGGCACACATGGAAGTTTCCAAAGAGTCAGCAGCAGGGAGTGGCTCTTGGTTCCCCTGAGTGTTTGGCAATCACAGAAAACCTTTTCTTACCTTGTGCTGCCTCTGGCGCTTTAGCAACCTGGACTGGTAGTTGCTGTTCCTGTAGGTGAACAGGTAGGGGCTCTCCTGCAGGAAAAGGCAGCAAGCAGGTTATAATCACGAGCCAGAAACCTGTCTGCTGAAAAATTAGTGCTCATCACCCAGCAATGCCTCTGGTTGATTTGCAACATTCATTCATCCCCTCAATGATCACCAAGCCGTGTCCTGGCCTCTCTTGCCTGGGATACCCATTCAGAAACATACTGATGCTTTGAAATGTCCCCTAGGCAAGTCAACATCTGGCTTTTTCTAGTTGGGAGATTGTGTGCTAACAGGCTAAGTAGTCAATGAGAAGAGAACTTAATTTTAAGCTGCCTGATAGCCAAAGTAAAGAGGGAAGTAGGGTGAAGAACATACTTCTGATTGTATAGTAAGACAGATGCTTTGATTAGCATTAATTGGTAGAAGTTATTTGTTCCTGTTTAGCCTGTTCTGACTCATTTATCTGACCACATGTTAGCCACAGATTTAAGACATAACCAAAATGACCTTCTTTCAAGACCTCTTGGATACTCATCATGCCTTCCTCTGTCTTCACTCTGAAGCGTTGGAAATGGTGTTTGAGGCCCAGGGAAAGTGTGTGGGACCATTGTTTGGGACCGGAGGACCTTGGCTTTGTTCCTGTGCCTTCCACAGCTGTGGGAGGCCTCTGCAAAGCTAGAACGGTCCCCCTAGTGCTTAGATGTCAGCCTTAGTGCATCCTTGAATGCAAAAATATGTCCAGGCCCAGAAAAACAGGCGCCTCTTCTCGGCCAAGTCCATGCAGCCAGTAGCTCTTTTCCCTCCATTCAGTCCAGCCCTTCCTACCTGAGACGGACACTTCATTGGCCTCCTCTCTATTGTGCTGAAAGGCTCATCTTTCTGTCCCACTGGCTTCATCTAGAAAAGAAGGGGACCTTTAAGACAAACAAGTTTTGCCAAGATATCAGTCACCCAAGGTACCTTTGACCAGCATTTCTCAGAGTTTGGGTCTTGGATCAGCAGTGTTAGTGCCATGGCAGTGTTAGTGCCATGGGAAACTCAGAGCAAACGAATTTCCAACCCTGGTTCCAGACCTGCTAAGTCAACTGCTGCTGATCGCAAGGCTTAGGAGGAGTTGGTGGGGTTTTGACAGTGAAGGACCTCCTAGTCCTGACAGTGCGTAGGAGAAATTGAACACAGAGAGGATGAGACGGAGCCCAGTTAACAGGGCAGACTATGACACTGGTGCCCAGATCCAAGCAAATGTCTCCCAGTGGGTCACACAGTTTCCTGGTCCCTTAGGGGCCAGTTGCCCAGCTCACCTTCTTGTCCTGCTTCTCACTGCCCAACTTTTAGTTGGCTCATTGATCACATTTCCTTGGACAGTGGAACGAGACAGGAAGGAAGGGGCAATCCATGGCTTGCAAAAGGCCCACCCTCCCCTCATCCTTTCCACTTCCTGTGTCAACATAAACCCAGGCCCAAAGGGGAAATAAGCCCCCTGTGACTCAGTTTATACAACTGTGAATGGAACCAGTTTGGGGCCTAGGTCAGTCAACTCCCATGTCTCTAACTGGGGCGCACATTTGTTTTTGTTTGGGGGTCATTTAAGATGTTCATTCTACATGCATAAATGATTAAAGCAAATACCATGATGGCTTTGAAGGTTCACCGATTTTCTTTTGCATGTGCTTTCTAGCATTTGAGAGCTTCGTGTTTGGTTCTCAGCTTTGCAGTCCAGAGTGCTGGGCTCTGGTGGCACCCTTGTCCTCATGTCTCTTTTGAAGGACTCTTGACAGGGAACGCAGGAAGCCACTGACTGGGGCACCGCCCCTGGCCTGGCTCAATCACAGATTCTGCGTCTGGCATGAGCATTTCAGATCCCCCAGCAGTATCTCAGCCAGAAGCTGTGCCCCAACAGCAAGGAGTCAGGAGGGTCCTTTACCCAACACGAGAATGGTTTTCAGCAAATGGGGAGAAAGTCAGATAAGGAGGTGTAATTAAGGTCACATTTGGAAAAGGAGTGGCAACTCAGCAGTCCTGGGTTTGGGGAGCAACTGGGCTCCCCAGTGCCCCTTTTGGTTTTACTCTGATGGTGACCCAGCGTGCCCGGAGCTGCTCCTAAGGGTGTGTTCACCCCTCGATTGCTGCTGCTTCTCCTCAGCCTTCCAGCAATGTAACTGATGAGACTCTGGAGAGGAACCTTGAGAGGACCAGCTGTAAAGGATTCTGATAGAATGGGCAGAACTGAGCCCATTTCTCAAGGACCTCAGAAATAGAAAATGTATGGATTTTCCCTCCAATAAATCCATTCCTATTAAGCACCTTATCTGTTAGTCACCTATGCCTGTCTGTTTCCCACTAGTCACCTTTACACCAGCTCCAACCCTGTATCCTCAGCAAAGACGGAAAATGACCTGGTTACCTCGAAGAACCTCTCTTCGCCTCACCACCCCATTCTGTGCACAGAGGTGCTTGCACTATTTTTTTTTACTGCAGGGAGGCTACCTTTTACTCCTTTTATCTGGCCCTTTAACTGCGTGCATTTTCTTGCCATTACAAAATTAGCTAGTGTATGAGGGAGGAGAGAAGACTTTTACCAAAAATCCTCTCTTGGGGCCTTGGGACATAGCTCAGGGGTAGCACACTTGCCTAGTATGAGTGAGGCTTTCCTTCAATCCCCAGTGCCACCAAAAGAAAAATTCCTCCAAGGAGTAGAGTTCTTTAATTCTTTCTCAAGTATGGGCAGTTCCCACATCCCCTATCCTGCCTGATGGCTCTAGCGTTTGGAGAGGCACTTGGACAAAGTTGGGTCAGCAATTGTTGGAAGGATTTGGGACTTGAGTTTTCTAGCTGTGGGTCCCTTAAACCTTACCTTTGCACAGTATTTTCAGCAACTACTGAAGTGGCAGCCCAAAGCACCAGAATGAGCTCTGCCCCAGACACTAACTCCTCCTCAGCTGCACACCTGGAGCCCACACCGTGGGACAGTTCTAGGAGCGCCGTCCATGAGGCCACTCACACCACTGCAGGTGCCTTTCTTCCCTGCCCTCTGAGCTCAGCCTGTCATGGGATGGGCTGGGGAGGGCAGAGGTCTATGCGGCCTGTGTACAGTGGCATATGGCACTGTGGGCTGGAGATCCTTCTCCCCACAGGTGTGTCCTAGGTGCAGTCAGGACAGAGGGTTTGGCCTGGGCTCCATGATCATAGTGATCCTACTGTCCACTCTCTGCTCCCCACCTTAGAGGAGCTCTCACCTGGCTCTGCTCTGCAAATGTGAGCACAGGATAGGTGTGCCCAGCTCTCACTGGGATGGCCCCAGTTAAGGCCAGTGTAGCAAAAATCAAGGAGTAAAGACCCCTGCCTGCCTCAGGTCCCGGGGAGCAGGACCCCAAACTCGTTAGTCTTTTCAGTAGCCCTCAGGCTGGCTGAGGTCATTATACCCTTTTTTGCAGGTTAAAAAAATGTAGGGACCAAGAAAGACCAAGCCACTTGCCTCAAGAAACAACCAAAAGCAGGACAGGAGCCAGACTCCCCGCCCTGTGCTTTTCCCATAACCTGTCGCTGATCACTCGTGGATGGACACTGTGGCCTGCAGGAACTGTCAGTGAGTTCTACCAGCACCATGGACAGCCCTGTGTTTTGCCAAGAGGAAACTAAGCAAATAGTTACCCTCGGTGCCTCTCCAGTCCTCTCTTCCTGGGCTGCGGGAGCCTCCAGGAACCCCCCGGGGAAGCTGTGTGCTATGGGTTTCCGGACAGGTGTGGGGAGGATGGCTGCTTCCTCCTCGGCACCTTGAGACACGCACCATGCTCCAGGCCCGAGTCCAAGGACTTCATTTGTTCTCTGTCTCTTTTCCTCATGCCTGCTGGGTGGGGCTGACCGTCTTTGCCCCCTGCTGCCACATTTGACACACTCTTTTCTCCATACCCCCTGCTCTGGGTCCCCCACCTCAACATGTCACCTCTAATTCCACCTCCACAGCCCCTCTGAGCTCGCAGCCCAGGTTGCCTTCGAGTGCACAGCTGGCCCACCTTGCTGGCTGAGTGACCGCTGACCTGGCTCCTCGGGTTAGCTGGCCTTCCCAGCACAGGGCACACTGCAGGTGCCAGTTGTTAGTGAGGAGAAATGTGATGTGGGAGGAGAAGGAGGGCAGAGGTTTGGCTGAGCTAGAGCCATGGCTTCTCTGCCTGAGAGGTGGGTGGGAGGGCAGCCCTGCTTGGAGGGCATGGCATTCTTTCTCTGCCTCACACGGTAGATCAGCAACAGAGTGCTTCTCTGGGAAATGTCCCACCCTCGGCTCAAGTCCACTAACAACCATCCCTGCCCAAAGAAGCCAAGTGCCTTGTCTGCGGGCCAGGATGCTTCCCTCCTGTGGGGGCTGCTGGGCTGTCGCCTCCCTGCCTGCTCGGTCCTCTACTGGCTGCTCATGTACTCAGCCTAATACACCAGCTGAGGGGATAAAGTGGTTCCAATCTAAGAGGGAAGAAAAACAAATTTGTCACTGGGATTCTAAAAATAGGGCAGCTTGGGTAGGGAAAAACAAATGGCAAATCGAGGTCGCTGCCTGGTTCTCTGGAAAGTTCCTGAGCCTTGATATTGCATCCTGGCACTGACGAATTAATCCCCGAGATTGCTGGGGCAGCTTCAGGCTCTGGGAGGCCCGCTGTCATCCCAGCACTGAGAGCCAACACACACAGAGTCCTCGCTATGGGCCGGGACTGAGCTGCACACAGGATGTGTGGGGTTAGGGGGTAGGGGTGAGAATCAAGTTTGTTTTTCCCGTACAGGGGATTGAATGCAGGGCCTCACCCTGAGCTACATCTCCAGTGCTATCTATTGATCTATCTATTGATCGATTGCTCTATTGATCCATTTGAGTCAAGGTCTTGCTAAATTACTCAGTCTGGCCTTGAATTTGAGATTTTCCTGCCCAGGTCTCCTGACCAGCTGGGATTACAAGTGTGGCTATCAAGCCCAGCTATGACTGGGGCTTTGCAGAAGGGAGTTGAGATCTTGTGTCCACCCAGCAATAAGAGGTGGGATTTGGATCAAAACCCGTATCTTTACCACTCTGAAGTCCATGCTGGTTCCAGGCACTACTCAGAGCTTTTAAGTCTGCATGATGCTGCCTGGGTATGTGGAAAAGCTGGGTAGGGGTGAGAGGGGAGCCCTGCCAAAGAGCCCCACTCAGAGCAGGTGTCCCATACAACCTCTAAGGAAATGGCCCTGTCCCTGGGGACAGCAGGCCTGTCCCTGGCAAGCAAAACACCAGCCCTGGGACCAGGAGGTTGAACCCTTAGAGGGAGTGCTTGGCTGGCACTAGGCCTGAGAAGCCTTCCTGGTGCCCTACAGCCCTGGTCAGCACAGTGGACACTGGGGACGTTGTGCTGGTGGCAACGCTGCCTCTTCCTCTGAGAGCCACCCCCACCCACTCACCATGTTGTTCCAGAGGCTCAGGGCCAGTGTGGTGGGGTCCTGGGACGGGGGTTCTTCCTGGAAGAGAAGCAGGAAAGAAAAGAGCTTATCAGGGGTGGCGACTGCTACATACTCCGCACTCTGCTTAGCCTGGAGCTGGGTGGCACAGAGCTACCTTCCCTCTGCCCCTCACCACCCCCATCCCAATCACTATCAGTGGCATTTATGATGGCACTGCGTGGGTTCAGGTCTCAAAGGTCAGGGCCAGTAGGGGCAGGGTGGTTGTCTGATTGTTCTGAGTGTCACGGGCAAGTCTCACGGAGCCATCTGGGTGTGGTTAGGATGGGGAAGGGGGAGAGAGGCTGCTCTTCCCTTTCTCTGCTCACCTGCCTGTCTCTCCCTCCTCCTCCCTCTCCTTCTTTCTTTCTTTGGACAGCACTGACTGGCAGTGAACACACTATGTAACTCAGGCTGGCTTTAAACACCTTGCCCCAGCTCCCAGGTGCTGGGATCGCAGGTGTGCACCACCACACCCAGCTCTGCCCCGCTTTAAACTTCAGGTGTGTGCTGGAGGCAGCACAAGGCCCTCTGTAGACAGGAGCCAGGAAGGGGGCTGAAGGAAATAACAGTCCCAGACATAGCCCTGCGGGCTCAGCCTGCAGAGACCAGGTAAATGAGTGTGGCCCCATGTCCGGGGCCATAAGATGTGGGCAGTTCTCTGCCCAGCAACCCTGTGGGAATGGATGTAGAAGGGCAGGTGAGGAGTGTTGGCAGTCTGGAGATGCCATCCTGAGTAACACAAGAGCTGAGAGGTGGGAAGTTCTTCCTGTGAGTTAGCTCATAGGACCCTAGAGAGAGGGAATAGCAGCAATCTTGATGTCACAGATTTCAACTCAGGCACAGCAAGGTCAGCTACTTGCCCCAGATGACATAACTGGTCCATTCTAGAGCCAGGATTGGAGACCAAGCCTTGTAGCCTAAGTCCTTGCCTTATGCAGTCCCCTTAGAGAAATTCTGTAAGAAAACGTCATTTTTGCATTGACTCTGAGACTATGTATCCAGGTTCTGTAAAGCTGGACTGGACTTGGGATTCTGTGAGAGCCAGTGCATGGTCCAGGCTCCCCGAGTCTGCACCCTTGGCCTCGCCTGAAGCTCACTTACCACAGGAGATGACACCTCGTAGAAGAAAGGCTGGAAAACCACTGCAAAGGACTCCTGATCGTTGAAGCTGCTGGAGGCCAGGAGGCTGTCCCAGGTTTCCTGAGAAGGGAGCAGACGGTGCATTGAGGAGTCCAAGTCGGCCAGAGCTGGCCAACCTCCCAAGGCTTCTCAGCAGCCCCTCACTCAGGGCCACCCATGCGAGCACGTGCTATTTGGAAGGTCTCCCGCATCTCGTACTTTTGGGGCTACTGATGACCTATGCTGAGCTCTCACTTGCCCCTGAGTCCTTGACCTTTGGTCATGCCAGAGAGCACCTGCGGGGCACTCGCCAGAAGCTCAAGAAGCACTCAGCAGCTTGGCACCACGAGGCCCTGCTTTCCCCCAAGGCACCGGCCACTACTTCTTTAAAGCGCTGTCAATTTCAGAATGAAAGCAGCGTCCCCCAGAGCACCGCTTCCAACTGTCTTCTTGAACACAGGTTGTCGAGATGACTCAGGTTAGTGGGAGCCAGACATTGAGTGTTTGCCGAGGAGAATGATGGCTTTTATTGAGTCCTCTGTGCTCTGCAAGGATCTCTTCTGTCAACCATAACACTTGTCTTGAGGAGCCCTGGCTTCTTGTTGGCGTAAGCCTGGGATATAGCCCTACCTGGGCACAGCCAGCTCACCAGCCACAGATGTGGCTGAAGCAGCAGCGATGATACCAGGCAGTTCAGAATGAGTTTGCAAAGTTCCTCACTTTCTGCTGCCCAGAGTAGATGCACGGCCCCACGCCCAGCGCTGATGCCCCCACAATACACACAGAGATCATGGGGAAGCGAATGCAGAGTGGCATCCTCTGGATCCTGACTCAGACTAACGTGGGTAAACTCAGCTTGTCCCAGACCTCCTTTCTGCTCCCCAGCCTCCCCATGTGTGAGCCAGCAGCCCAGACCTCAGAAGTGGGCTCACCTGATAAGACCACTGCATTACAACCGTATCCAGCTTTGAGGTCTCCCCTGAGCAACCACAGGCCTCCGGTGAGGGTCTGCTGTGAATCAGAGTAGAAGGGAATGAGAGTCTGGGGTGCCTCTAGGGGGGAGAGGGGGCCTGGTGGGGCCTTGGAGTCACTTGGGGCAGGGAGGGAGGAGCTGGGAGCCCTAGGGGATCTAGGGGAAGAGAAGTAGCAAATGTTAGGGACAAAGAGGACGGAGAGGCAGTGGGGAGCCCTCGGCCCCAGGGCCAGATGGGCCACTGAAGTGATCATCTTTTTCTTCCGCTCCTGCTGCCCACACCCTGTCCTTCCCTCCCCTACGCTCTCCTCCTTTCTCTTTTTCCTCTTCCGAGACTCCTTTCCCCGTGGTCCTGTCCCTCTGTTCTTGCTCTGTCCAGATGTCCTTGCTCTGACTTTTTCTACATGAACTTCCTTTCCTGGTTCAAAGCCAGGATTTTTAAGGTGTGGTGCCAAAAAGTTTAAATTCTATGAAATTTATCAGACACACATGCAGGTCAAGTTCTGAGAAGTACACTTAGGGGACGTTCTTTCCCACCTGATTTCCTGAAGTAATACTTCTTGGCTTCTAAATGCTCAGATCGTTATGGTAGAGGGAGGGTGTCTGGCACTCCACCACCCTGACTGAATATTTAAACCCTTAACTGGGTCCCCCAAATAGTACTTGCCAATAGACTCTCTGCCCCGGGCCTGTGCTAGTTATATATGCTCCTACAGTTCTCCAGCCTTCACACTTGGGGTCCCTGCAGGGACCCCAAATCATGGAGGAACCAGCTCAGAGCCCAGCACAGGGCAGGTACCCAGCAAACGTTAGTCCTGTTTCACTTCTATATTTACCTGAGCAGAGTCCCCTGATGCCATCGAGGCATGGCCACGACCTCAGAGAGATCCACCAGGTTCACAAATGCTCTGGGGACCTAAGCGGACACAAGGGATATGAAGGTGATTATTTTAGTCAGGGGTTGTGAGGAGAACAATTACAATCAGGACACAGGATTTATAATATTATTTGTGATGGCACCCAGAGTTAAACACAAGAAAGTGCAGGAAATCTGTCCACAACACTACAGACTCAGAATATTCAGCCAAGGGCCTGGATCCCACAGCAATGTCCTGCATGAATCCAGATGAAGACATGGAGACCATGACAGTGCCTCCCATGAGTCCAACTGGAGGTCTAGAGGCCATGAGTAGGAGCCACACCAGTCTGTTTCATGGATCCATGCTGGGAAGGCCCAAAGGTCAGTGGTAGAAGCTAGAAAGTCTATGCCAGTGGGGTGAAGGAGCTGTGCTGGTAGGTTAAGGGCCGAGAAGTCATGCTCATAAGGACCAGGGCTGCCCTGAAAAGTACCACAGCCATCTTAGCGACACGGAGGTCCTCCAACAATGAGAACAGTTGAGTACGTGCTAGGAAGCCAGTGTGACAAGTTTCTCCTGAAGATTAAACAGCACACATCTTCCCTTCTACAGACAGGAAACTATGTTTGATATAAGGACAAAGCTCCCCCAAAGTGAACCACAGACACTCACCAACAAGGTCCCAAGCTTCTCTGATGATAATGGCTGGGGGAAGCTAATCATGACCATCTCCTCCAGGAGAACCAATGGCTCAAAACAGCAACGCTTAGGAGAACCCACAATGCACAGCTCTTCTCCACATCTCTATATATGCTGGCAACTTTCCTCAGGTGGGCCATCTATACTCAGTACCATACTGACTTAATTCAGCTGGTGTTAGGTTGACCACCAGTTTTTAATCCAAAACAATTACCCGTGGTCAACTTGATAACATACACGTTTCCTTAAACTGTAGTCTTTAGTGGCAGATTTGTGAAAGTTAACATATCTTGGTGTATTCAGATTTAAATTAGTACAACAATTACAGTGGTCGCTAAGTTGCCATGGCTGCCCAAGGGCTCTCTGGAGCCTGCTTTGGGGACTGTTTCTCTTGAAGATATTCAGTTGGGATCGGTCCATAATGGCCAAACCTGCAGCTGTGTTATCACCTCTTCCCTCCCTCTTGGTTGGCAGGATACCTCCCAGCTCAGAGTCAATGGGGCCTCAGACCCAAGAAGCTCAGGGGCAGGCAATATCACAGCACGGCCTTCAGGTCTCAGAACCTGTTGAGTTACTATGGTAGTTCTAGGAAGAAAACTCAAGCATTCTCTAGCTCTCTGGCCATCACTGCCTCAGACTTGGTCAGAGAGTAACCTCAGGAAACAGCAGAACCACGAGTCCCCAGGAGCTGAAATGCTTCTGGAAACATCCTTCTGTGAGAGTGGCATGCCCTGACCTGCACCTGACTTGCACTGTTATTTCAGAGGCTGACGAGATGGATTCTCTGGAGAATCCTCTCCTGGGTCTTGCTGGCCCACTCAGGAGTCCATTTCCCACTAGCTGCCCCTGGCAGAGCCCCAGGTCTTACGGGGCATAGAACATTAGCCTCACCTCCTGGTGCAGGTAGTGTAGAATCCCAGCCAGCTTGTCCATGTTGCTCATCAAGGGTCCATTCTGTGAGAGAAGAAATGAACTAGTGAGGTGGCAGCAGAGTGGACATGAGGCTGAGGATGCCTGGACTTGGGCAGGTCCCGCGGGGAGAGATCCTGATCAAAGCCCTGAAATCCCTCTTCCCACAACAAGTGTAGAGTTCCCAGTGCAGCTTTTTGGGGTTGGGGGTGGGGATCCATTTCTGGCTTCCCCAGCCTGTCATCTAGCAGGAGAAAAAAATAAATTCACAGGAAAGGGCAAGCCTAAGTGTTATGGTTTGTATCTCGATGTCCTCCCAAAGCTTCTCACAGTTAAGAGGGGTGGGTTTGAGGGGGAGCCTGAATCTAGAATTTGTGGTTCATTCATGATCCGATGCTGGGACTAAGGGTGTGAGGTGACACTCGCCCAGAGTGGGTAGTCTGCATACAGTATAAGGGACAGAACTCCCTTGTTGCTTTTGCTGTCTTCCACCACCATGAACTGTTGCCCCTCTACCATGTGCCAACCTGCCTTGGAGCCAGCCCATAAGGGACTGAAACCTCTACAAACTGTAAGCTAAATAAACCTTTCCTTTCTTAACATTGAGCATCGGGTGTTGTCTCAGCAATGAGAAAAGTAACTAAGACACTAAGGTCAGAGCAAAGTCAGAAACACCTGGCATGATTGTAATGCTTGAATTAAGGGGTTCTTACTTCCAAAGACTCATGGAATTACTCTTTTCCACAGAAAATTAGGTCTGCAGGTGAACGCATCAAAGCCTAGATTTAAGGCACCCAATGGGCCTTAAAACTTCTAAGGATATAAGACAATAGTGGTGAACCTATGGCATGAGTGCTGTAACCAGCTGTTTGTTATTGAAAGCTCTAGAAGGTTCACCATCGCTGATACAAGGTAAGGAGCTCTTTTCTGAAATGCCTGGGGTTTTCTGGGGTTTTGGAATATCTGCACAGACTGTACTGCTTGAACACCCCTGCCCAAATCTAAAATGCTCAGAAAGCTTTGGATTTCAGAACATTTTGGATTTCAGATAGGGATGTTCAACTTGTACTATGTTATGCACCCTCTCCCTAGCATATTTGCCATGAGAAAGATTGCTAGAGACCACATGAAAGGATCCACGTGATCTGAGTATGTGAACACATCTGCTATCCACCCAACATGCTCCGCCTCTTCCTCTTTGCTAGTGATGACAGTAAACAAATGAGACCACCTCAAAAACTGACTCTGGTTTACCTTCTCAGTGTGAAATATCAATAAACAGAAGACACACTCCCAAGCGGCCTGAACACTGGTGCTCCTGGAGACAACTTGGTTTAGAGAGAAAACAAGGATGGCCGAGGAGTGGATCTGTTCCTTGGAAGAAAGGACAACCCACGAGACGGGCTGCCAGTCACAGGTGAAGACCACAAGGCAGAGCGTGGGGAGGAAATTCAATGTCCTCGTCTCTCCGCAGGCTGGTCCTGCTTTGGGAGGCCGGCTCAGCCCGGTCTCTAAAGCCTTCTATGTAGTTTTCTTCCAAGTCTTTCTCTGAGCTTGACAGCATCACAGCTGCCCTCCCGAAGAGCCCTGGGAGCTGTCTAGAAATGTCCCTGCTGCCCTTCTGTGCCACATTCATGAGTGTCTGTCTAAGGGTCTGGGAAACCCCGTTGGGCCATTTTGAGTGCAAACTCCCAGTCGAGGTGTATTGTTCAGAGCTGTAGTGGGACTCTGGGCTCAGCCAGGCATTCCAGGCACTGAATGCTTAAGCTAGCAACTGTCCTTATCTTTTAGCGGGAGATATTATGCTCCTAGAAAATGCCCCTCTTCTATAAGTTCACGTATAACATAAACTCTCGGAGCCCAAAATCAGGGAGAAACTTATTTTTCCCAACAAACTTGTATCCTTCCATTTGTATCTTTTACCCCTAGATTCAGAAGAATGTCTATTACAAACACATGCCCAAAGCCAGATGTAGCTTTCATTAACAAAGTTATTTTAAAAGTGCAATAAATTATTTACTTGGGGTTTATTACAAGGAAGATGATTGCTAGGTTAAAAAATAAAAACGGTTTTAGGATTCTTCACTCACACTGCCAGTGCACACTCAAAACACGCTGACACCTGTATCCAAGTGGCATCACTGATACACAAACGCCTATGTTTTCTTGCATGCCATTGATTTTTACCCTGTTCATTCATAAAGCTAGATGTTAACTAGGAAACACTAAATAAGCACCCAGAGCCCAAAAGCATTAGTGTCACTGCCATGAGCCTGGTCATCATTTACCTCGGAGGCTGAGCCATTACTAGTGACTAAGGGACAGTTCCTGATCTCACTGCCTCATGACTCTGACCATCAGCAACCCTTAAAGAATAAATGGGGACACAACCCCTTGCTATTCCTCACTAGAGGAGCCCAGATTTTCAGAGGAAGAGAACTCCAAGTCCTAGTGCCGGACAGTAGTTTAACACCTCTTCCTAATGGTAAAACCCTCTTTCTTATATGAATTTTTAGGAAACGCTGAACCACAGCCAGAATAAGCTGCTTTGTGTAATCAGGTGGGGGCCAGGAGCCCCCCTATTCAGACTTTGACCTCAGAGGTACCTCCTGTGGACATTTTGACAACTACTGAAGGAGTGACAGTCCCCGAGATATGCCTGGAGGAATATAAAAATACACAGTAAGTACTCAACTGAGGATGTGGTGCCAAACCACAGGAAGAGCCCAGAGAGAGAACCAGGCTGGGGTGCGGCTGGGAAGGCAAGTCACTGTGTGCTTTGGCTGAGGAGGGTGGGCTGGGTGCCACGGTAGTGAGCTAAATTTATGGGAATCAGTGGCTCAGGGCTCAGAAATCAGGAGCAAGGCACAGTTACTTTTATCATATGTTTGCAACCAATTAAAAGTGTGAGGTTCTACGTGTGAATAAACTCAGCCCTTATGTATCAACACGGGCAATCTCGAGGCAATCTCACATATTAACGGAAACCATTCAGTGGTGGGAATGTACATGAGACAAGCTACTTTAGAGGGCAACTAGGCAGACTCCATTAAAACTTGGAGTCTGTCTCTGAGCACTGGTGATTCCATACTGAAACTCTCCGCACTTGTCTTCGAACTGTTTTGACAAGGACTCACAGTGTGACATACATTCGCTGTTCCAATCCAGTACACAGACCCATATGGAAAGGAAGCGAAGCTTTCATGAACCAGTAGTTGCTTTAGTTTAGTAGATGGAATGGACTAGGCTATGTTGTAATTTACTCCAGCTTGTTTGTGTCTTGGAGCTTTTTACACTGATTTTGAGGGACTCATGGATATACTCCAGTTATGGTTTACAGCTAGATGTTCCTGGACAGCCTCTTCACCCCCAGACAGGGCTTTTGAAAGGTGACTGAATTAGGAAGGTGATATCACCGGTTTGCTGCCCAGGAGGCAGAGCCTGAATAGAAGACACAGCTCCCTGTGGGGATGACCTGGAACCGTCTATCTTCCTTCCTTGATTCTCTCTGCTTCCGGTCCATCATCCATGAGCAACTCCCTTCCACCGTGCCCCTCCGCCACACTGTCCTGCCTGGGAGCCAGCCAGTAGTCAAAGTAAACCTTTCCTTCTTTAAGTTGTGGCTGTAAAGTATTTTGTCCCAGTGAGGAAAGTGACCAACTCAGTTCCAATACACAATTGGAAAATCATCGTATCTAGAGAATACCTTCACACGTTTAAGTAAATGAACAAGTTTGTTTGTTGTAGTGCTGGTAATAATAGTTAAATTAAAAATACCTAAGTGGCCATCAATAGAATAGTGGTTAAATAAAATATAAATTTACATAACAAAATACACTGTATTCAAGCTGCAGGAATAAATTCAATTCATGTGTTATCAACTTGCGTAGCTCTCAAAAATACCTAGTTAACAAAAAATTTACAAAATATAATACTGTCTATGCTAAATCTCATATCCACAGATATGCATAAAAATAATGCTAAGGTTCACAGGCATGTTACATAACATCTCATCCACATTAGAATGACTATAATCAAAATAAAAGAAACTCTTATATACCATTGATAGAAATATAAGCTAGTACAACCATTATGGAGAACAAAATGGGGAGGTTCCTCAAATGCTTAAAAACAGAAATACCATAGGACCCAGCTACCTCACTTCTGATTATAAAAAAAATGAAATAACATACCAGCTCTCTGGTTATGATTCTTGCGCACTCGTGTTTACCAAGCACTATTCGCAAGAGCAAAGATAAGGAATCTTTCTAGGTGCCTACTGACAAATGATAAAGAAATGTGGTGTATGAACATGATGGGGTATTATTCTGTCCTAAGAGGAATTAAATCCTGCCATTTGTAGCAAAATAGATAGAAATGAGGACATTACGTAAAATAAGCCAGACATAGAAAGACAAGTACAGAATGTTCCCTTTTATGTGTGAAAAAATTAAAATTTAGTGATTCCTAGGGATTGGGAGGTGCTTCAGGGGCTGGGGAGGGAGATCGGGAATTTGATCAATGCACTCTGTATGTACCAAAATATTACACTGAACTTCATTAGTATGCACAATTAACACATGTAAATAAAGAATATTAAATTTTAGAAAAAGACCCTGGGACGGAAAACAGGAGTGGGATTGGGTGGTGGTCAAAGTCCATTCTAGCTTCATCTGTAATTTTCAGTCTTTGTTTAAAAGCATTTGTCTATTTCTTGTGGAACTAAAAATTAACAAAAGCAAATAATGCATAAACGGAACACAGGTACAAAGGAATGTAGGTAGAGCGCTTGACGGGCTAAAGAAGGCAAGAACTCATGTGGAAATGCCTGCCTGCCAGGTGGAGGGTAGAGATGACTCATGAATGAGTGTGTGCATCCATGAACGCATATTCGTGTGTTAAACAAACTCTAGCATGAACAAACTCATCACAAATGCAATAGTATGCATCAGGGGCTGGGGATTTAGCTCAGCGGCATAAGCGCCTGCCTTGCAAGCCTGTGGTCGTGAGTTCGATCCCTGATACCAGTAAAGATACAAAATACAAAAAAAAAAAAAAAAAAAAAAAAAAAATAGCACGCACCTACATGTAAAAAAGCAGTAAATCTATATGTGAATACAACAACATAAGGAAAAGACATATAGAGGGATGCAGCAATGCAAACGTGCTTATCTGAATACTTTAATACATGAACACAGACATTCATGAATTAAGGTTGGTATGCATAAAATGACTCAAAAGGGGGGAGTGGTACAGAATTAGAAGGCATGCAAATTTACTTGGCATTGACAAGAAACGAAGGTGACCTGAACAATGATCCTTCATTATCAATATGCTACACGCCCAGGAAAGCTGCAGGAATGGGCCTGATCAACAAAAGCTGACCGGGAAGAAGGATTTCCCCCGGCCTCCTCCCAGGGTCCCCATCACTCAAGGAAGGGGAGTTCTTACGGCGGCCAGGGGTTAGGGCAAGCACATGGCATTTAAAGGGGGGCCACAAGCAAGCAGGAGAGATGCCCAGAGATGGGGGGAAAGATGCCTCAAGAAGCTTTGCTCGTTCCTGTGCCAAGGCCTGGCAGAGGCCCTGAGAGAGCGACTGGGAGGACAGTGGGCAGGCCACGGGACTGTCATAAGCAGCAGGGACAGCTTGGTGGCAATCATGCAGCAGATTCCTGGAAAGAGTCTGTCTGCCACCTATGCCACCATAGCCCAGGCTTCTCAGCTACCCCTCACTGTTTGTAACCTGTCAAAAAAGACTTTAGTCATAGGCAGAAGCTTACATGAATAGCAATAAATGAAGCCACAGGCTTCATGGCCTATTTCCAGGAAAGCCAGAGCCTAGAAGCTAGTCTACAGTTGACCTTAGGTCATCAGCAGACTTCCCAGTCCAACTAGAGTTCACAGGTCAAGGCTGACCACAGACTATAAACCCTGCTTTATTTCTTGAATTCGGTATTTACATGGATTCAGAAGCAAGATGGGCGAAATCATTTTTCAGTAACTAGATCAGTTTTCTTCAGTTGCAGAATGACCATTGAATGCTTATCTGTATTTTAAGTTATTTTTCCCTGATTTGAGGAATGGTTTAAAAAAAAATCTATAGCTTGTGATGGTCATGGATATAATTATAAATGTGCTTAATACCACCAAAGTGTTCATTCAAAAATAAAAATGAGCAATTTTTTATGTTATGGACATTATATCACCATAAAACCTGGAGAAAAAGAAGCAAACACAAAACACATGCCCTTGCATTTCCATTCCCTCACTCAGCCATTCATCTGCTCTGATTCTGAAATAGGTGGTCCCGGCCCCCAGCCTAGCAGAGAGGGACCAGACAGGTTTAGTTCACTGACCCAACGCCAGCATCTGTGACCCCCCAGCCTCCTAACCGATGGTTTACCTCGTGAGCAGAGGGACACAGGTAACACAGGCTTGCATTGCTAAAGAACACATTGATGAGTTTCCAATCCTGTTGAAAATCAAGTTGCTAAAGAGAAACCACATAAAAAAGAAATATTAGTAAGATCTTCAGCCAAAAAGAACTTTTTTCTTTCTGTGTCTTTCACTGTTATACACCCACTCCCACCAGAGCTATATTCATGGTTTTTAATTGGAAGAAGCGAATGGTGGGAATCTAAAATAGTATAATCATTAGAAGGCAATTTGGCAAAATATAAAAATATTTTAAGGGCACACCTTTGAATCCAATAGTTCCATTTCCCAAAATTTATTTTAAGGAAAAAAAGTATGCATAAACTACTTAGCTATAATGATGTCTTGTTCCTAAGAATGAAAAGCTAGAAACAACATGTCTAAAATAGGCGATTACTGTGTAAATTACGGCACATTCATAAGATGAAACATTATGTGATTACTACTAAAACAGTACTGGAAAATGTAATTATTGTCAGTGGAAATATACTGAGAAAAATAGGCTATAAAAAGTATCTACATCCAGTAACATCCCTGTTTTATAAAATATATACTGCTATTTATATACTGAGCAAAAACATGGAAAGGACTATGTGTCAGTTATTAACAATAATTATCACTGGCTATTCAATTTAAGATGGTTCTTAATATTCTCTTTATCTGTAATGATTTTTCTGTAATGAATATGTGTTGCTTGTATAAGAAAATACAAACTTTTATTGTGTTCTCCTGAGGCACCACATCTGCTTGAGAAACACTGACCTAAGAACCAAGCACTTTAGATTTTAGCTCTAACTAGCGGTATGATTTGGAACCAGTCTTCTTGGAACTTTAGTTCCCTCATCTGTAATATTTTTGATTTCGACTCAAGACTTCCCAGCTATTTGCAGAATAATTATATTCTATTGTCATAGAAATTCTGAAATTCTCCTGCTGGGGTGAACCGAGTCTTCATGTCACAGCTTGCATGTTGGCTGCTGTCCCTGTGTGGCTTGGAATGACCTCCAGTTTAATTCCCAACCCTTTAATGTCCAAGCGCTGACACAGACAGCAGCTTCCCTTGGCTCCCTGGCTGCAGGCACAGTGCTCAGTTAGAATCAGCTTGGTGTAAGGCCTGCCTTGATTAGACTGTTGATTCAGGGGCAGCACAAAAGACTGGAGGATACTTATTACAAACTTATGTAAATAATTCAGTGAAGAGCATCTGAACTATTAGGAGACCGGATAACAAGGTGTCCAGCATACTATGCGTGATAGAGGCCTTGGTCCTAAGAACTAAAATTAAGATGGTAATTATTAATGTCACCAACCACATGTCAGTGACAATCACAGCTATAGCTACAGAATTTTACTGAGCACTGAGTTTGTAACAGGCATGTTTGTTCCTCATTTAATTTTTCATAAACCTTATGCAGCAAGCTCTTTGATTATGCTCATAAGTAGGGAAACTAAGTCTTAGGAGGTTAAGTATCAGACCCAGCATCATGCAGAGTGGTAGAAAATACAGTCAGTCTCGAACTAGTCTCTCTCTGAAACACAATCCTCAAGTGGGAGGTCATTTACCCCATCAGCAGTAGCACAAGCAAACCATTCTGAAAGGAAGAGTCGACTAGTGACCTTCAGACAGCCCCGGTGGAAAGGATGCTTTTGAAGAGGCCCACACTGGCTGCTGTGTTCACAGCAAGATGGTGCCAGGATCATCATCGCTCTGAGTGTGTGGTTTGATTGCCCTGTGGCGACGATCAACAGTCAAATACACCAGAGTTACGTGGAGCCTTACCGGGTTCTTCTTCAAGCTGCTCACCAGTTCTTCAGCCTGAGTCCGTAATTCTCTGTGCAGGAGGAGGGGAGCACAAAGAAAAATCAGGAAAACAAAACTTTCCAGGGTGTGAAAGCTCACCGCTTAGCCCAGCTGAGGTGCTAGTGTCTGAGCACGGGGGGGGGGGGCATTTCAGCTTTGACTTAATAACCTGTGTAATCCTCCATAAATCTTATATAGCAAGCTCTTTTGTTACTCCCTGAAGCCTATTTGGCCTTGCCAGCCCCTGAAATTCTACCACCTGCTTGCCCGTGACCATCGGAAATACCCAAGCCTGGTGAGAGACAGAAAAGGAGCTTACTCAACACCACCGCGGACAGCAGCGCTTCTCCAGGGAGGACACGTGGGCAGCAGAACAGAAGGGTTGAAGTGGCTGATGATGTCTGAAAGGACTAAAGAGAGCGCTGGTCTGAGCCTTGGCCTTGACAACTGGAGGTCACCTCTAAAGACTGCTCCCTGCTGGGGAGAGGTGCTAAGGATACCACCCCTTTGCAAAGCACAGCCTTTGCACCCTGCTCTGGGCTTTGAAGTTACCCCTGGATCTGGTCCTGGAAGCGACTGGAGCCGAGATTGAGAACCTGTGTGATGCAGGCCAGGCCCAGTGCTGGACGTTTGCATGCATTCCGTCATTTAACCCTGTGTACCAAACTCAAGACAACACCATTTCCAGTTTAGTGCAGGGGGAAACTAAGGCAGAGCAACTCAGCAAGCTGCCCAAGGCCTCCCAGCTCCCGGAAGTCGCTAGGATTTGAACCACAGCTCGTGGATGCCAAGGCTTTTAACTGTCTGGGCTGCCCTCCAGTTCCCTTCCCTCCTCCCGAGAGTGACAGCAGGGTGGGTAAACTCCAGGGAACACACAGAGAACACAGCCCAGAGCTGACAGCCAGAGCACTGCTAAAAATAGTGCTGTCAGGAACAGTTGTGTCTTACTCCCTAGAGAGGAGAGGAGAGCCGGAGAGTGTCACGCAGGGAAGGTGCCTCCACCTCCAGGCTCTTTGCTCTCCCTTTCCTTTGTCCCCATCCAGGAGTGCCTGGGGCTTTACAGCACAGTGCCAGCAGGAGAGGGCCTCTCTGCAAGGGGAGCTGACTCTGCAGGCAGCCCACAGGGAGGGTGTGGGAGAGCTGGGCTGGAGGTCAGAAGACTGGCCGCTAGGCTCTGAGGCCTTGGGCAGCCACCTCACTCATGTGTGATGTGGTGGTATTCCCTTCCTTTTCCCTGATTAAAATTTTCATTTTCTCCATGTTCCTCCCTGACAGCTTGCAGAAGGAGCCCACGTCACATGGCTTTGAGCCCAGTTCAAGACGACAGGGACAGGTGAAGATAGTCTGTAAGGACCAGTTACAAGACACAAATGTCTAGTGATAAGTCTGTAAAAGGGAATTGCTTTCTAATCCCCAGTACTTAAAATAAAAGGCAATCAGCCTTTATTAGAGAGTGCAGGAAAAAAGTGGAGAAAATGAGAAATCAACCTCCCGGCAGCTGCATCTGTGGGATAAACTACACTTCGTCTTCCTAGACACCCCCAAATATGCTACTTCATTTCCTTCAGTTTTCTGTGCCATATAAAGGTAAACAAGGCCAGGCCTCAGCACAGCTGTGAAGCCACCAATTCAGGGAGCCTCTGCTTTTGGAATCCTTGTACTCTTCCCCAGGGGAACTGCCTACCTCTATGGCCACCAGAACTCCCTCGCCTGTCAATCAGGTGATGCGGGAGGCGGGGGAGCTGACAGCAGCCCCACGCTTCCCTGCCGGGTCACGAGTGGTGAAAGAGGCCCAGTATCCCACTCATCCCATCCTAACCAGGAGCCTGAGGCTCTGGGTCCTTTGTGCAAATTCCTGGCTGGATTCCAGGGCACCGCCTCCGTCCCTTCCTCCACCAGCATCTGCTCCACAGAGCTCATCCCCCCACTTCTCTCCTTCATCCCCAGGTGAAAGGTGGCCTCCCTTGGTCATGATTTAGGAGCTCCAGGCACAGCAGACTGACTTCCTGCCAAGTTCACTTGGCTAATGATAAGGAACTTGGGGATTTTAAGGTGACTTGATATCATCAAAAGGAACCTCTGATATTAGCAAATAAAAAAGCCCAGGTTACAGAGACTGTAATTACACTTGGATACAGAAAGGCCCAAGTGTGAACCCTAATTATCTCCAAATAGTGAGATTACAGTTGACTTCTGTTTCCTTCATTTTCCTGGAGGAACAAGCCGGGACATTCACCCAGCTGAAGTGACCCAAGGCCAGCCCTGGGCTCCCGGGGGAGCAGGAACTGCAGCCGCCCTTGCCTAGCCTGTCCCAAGCCCCTCTTCTGCATCTTTCAGTCTTAATGCTTCCTGGCTTCTCTTTGTCCAGAGACCTTCCAACACATTGCTAGCGCATGCTATTCAGGGTGTGTGACTTCCCATAGCCTGGATCCCTCTTAAAATGCCTTCCTTTCTCCGAGGATTTAGCTCAGTGACATAAGCACCTGCCTGGCAAGCACGAGGCTGTGAGTTAGATCCCCGGTACCAAAAAGAAAAGCCTTCCTTTCTCCCCAGGTCCTGGTGACAAAGTGGCAGTACAGTGTATTTTTTTATTAGCGGAATTGCTGTGTCAGGAGGGATGGGGACACTCTAGAATCTGGCCTGAAAGCCAGGACTCACCTGTCATCATTCCCATGCACCCCCGCCATGGTTCTTTCTCAGTCCTGCAAGCAGAGGTGATCCGTGAGTGTCTGGCTGCATTTGTCACTGACCATCTGCCTTTCCTGGTAGAACCCGCACCCTCCTTCCTGGCCTGACCCAAAGGCAGAAGGGGATGATGACCCCAGGGTAAAGGGAGCAGGATTCTACCCTTTCCCATTCCCCTCCAGTCATCTAGTGGAGCCACTGGAATTCATGGCCCTGGGCTGGGCAATCAGAGGTTGGTTCTGGTCCCTGCCCTGTCCCCAGACTCTAGGGAGCCTGGAGCAGGGCCTTAACTGTCTGGCTCTTGATTCCCCCCACCGATTAAGACAGTGGATCAGAGATGTCTCAGGCTCCGTCCTGCTCTCTGTCTCAGGGCAGGTACCTTTCACTGGTGTCCAGGTTGACTGCACCAGAGTCTGGAGGCTGGAAGAGATACGTGGTGTTAGCAAGTCATCCAGGGAAGGCAGCAGAACGTGTTTATTCTGCAGGGAAGGCAACCCAGACCTCTGCCCCAGCAGCATCTCTGCCAGGCTTCTGAGCAGCATGTTTTTCTCAGTGCTTTGGTTTGAATGCATTATAAAGTCATATTAGTATTCTACACAGAATCAAAGACTGCTTTGTGGTGACCTCCCTCCCCATAATCTGAAGTTGACTTTGTTTATTGTCATCTCTCCCTGCTAGAATGTAAGTGCCCCAAGGGCAGGAGCTTTCACATTCTGAACTTGCCTATATTTCTTAGGCCTAGAACATTGCCTGATAGGTTGTCAGTGTGCAGTGAACATCTGTTGAATAAGTATTTTCTGAATGAACAAAATAAGTTTCTAGTATCACCCTTGAACAACACAGACACTGCTTTTGGAGAAGTCCTCCTTTTAAGGGCTATAGGTGACACTGTGGTAACCACACCCCCTGCTGGAGGGATGGGGGTCACACCATTTGCAGGCTCCTAGGGATGCTTAGAATTAGGTCTGAGACAGAAAGGACTTAGTGAGTATTTGCTATTGTTAGCAGTATTATTTTCAGTTTCTGACCCACAGTCTCTCAAAATTCCTAGAAGGCAGGGTGTCAGGTGTGGTGGTGACAGTTTAGAGAGGGAGGCCACTGCTGTCTACACCCAGCCTGCTACAGAACCCCGAGTAGCCAGCAGCTGTCCCATCCACCCTCTCAAGTGAGAGCCAGGCTATAGGACTGGTCACAGCTCTGGAGCTCTCAAGGGAGATCAGGCTGATCGTGAAATTCCTCTCCCTGGGTACAGGGTTCTCTGATCCTCAGTAAGAGGGACTTAGAAAGGTCACTATCACAGGGAGGGAAGAAAAGTTAAATAAAAACCACTGTAAAGTGAAAGTTGAGGACTGTAAACACAGGTTAGCTAGAGAAGGGAGAAGGCTTTGGAGGTCCTAGCAAGGCAGGCCAACCTGTGCCCAGCCAGAGGGGCACTGTCCTGCAGCTTGGACTGATGGCAGTCAGAGGTCCATGAATCCATAACTGCCAGATTTTTCAAGAAAAGCTGGAAACATGCATTTTATTTAAAATATCCTGATTCCAGTGTTGGCAGCTCATTCAATTAGAAACACAATGTGAGCCAGGCACGTTGGTGCACCCCTGTAACCCCAAGCACTCTGGGAGGCTGAAGCAGGAGAATCACAAGTTTAAGCTCAGCCTGGACAAGTTAGGGAGTTGGCAAGACCTGTCTCAAAAAGCAAAATGAACTGGGGATCTAGCTCATTGCAACAGCCCTGAGTTCAATCCCCTGAACTATGATAAAAGGGGGGAAAAAAGTCTTAAAACCACCAGTTTGCTGCTTCTGATAATTAGTTGATGGACAATAGACCTTGTCCCCAAAGAGAAGGTGGTTGTAAAGAAAGGTGGGGAGAAGGACAGGACAGAGTATAAGAGGGACAGGGACAGGAATGGGGTGGGGGTCCAGGTGACAGGGACAGCTGGACAAACCCTGCCAACACCCACTTCGCCCCTTGTCCCTTACCAGCCATTGTCTCTCCCCTGCCCTCAGTTACTGAATGCCTGCCTCGCGGCATCAGTGACACGGAGCCAAGCAACACACAGGCTCTTTCCCCAAGGAATTCGATACAGTGGATCGTAACCTCTCATCTCCTGGTGTGGCACTATCTATGAGACCTGAGGAAAACAATTCACAGGTAGGACAGAGCAGCGTGATCCTATTTAGGTTTCTATGCCACCTATATCCCCACGAACTGCTATAAACTGGAGTGGGGCTGATAGTGAAGAAGACATAAAATGTGGCTGGGTCCTCCGTTATTTGAAAAAAAAAACTTTGTGCATACTTGCAGATGTAATTTTTGCAGTTTTAAAAAAAGGGGGGCCTTTAACAAAACAGTGATGATTATTGTCCCAAATGAGTGACTGTTCTTTGGTTATGTAGAACTCCAGGAATGTAAAACCAATGCAAAAGTGTGAAGCATTACATAGACGTTTCTTTTTAAATTCACTGTACACCACTATTTTCCCCTGATTATTCTTTTAGGCATGCAAACCCAGCGAGGTTCACATGCATCTCTCAGGACAGGCAGGAAAAGGCCCACAGGAGCTGTGCCTTCAGGTTTGATCCTGAAGGTCAAGTAGCCCAGCAGTGAACGGGCAATGACGCTGGGCTGGAGAGCACCGTGACCGAGCTGCGTGCACGTGCCCTGGCTCCCAGGATCACCCAGGGAGGAGGGGAGCAAGTGACAGCCTGGCGCTGTCAGGCCTGAATCATTCATGAACAGGAGCGTGCCCTGGAATCTGGGGTGGAACGGTGGAAGGCCCTGGGGGGGTTGCCTTTAGGAATCTGCCTGGGTGGAGATTCCCCTGCTCAAGGCCTGCCCATGGTAGAATAATCCAAACCTTCCAGCAAGCAGGTCACACCCTCAGACCCGGAGTGTCAGTGTCATATGCAGAGACACACAGGCTCAGCAAAGCCAACCTGCTACCCAGGACTCAAGAACCCTTTCCTCATCGATCTCCTCCTCCTCTTCTCATTGTTCTGAGGTGAGCCTTGCCCTTCCCCCATCAGCATACAGCTAAGGAAAGGATAGAGCAAGGATGGGGACACTCTGGCTGCCAGATGCCACCCGCCCAGGCCATCTCCCAACATGAAGTCCCCACCTTCACATTCCAGCACCCCGTTACCCTCCTCCTCGCCATGCCCACATGCCCCATTCATGCTGGCCACAATTGCTCAGTGAGTACTGGGGGTTCTGGGTCGGGACAGCCTCACCCAATGCTCAAGCAGAGGTGGTCCAGAGAGGTTGGTGATTTGAGAAGAGAAGGTGGGACAGGCTCAGGGGATCTCAGACACTGGATCAGTTGGCACTGCCATGGAGTCCTGGGTTGAGGCCAGGCCAGGGGGAAGAGGCTACAGTTTCAGGGAGGACAGACTTCAGCAAGGACAGGGGACAGATTCCAGGAAGAAAAGGAAGGTGGACACCAGGGGAAGAGAAGAACCTCAGGTGTGGGAGGGCAGCGAGGGCAGCTCTGGGCAGAGCTGAGGCCCAGTGAGAAAGGGTTCTGCCAGTTGGGGTCACTGGGTAGCAGGGCTACTGAGCTTTGCAAGGCTTGGGCACGTGGGATGCGGACACCAGGGACTAGCGGGGAGATGCTTCCCAACTCTCCTGGTGAATCACCCCTTTCTTTCCTCTTTTGTCATTGCTTCCTCTTCCTGGACCTCAAAGAAAATATGCCACTTAGAATTTATGAACAATAAGCACAAGAAAAGATGCTCAGTGTCACTGGTTGTTAGGGAAATGCAGATTTTAAAAAATCACAATAGTGAATACTATTAGGATGGCTAATTAAAACAACAAACCAAAAAAACCAGAAAATAAGTGTTGTTGAGAACACGGAGAAATTATTTTACCCCTGTACATTTTTGGTTTGAATATAAAATGGCACAGCCACTAGGAAAAGTAATTTCTCATGGAATTACCGTATGATCTAGCAATTCCACTTCTGGGTATAAAATAAAACAAAAAAACCGAAAGCAGAATCTTGACGAGATATTTGTGGGCACATATTCATAGCAGCATTAGTTACAACAGCCAAATGATAGAAGCAGCCTTAATATCCATCAGTAGTTGAATGGATAAACAAAATGTGATATTTCTGTACAGTGGAATATTATTCTGCATTAAAAAGGCAGAATCTGGCATCTGTGGACCTTACGGTGAGTGAAGTAAACCAGTCACAAGACAGCAAATAGTGTTTGTGTTCTCTAGTATGAAGTGGCCAGCATGGTTAGCCCAGAGAAGTGAAAGTCGAAGAGTGGCTGCCAGGGACTGGACAAGGGAGAAAGAGGAGTTGTTGAAGGGGTGGAGAGTTTTGAGTTCGCAAGATGAAAAAGTTCCTGAGGTTTGCACAAAAATGAGAATATACTTTATATTCCTGAACTACATGCTTACAAAGGGTTAAAATAGTAATTTTATGGATCCATATTTAGCACAATTATAAATAGTAACATTTTTAATGTTATGATTTATGTACTGAGGATCAAACTCATGACTTCACACTTGCCAGGCAAGTGCTTACACCACTGAGCTAAGTCCCCAGACCAAGAATTTCTTTCATAAATAGAAAGTTTAGAAGGTTGCTGTAAAAATTTTGTGCAATGATTTATCAATGGATTTATTAATGACAAACTCCAAATGCTTCCCCACCCTGATATAACAGGAGGTATTTATTTGACTTTTAAAATAAAAACCCAAAGCCTCTGGATTTTAGAATTTCTTCAGCTCATAGTGCTCTCTCTCCAAATGCAGCATTCTGCCTGGTTAGCAGGAGTTTATTCAGCCTCACCGACACCAAACCCGAGTCCTTCCCTGAGCTACTCTGAATACTCACAGTTTCCATATCGCCAATGGCAGCTATGAGTTTGATGTCAGCAGGCGTCAGAGTGTGCACTGTGAACACAAGAACCCACGCAGCAAGGTCAGATCTGTATCCCCAGGTCGTAGGCTGAGGGTATCAGATGAGTGTGGGGAGCCGACCTACATCCTATAGCACTTGTACAGCTGCCAAGTCAAATCTGTTGGGGTTGGAGTGGACAATTGACCACGCAGTCGCTGGGGATCCCGGGAACTGTATGGAAACAGCCTCCCTCCACTCGGGGCCACAGTGTTACCTGGACCTGGGCTCTCCGAATAGATGTCCCTTGGAAGGGCGTGCATGGTCCCCATTTCCCCCACTTCCCTGAACTTCTGTTTGCCTCTCATTTCCCTCTACTCTGTGACTCTGCCTTTCTGGGTCATCATGAATAAGAAAGAAGGTAACAAATTAAATTAAAGGCGGCCTAAAATTAAAGCAGCCCTGGGTACTCTAGGGTTAGCTTGAAGATTGCTGAAGAATGACACTCAAGGCCTGTGAATATGCAAAAACATACCATGTAGGATGTAAGCAAATTATATTTATGGAAGTCTCCCTGACTTGAATAACCAGAACTTTTGGAAGTCAAGTCTCCTTAGAAAGCTGACCAAACTCCTTAATTATGGTATGGGGACATTTAAATGCAAATCTGCTAGGGATTCCATTTCCTAAAAAGTACATCAACTTATTTCTCTGCCTAAAGTCTTATCTAACAGACAAGTAAGACTAGAACACCTCACTGATCAAGTCGGTCCAATGTAAGCATAAATAAAGCCATTAAATGAAGTCAGCCCTTTAATATGGATTAAAGCCAGGGAAGACCCACTCGAGAACAGCATTTACAGCATCCAGGTATTAGGCAGGCCTGGACCCTAATGGGGGCAAATAGCTTGAATGGCCAGTGTGATTACATTATAGAAGTGAGGAAGCCATGTGAGTGGACGCCATGTTTGCCCCACAGGGAGGTAAGGCCCTAGAGGTTGCTCCACCCAGGATAAGCACCCTGGGGCCATGTTGGTTTCACTCCTGACCGGAGCATTGGGCTCTGTCTCACCATAGAAATGATGGTGTGGGGTGAAGAGAGGGAGGTGGTGGAAAGGGCTGAGAATTGAAATAGAGGGAGAATTGAACAGCTAAAGGGTCCCAGAAGAGTGTGTATGGGAGTGGGGGTATGTTGGTCACCCCAGAGAGAAGAAGCTGGGCCTTTCCTGTGTATGGCCAGTGCACATACCTGACTCAGAAGGCATGTTCAGTCCCAGCTTCTTTGGGCTACACGAGAATGGAAAGTTCTTCTTGGTCTGCAATTGAAATGAAAAGTCAGCTGCCTTGTGGGGAGAGAAGCACTCAAACTCTGAACATGTGGTGTGCAAAGGGCCATGTATTTGCTCTGGCTGGGCTCAAAATCCAGAGGCAAAATTTCCCGAGGTTGTTTCTCCTAACCAGTTCTCCTGGTAAAGCGGACGATGCTTTAGCAGGTTGATTCTGACAGTCTCTCAGAAAAAGTAGGGTGGAGACAGAATAAAACTTACTTCTTGGAATGGTGAAAACTTCCTGGAAACAGTGGTGATGGGCTACCACAATGTGAATGCGCTTAGTGCTGTTAAATTCTATAGTCAAACTAGTTTTTAAACTGTCCTATTACATGTACTTTACCATAATTAAAAGAAAATAAGAGACCCAGTTAATCTAGACTAAAAAAAAAATCAGTCCTATGCTATATCCATTTGTACTATTGTTCCTCTTTTATTTTGATTATTTTCCCAACAGAAAATAAGGAGACATTTTGCTTGTTTGTTGCTGAAAACCAGATTTTTGGTTTTAAAATTTGTTCTTTTGTTTTTGGTGCCAGGGATCGAACTCATGACCTCACACTTGCCAGGCAGGTGCTTATGCCACTGAGCTAAATCCCTGGCCCAAATTTGAATTGAGATAAATTTGAAATGAGGAGATGCTTCTTTGCCCTCGGGATTGGAATGTTGTGAGCCCAGATGGACTTCCAGGTAAAAATCCTGAGCAGCTTCTACTTCTAAGAATAAAGTAGAAGCTTTGGGGGAAAGGAAGACTATGTCTTTTTTTCTCCCAGAAATCAAGAGAGGTGGGGGAAATCCCCAGGGGAAAATGTGGAGGAAGTGGCTGGCCACGTCTCATGGCCACAAAAAGATGTACGCTGATTTCACTTGAATTACTAAGTAAGAGACACAATATGCTCATCACTTATCTCATAGAGGCTCTGGGAAGGCCTCACCCAGATGCCTTCAGATAACGCACCACATCTGCTTCAAGGTTCACAGAGATAACATCCATTTGTCGTGCTTTCTGGATGCTTTTGGGAATTGGCTGCTCTGTACAGAAATGGAGTCCCAAATTCCAGGAGAGAGGGTCATGCTTTGCCAGGCAGCCCCACTTTCCCAAGAAAGTGGCTCACCTTGACCATTCCCTCAAGGCCTCAAGAAGAGACATGCCAATCTGTGTTAAGATTCGGATCTGTCCCATGGATGGAAACCTACCACCCCTTTACTTCTCGCCAAGAAAAGCTCTCACCTCTGGCCATAGCTGGCCTTCCAGTGTGCTCTTTCCAGAAGATGTGTGGATTTGGGTGATCCCTAAAAAAGGCAAAAATAGTGCAGGTATTTTAGATGGAATGAACTGCTCTGTGGTCCTCACATCTTTCCGCCAGGCCTATCCTTGTGCCCAGCTCAGGTCTGACTTTGTGTTAATCCAAGTTCCACTCCCATTCCTCCAGCTCTCACAGTCTGGGACACCATGCTTCCATGAGTGCAAACTCTCGGGAAAAGAATCCCCAGGTTGAACTGCAAAAGCGTAAGCTGAAAAGCGTCAGCAATAACATGTGTCATGCACAGGCACTTGTCACAGATGGCTCTGTAGGTTCCTCACAAGGACAGAAACCCTGTCTACCCACCTCAAAGGTAACGTCAGACAAGAGCTGTTTGGGAATCCACCACAAACAGAGAAGGCAAAGCACATTCCAGAGTACTCTGAAGGAAATGTGATTTTAGAAGAGCTAAACATGGGATTCCAAGCAGCCACAGCTGTAGTCAGTATCTAGACAGGGGCTGCATCAAGGGGTCTTGGGAGATCACAAAGACATAATCCCTGTCTCAGTTTTCCTTTGTCTAGCCTTTTAAAACTTTTAAATTTACCAAAAGCAAACATTTAAGTTTACTTTTCTAAAGAAAAATTTACAAATGACAAATTAAACTACTTTTCAGCATGCGAGGGGGTTTTTGCATAAAACAGTTTTGCACACAGTAAAACTGAACACTCTAAAAGAAGCAAAATATCACCCACAATGCTGCTATTCTCACATTCAAATGTGATTTATTTTTTCATCCTCATGACCATGATGGGACATTATTTCATTCCTCTGTAATCAATGTGCGTGCAATTCTGTATTCTGCAAGATTCCTTTAAATATTGTTTTTCACGTTGTTATATGAGCTTGATACTTATTGTAATAGCTGCATGATACACTATGATCCTGATATTCAATCAGCAATTTAGATTCCTTCCTATAACTTTTCCATACCTGATTCTCTCCCTGAAGTGTACACTTTTGGTTACAGCCCCCAAACACCAGTAGGCAATAAACTTGGGGGACTCGGCTGGATTTTTTTCACCCTAGCCTTCTGCAGCTTTGTTACCCTGAAAATAACCCATCTAGAGTTACATAAGGAGAGGCACTATATTTCCATTTCCTGCCCACCGTGAGATCACACTCCGATTTCCACGTGGAAGCTTCTGCATGTAACGATGGCTGAAACCTTCAACCAGATCTCAGTGACCCTTCTGAGAGTCCCAGAAGAAAGTTTTTCCAGCAGAAGCAGCTTCCTGATGGGAAGGTACAGGAATGGAGGGGACCATGGAAGGCTGGAAAGGGCTGGGACAGAGGGTTTGTAACTAGAGGGCAGGTCAGATGACCCTGCCCAGACAGACAAGAGCCAGGCTGGCCAGTCTGGTCTGTGAGCAATTGGGAGTCATGGCAGGTATTTGAAGGGAGGACTTTCAGGTTATTTTAAGATAATCATGACTTGGAAGTAGTGGGATAGATGAATCAGCATCACAGAGACTTGAGACTATTTTGGTAAAATGGTAGCCATCACTTACACATGGCATCTATAGATCAGGCAGTCTTCTAAATACTTGCACAAAACAACCCATTGGATCCTCACAGTTTTATGACATAAATACCTCCCTCCCCACTTTACAGATAAGAAAGCGAAACCCAGAAAGGTCAAGTGGCACTGTAAAGATGACATGGCTAGCAACTAGCGATGCAGGACTAGAAAATGGACAATCTAGCTCCACAGGACAAGCTAAGCATAAACCACATGCTCAAGAGCTAGACCAGAGCCAGTAAATTTTGCTGGAAAGGCCACATGGCCGGTATTTTAGGTTTTGCAAACCATCTGGCCTCTGTCACAATCCAGCTCTACAGTTGCATTGTGAAACAGGGACAAGTAACATGTAAACTTACAGAGATGAGTTTGAATGTCACAGAAATACTTTTTATAACCACCTAAAACACAGAAACCTTGGTAGATTCAACACACTGATTGGAAAGTTTCTACAGAGAGCCAAAAGATGGCCAGAATGTCTAACACAGCCTTGAAAGAGAACAACAAAGTCGGGGATTTACTCTCAAGCTATAGTGATCAACAAAGTACAGTCTTAGAAAAAGAATAGATAATTGGAACAGAACAGAGACTCAGATAAACTCACGTAACTATAGTCAACCAATCTTTGACCAAGAAGCAAAGGCAATGTAGTGGAGGAAAGATAGTCTTTTTAACAAATGGTGCTGGAAAGACAGGTCATCGACATGCAAAAACATTTCTTAATGTAAAAATAATTGTTAGCTCACAGGTCATACAAAATCAGGCGGCAGGCTGGGTCTGGCCCACAGTTTGCTGCCAACATGTGCAAAGAGAGATCATCCCGGTGAAACAGGGAGAGGGGATTTCAGGGAATCAGTGACAGCCCTTGCATGACAGAGTGACAGAACTGAACCAGTAAAAGTACCGAGTCCAAAGGAGAATAAGAACACAGAACAGATAGGGCACAGTGAGGCATAAATGTTATATTTAAACCCAGCAGAAAAGACAAGTGGAGGTGGGTTGTTGAGAACTTCACTATGTATAAGGCGTATAGTGAAGAATTTCACCATGTCAAGGAGAGTGGTGTGTCCATGCAGCCCCGCAGTTCGGTCTAGACCAACAGACACAAGTTGGTCCTTGGTCGAAGAGCAGCAGCTACCACAGAACGAGCTTCCCAAGGACTGGGGGGTAGCTCAGCAGTACAAACTTTGCCTCACATGTACGAGAAGGCCTGGGTTCGATCCCCGGAATGGTCTGAGAAGAGGCTGGGGGCGGAGGTGATGGAGGACACTGTATAAACATGACACAGAGTTAATAGCTTGGCTACCCCAGTCAACCTCACCAAGCCTCAGATTTCTCTCTATAGGCGAGATTGGTGATATCTGCCTCCCATAGTTGTTCTCAAACATGGTTAAATGCATGTAAACGCATGGTAGGGATACAGTGATTGGTAGTTAAAATTGTTATAACTTCAGCATCAGAAGGTGGGTTGATATTGATAATTTTTAGGATCCTTTCTGTATTCTATATTCTGGGATTTCCCCATATAATAAAATGCTCAAGAGTCCACATTTTCAACTCAGTTGTGCGACTCGTGTGTGATAGCTGTTCTGGAGCATCACAAAGCACTTAGAATCTCAGCACTATGTCCACACCTGAAACCCAGAAGGACATGTAGGGCCCTGTGGTCCTGTCTCCACTGAGTTTTGAAGGGGTTTGGGTCCCCTCCCCATTTTCTGCTTCCTACCAGGCACATGGAAGGAAATTCTTGCCTGTTTTCATAGTACCCCAAGGCATTGCAGAGGAAATTATCAAAACACAGAACGTGGCATCTTTGAACTCCAATCACAGGATCCCAAAGGAACCTGTCAAGCTCATAGATCTCTGAAGGGCTTTGGTCCCCTGAAAAATTCTCACCTCAATTAAGTCAGTAAGGGAAAAAACCAACTATTTTTCTACCCTGACAGAACGAAAGAAAAATCACTGTGTATGCTTGGAGGAACAGGTCTGGCTGAGCTGTCACCCAGGTTGGACAGAGCTGAGACCACTGGGGTCTGAAACCAACCCAGGACCTCAGCCAGGTACAGTCACACTGGCTCCTGCCTCTGCAACACAGCTCCTAAAGCAGCCCTGCTCTCCTCCCCTCCCTCCTGTCCCAACCTCCCAACCTCCCCACCCCCACCCACCAAAGACTTGGATTCTATTGACTTGGGCAGTGTGATAGCCCAGCAGCTGACCAGCAGTGGGGTGGGGCAGTTTCCCAAGCCAAATTAAAGCAGCGTGCACTTTCTAATTTACAGATTTTCTTCATTTCTGTCCTCTTCGACCAGGTCTAGCACAATTTTTCACCCTCCAGCCCTCCCAGTCCTCTCTATCCAGGGAGGATAGCCGTTGGGTGACCTTCCACCCTCCAGTCCTCCCTATCCAGGGAGGATAGCCATTGGGTGACCTTGATGAAGCATTTGATCTCTCTAAATGTTGACTTCCTCCTGTAGAAAGGAGGGAAGCAGGGTGGAGAGGATCAAAGAGCAGGAAAGTGCTGTGTAAGGAGAGGGCTGTCCACGTGCGAGGTCACTGTGCTCCTTGGATGAAAGGATGGGGTGTCCGCTGGGCACCAGGGAGGAGGGGCAACCCAAGTGGAACTGAGGTCACGCCTTGATGCTCGTTACATTGGTGTCCTCACAGCAACCTTAGAGACAGTATTTGTGACCCTCTTGGCATTTTTATAGGCTCGCAGAAGCCACACTAGTGAGGAGAGGGCAGAGCTCCAGCCTGCACTGCCCTCTCTAAGCATGGAGCCCTTTGGTGAGTCTGAGAGGGCTGAAGTTAGCTAGCGTTGTCCCCTGTGCTGTGCTGGACCATAATCAGGTCCTCTGGGTAACCCTGTACTGCATAGGGCAGCTGTTCCCACTCACATACAAGGCCTACACAATACTGCTGGGGACCTATGGGCCCCACCATCTGATACCATCTGCCACAAGCTATGGGCACTGATTCAGGAAACCATGAGCTATGGCTGGCAGCTGCTCCAACCTCAAAGTTCCAGGGCCCTGAGGAGCACAGGTATCCATCTGTTGGCATGGTCCCAGGGCAGTCACACGCCAGTCAGTGGAAGGTGACACAGACTGCTTGGGGGCAGCTCGGTGGTCTGTAAGTATTTGTCTCTAAATTCTAGAATGGCTGAAGAGGACAGATCTGAGGTCAACTCATTTTTCTACTTCAGAAAACTGTGATCCAAGGAAGCCAACAAACTTGCCAAAAACATCTCTGTAGGACACCAACAGGGCCATGTGTAGAACTTGGTTCTCCTTAACCTAGACTGCTGTGCATTCCCGGAGAGCAGAGGCTTTTTGAAAGGCAGTTATAACAAGGCTTACCTTGTGGGTTGTGATCTACTCTGAGTTGCCTGCCCATGGAAATGCATTCCGTTGCCATGTCTACAAGACCAGTGTTTTCAGCTGCCTACATTCGTCAGCCTACCTTTGCCA